ACAATACTGGCCGTCCAATAATGTGTGCACATATCTATGTAACTATCTACAATACTGGCCGTCCAATAATGTGTGCACATATCTATGTAACTATCTACAATACTGGCCGTCCAATAATGTGTGCACATATCTATCTACCAATACTGGCCGTCCAATAATGTGTGCACATATCTATGTAACTATCTACAATACTGGCCGTCCAATAATGTGTGCACATATCTATGTAACTATCTACAATACCGGCCGTCCAATAATGTGTGCACATATCTATCTACCAATACTGGCCGTCCAATAATGTGTGCACATATCTATGTAACTATCTACAATACCGGCCGTCCAATAATGTGTGTACATATCTATCTACCAATACTGGCCGTCCAATAATGTGTGCACATATCTATGTAACTATCTACAATACTGGCCGTCCAATAATGTGTGCACATATCTATGTAACTATCTACAATACTGGCCGTCCAATAATGTGTGCACATATCTATCTACCAATACTGGCCGTCCAATAATGTGTGCACATATCTATGTAACTATCTACAATACCGGCCGTCCAATAATGTGTGCACATATCTATCTACCAATACTGGCCGTCCAATAATGTGTGCACATATCTATGTAACTATCTACAATACTGGCCGTCCAATAATGTGTGCACATATCTATGTAACTATCTACAATACCGGCCGTCCAATAATGTGTGCACATATCTATCTACCAATACTGGCCGTCCAATAATGTGTGCACATATCTATGTAACTATCTACAATACCGGCCGTCCAATAATGTGTGCACATATCTATCTACCAATACTGGCCGTCCAATAATGTGTGCACATATCTATGTAACTATCTACAATACTGGCCGTCCAATAATGTGTGCACATATCTATGTAACTATCTACAATACTGGCCGTCCAATAATGTGTGCACATATCTATGTAACTATCTACAATACTGGCCGTCCAATAATGTGTGCACATATCTATCTACCAATACTGGCCGTCCAATAATGTGTGCACATATCTATCTACCAATACTGGCCGTCCAATAATGTGTGCACATATCTATGTAACTATCTACAATACTGGCCGTCCAATAATGTGTGCACATATCTATGTAACTATCTACAATACCGGCCGTCCAATAATGTGTGCACATATCTATCTACCAATACTGGCCGTCTAATAATGTGTGCACATATCTATGTAACTATCTACAATACTGGCCGTCCAATAATGTGTGCACATATCTATCTACCAATACTGGCCGTCCAATAATGTGTGCACATATCTATGTAACTATCTACAATACCGGCCGTCCAATAATGTGTGCACATATCTATCTACCAATACTGGCCGTCCAATAATGTGTGCACATATCTATGTAACTATCTACAATACTGGCCGTCCAATAATGTGTGCACATATCTATCTACCAATACTGGCCGTCCAATAATGTGTGCACATATCTATGTAACTATCTACAATACTGGCCGTCCAATAATGTGTGCACATATCTATGTAACTATCTACAATACCGGCCGTCCAATAATGTGTGCACATATCTATCTACCAATACTGGCCGTCCAATAATGTGTGCACATATCTATCTACCAATACTGGCCGTCTAATAATGTGTGCACATATCTATGTAACTATCTACAATACTGGCCGTCCAATAATGTGTGCACATATCTATCTACCAATACTGGCCGTCCAATAATGTGTGCACATATCTATGTAACTATCTACAATACCGGCCGTCCAATAATGTGTGCACATATCTATCTACCAATACTGGCCGTCCAATAATGTGTGCACATATCTATGTAACTATCTACAATACTGGCCGTCCAATAATGTGTGCACATATCTATGTAACTATCTACAATACTGGCCGTCCAATAATGTGTGCACATATCTATGTAACTATCTACAATACCGGCCGTCCAATAATGTGTGCACATATCTATCTACCAATACTGGCCGTCTAATAATGTGTGCACATATCTATGTAACTATCTACAATACTGGCCGTCCAATAATGTGTGCACATATCTATCTACCAATACTGGCCGTCCAATAATGTGTGCACATATCTATCTACCAATACTGGCCGTCTAATAATGTGTGCACATATCTATGTAACTATCTACAATACTGGCCGTCCAATAATGTGTGCACATATCTATCTACCAATACTGGCCGTCCAATAATGTGTGCACATATCTATGTAACTATCTACAATACCGGCCGTCCAATAATGTGTGCACATATCTATCTACCAATACTGGCCGTCCAATAATGTGTGCACATATCTATGTAACTATCTACAATACTGGCCGTCCAATAATGTGTGCACATATCTATGTAACTATCTACAATACTGGCCGTCCAATAATGTGTGCACATATCTATGTAACTATCTACAATACCGGCCGTCCAATAATGTGTGCACATATCTATCTACCAATACTGGCCGTCCAATAATGTGTGCACATATCTATGTAACTATCTACAATACTGGCCGTCCAATAATGTGTGCACATATCTATCTACCAATACTGGCCGTCCAATAATGTGCGCACATATCTATGTAACTATCTACAATACTGGCCGTCCAATAATGTGTGCACATATCTATGTAACTATCTACCAATACTGGCCGTCCAACACAGCAGACACCAAGGAGAGCTGGGTTATGTCCCACGTGTCCTCTGCACCCCAGTGCACCTATCTGCACCCCTGTGCACCGCTCACATGTCAGTCAGTAGCTCACCCAAGTACAGATACAAAGCTGTGGGGATCCCGTTTTGTGATCAATGGGGGTCGTCCATATATGACGTCAACCTCCTGGTGGGTGTGTGTGGGGGGGGGGTGTACTCTTGTTACGAAGCGTGACACGGAAATGACACGTTACGAAAGTGTGACGTCCCTTTTATTGTCTATTTCTCAATGACAAATTATTTTAAAAGGTGTTCATTTATTTCGAATTGCGATCTTCGGAGATGAAGGAAACTGGGAATAATAGAAATTTGTTACGACATCTGAACTGGCTTTTTTGTGACGACATCTGAACTGGCTTTTTTGTGACGACATCTGAACTGGCTTTTTTTTGTGACGACATCTGAACTGGCTTTTTTTTTTTTTTGTAACGATATCTGAACTGGCTTTTTGTGACACCTGAACTGGCTTTTTTTGTGACGACATCTGAACTGGCTTTTTTTTGTGACGACATCTGAACTGGCTTTTTCGTGAAGACAGAAAAGAGAGGTAAAAACAAAATAGCCCGTATAGCGTGATGGTCTTTTACGGAGCCAACCCCCCCCCCCCCCCCAACCATGGGTATTGTTCGAATTTCATGTTACTCTAGATCAGGCCCATGAGGTCCTCTCATCCGGCCCGCGGCGATCTTTTTGTCCACGGAAAAAACTTTTGTTGGTGATAGCTGAGGAACTTTGCCCAGAAAAATCAAAGACATGTTTGGAATTAACTTGCCCCCGAACTGAAATTTGATAGTTAATGCGGCCCTCGGACTGAAAAGATTGGAGACCCCTGCTCTAGATCTATATACTGGAAAGGGGAGACTGGATGAGGACGGGGATAAAATGGGAAAATGTGGTGACCGTAGACACAAAAAAAAATTAGGTGACTATTTATAGATACCTATTTGTGTTTCTTGCGTGACTCCACGCCTTGTTTGTTTTCTCTCCTTCTAGTATTCGGTGTTTACTAGCGTGGGCGGCAGTCATTAAATTGTTTCCTTGTAATGTTTGGAAGCTGGTGAGATGTAATTAAAACATATTCTTAAAAACTTATGCAACAGAAGCTTTAAATAGTAAAGTGACAGTAGGGAGGCTGAGTGTAGGTGGGCGCAGTGTTTCTTCCAGTCTTTTTTCTCCGGGGGGGGGGGGGGCGGTTGACTTTCTTCGCCCGCCGCCCCCCCCCCCCCCGAAGAAATGCCAGGTAGAAACACTGGGTGGGCGAATCAAACCTACAAACACATGGTAATAGTGGTGTCTGGGGTAACGGGTAAACTGGTGAGTAGATTGTTGTAAGACGGTAAAAGGTAATTCAGTGAGTGGGTAGTGGTATGTTAGGGTAACAGGTAAACTGGTGAGATGAAAGCATGTCGGTAAAAGGCAGACTAGCTAGTGGAGTATAAAAATAACTGACCTACGATCGATTTTCTGGACGTCTTTGTGAACTGTCACAATGGAGGTCAGTCACGACGAGAATATAACAAGTGACGTCATTAAACACTGACCATCTCACAAATAGATGTGTGACCCTCCATCACCTGCTGTATCGTGCTGCATCACCGGGTCACTTGGAGTTCTTTATTCGGTGTGAAAGTACTAGATCTGGTGAAATACGTTTTGGGATCTTACCTGAGCCTTAAGCTACTTCCGGCTTGTTAGTTAAACATGATTTAACATGCGTTTTATAAGAGAAAAAAACATCACGGGAAATTAGTAAATAAATGAATTAATATCACAGAGAACAAGCTGCCAAAGCTGGTATTCTACTCCATTGCTTTCTCTCTACCCAGATAAGTCTGATAGAAGATAATCAATTGGCGTAGGTTCAAATATGTGTACCAATTAGTTCAAAAAATCACGTTCAGCCTGGATGAGTTAGAAGTTTTAAAATATAGCTATTTGTCGCTCACTTGACCCCACCTGTGTCTACTTGGCCTTCACCGCTGTCGCCAACGGTCAGATGTCATGTCCACTAATGAAAGCAAAAATCGATCGTAAGTTAAAGAAATACAACCAGGCTAGCGGTTATCGTCTTTCGAATACTGACTTTAGTGGTCAGGTATAGAATACTGATCGCATCGCTGAGACCACACAGCTCTATCTAGTACCCAGCATTGGAATCTAGACTTAAAAACATCTCGGTGCACGATTCTCGCATGCATAAACAGACCTACTCTACTTCACCTGTTCGCCAGACCTGGTGTGAGACCTGTATTTTCTGTTGACAGAAACGCGCTGGAGGTCCACGGGTTGGTCCAGATCCGGCTGTCCCAGGAGACGAACGGCTCGTGGGTCGGGTACATCGACAACTCCATCAAGACCAAGGATGACGTGGGTGCTCTCTACTACGTCGTCGCCGTTATCTTCATCTACGGCCTGTCCATCGTCATGATGATCGCATCGCACATACGGAAAAACAAGCAGGACAATCAGCTGAGGACATACTTAAAGGTAAAGACAGGACAATCAGTTGAGGACATACTTAAAGGTAAAGACAGGACAATCAACTGAGGACATACTTAAAGGTAAAGACAGGACAATCAGCTGAGGACATAAAGGTAAAGACAGGACAATCAGCTGAGGACATAAAGGTAAAGACAGGACAATCAGCTGAGGACATACTTAAAGGTAAAGACAGGACAATCAGTTGAGGACATAAAGGTAAAGACAGGACAATCAGCTGAGGACATACTTAAAGGTAAAGACAGGACAATCAGTCGAGGACATAAAGGTAAAGAAAGGACAATCAACTGAGGACATACTTAAAGGTAAAGACTGGACAATCAGCTGAGGACATAAAGGTAAAGACAGGACAATCAGCTGAGGACATACTTAAAGGTAAAGACAGGACAATCAGTCGAGGAATACTTAAAGGTAAAGACAGGACAATCAGCTGAGGACATACTTAAAGGTAAAGACAGGACAATCAGTTGAGGACATAAAGGTAAAGACAGGACAATCAGCTGAGGACATACTTAAAGGTAAAGACAGGACAATCAGTTGAGGACATAAAGGTAAAGACAGGACAATCAGCTGAGGACATACTTAAAGGTAAAGAGAGGACAATCAGCTGAGGACATATTTAAAGGTAAAGACAGGACAATCAGTTGAGGACATAAAGGTAAAGACAGGACAATCAGCTGAGGACATACTTAAAGGTAAAGAGAGGACAATCAGCTGAGGACATACTTAAAGGTAAAGACAGGACAATCAGCTGAGGACATACTTAAAGGTAAAGACAGGACAATCAGCTGAGGACATAAAGGTAAAGACAGGACAATCAGCTGAAGACATACTTAAAGGTAAAGACAGGACAATCAGTTGAGGACATACTTAAAGGTAAAGACAGGACAATCAGCTGAGGACATACATAAAGGTAAAAACAAGACAATCATTTTAAAACAGGCACGCTTGAGACAAAAAGCAAGTTACAAATCAAAACACGGCAATGTTTTTAGCAAGAAAATCTAATTATAGCCTATTTAAAAATATTTTTTTAAAGTAATTAACCTTTAATTAAGCTAAACACAATTTTAAAAGGGCAGGGCATTAAGTCAAGGATATTTCTAGCCGTTAACTCCAATGAAAAAAAGTGCATAATTGACAGACTTTGATTGGTTTCATACTAATAGAGTTTATAATAAAGTTGCATATTAAAAGCTAATTAACTTCAACTGCTGTAAATGTGCAATTGCTTTATTTATAATTAAAAAACCACTTCTTCTCATCAGAGCAATATGTTTATCTAATCAATAAACTCATAATTTGTTTTCTAGGAGATGGCGAATCTTAGAAAATCCGACCGACGGGAAAAAGTTCTCAGTAAAATGAACGACCTCGCCAACCGCAGGAAAAATCAAGAGGCTATTGAGGCCAAGCAGAAGTTAGAAGAGAAACTCAAGGACATCGGCGACAACGAGACGGACAAAATGGCGGCGACAGCGAGGAAGAAAGACCCGGCTGAGGACAACACAGACTCCGTGTTCCTGCCCGCCGACTTTTGCATCCCGCCCCTCCAGGGCAAGCCGGCAGACAGCGACAGACTGAGCGACAACAGCTCGTACAGGAATCTCAGTATCAGCAGCCGGGGGTCGGTCAGGAACAGCAGTACAGGATCTTTTGCCCCCAGTAACGTGCCTTCAAGTAAGTAGTGTCCAGTACAGGATCTTTTGCCCCCAGTAACGTGCCTTCAAGTAAGTAAAGGTGTGCCAAGGATCTTTTGCCCACAGTAACGTGCCTTCAAGTAAGTAAAGGTGTGTCCAGTACAGGATCTTTTGCCCCCAGTAACGTGCCTTCAAGTAAGTAGTGTCCAGTACAGGATCTTTTGCCCCCAGTAACGTGCCTTCAAGTAAGTAGTGTCCAGTACAGGATCTTTTGCCCCCAGTAACGTGCCTTCAAGTAAGTAAAGGTGTGCCAAGGATCTTTTGCCCACAGTAACGTGCCTTCAAGTAAGTAAAGGTGTGTCCAGTACAGGATCTTTTGCCCCCAGTAACGTGCCTTCAAGTAAGTAAAGATCTGCCCAGGATCTTTTGCCCCCCCCCCCCAGTAACGTGCCTTCAAGTAAGTAAAGATCTACCCATGATCTTTTGCCCCCCCCCCCTAGTAACGTGCCTTCAAGTAAGTAAAGATCTGCCCAAGATCTTTTGCACCAGTAACGTGCCTTCAAGTAAGTAAAGATCTGCCCATGATCTTTTGCCCCCCCCCCCCCCAGTAACGTGACTTCAAGTAATTAAGGTGTGTCAAGGATCTTTTGCCCCCCCCCCCCCCCCCCAGTAACGTGCCTTCAAGCAAATAAAGATCAGTCGCTTTTATTAAGTTTAAGGGTTAGCCGTCCTCAGCTGTAAGTCTCGGTATCTACTGTATACTTTCGTGTTTTCACCTAAACTTGTTTATTGTGATTGATTTTCATATGGGCAACTATACTTTATGATCGAAATATTCTTCATACATTGCCCCTTGACGTTATTTGCTGTACTTCTTATTCGCTAATAAAGATGCAAGTTATACTGTAATATTCCGACTATTCTAACGCAATCCGTCGCTCGCCTATATATATATATATATATATATATATATATATATATATATATATATATATATATATATATATATATATATATAAGAATGGCATGCAAATGTGTCTCTTATTATCCCTTTTAGTTTATCTTATCCGACCCTTTACCCCACCCCGAGCCTATTATTTCAAAACTACAAATTAAACAAGTTACTAAAAATCTTTTCTATTGCTTTTATTGATATAATAATTACAAATCAATGAGCTGCGAATGATACATTTAAAATAGTACACCTGACCTCTGTCCACTTTCTGCAGACGTCAACTCCCCCTCCGAGACTCGCCCCAGCCCAACAGAACGAACCGGACCCAAGAGAGTGAGGTCCCCTAATTTCCATGACTACAGACGCTGGAAAAGAGCAGACAATCGAGTATTAAATATACCCGAGTGCAAGACGGTGAGAATTCAGGAGGACAGGTTATCTCCCTGTGATCAGAGGTCAGTAGCGATCACAATTAATTTCTTCTTCACATGCTAAAAACATGCACACAAACATGCTCAATATGCATTTCTGAGCTTCTTGGCTAATTAAAACAGCTAATTATTAAACAAGCCAGTAATAATAAATGAGTTCCACACATAACTATTTTTTTACAGATAATTATATAAAAAAGCAAACATTTCTAATGGTGGAAAAAAGTTGGTTGACCTACAATTTAGACTTACTATTAATGCCTATATTGTGTTTGCTCTATCTTGTTCAGAGCCACCCGAACAGTAATAAAAGGTATAACACCCCCACTCCTCACTCTAGCATCTCATTCGCCACATTCGGATAGATGATCACATTTGGAAAATGTGTTTAAAACTATTTTGAAAAAACTTAAAAACGTCCTTTTGCTGTTAAAAACAAAGCAGTCTACCATTTGAGAACAAATATTTGCAATTAAGGGGCCCAAACCCTTGAGGTTTTTTTTCTTTTGTATTATAAAATTCAACAACAAATTAACATCATCGTCTCCAAATCAGGTCAACGCCCCCAGACAGCCCCTCAAGCACAAGCGAGTATCGAACTTCAGGTCGAAAGTGGCGAGAGAGATCGCCTACCAGCCATGATGCCCGGCCATCGAAGTGGAGCAAGCAAAACAACCTTCACCCGAACAGGGGTCATCGTCTGTCAGACGGCAAGGTCAATGAGCTCAAACAAAGTTTTCCCGCCAGTTTTCACATCGTCAATGAAGACGCCGTTTTATGACAACAGCATTTGGCGGTGCTTAGTTGATTTCCGGTCGTCGAGCGCACGAGGTTAGGCCAAGTCCCTCTCGTTTCGTAACACAGCAAACACGGCTTTAAACTTAAACGGGCAGGCCTTTCATAAAAAAAAAAGTGCGGATCGCCTTAACCCATTCGTTGTCGTGAGGGCACAGCAGACTTCTTTTGAAGAGAACTTGCGATTCCAAGCTACCACACCAGCTGCGAACAACCTTATGTGATTCAATATTTGTCATTTTTAAGGCATACAATCAAACGTTATCCAAATTTGTGAGACTTAAGTACAATCACAGAACCGTTTACAACCATCAGCACATTGTAAACAAACAACATTCTGCGAATATTCACATGTATTTTTATGCGTAAATGTATTTTGGTGACTGCAGTGATGTAAAAAGAAGAAAAAAAAAACACCTCATTCTTCTCGATATTGGGGACGATATAATTTTCTGTCAATATTCCATGGACTAGTAAATATTTCAACAGAAGCAGCGTCCGTTATAAATACAAACGTCCGAGCTGGATTAGAGTTTCAGTATCCGTGTATCGATTTGAATGATATCGTAAACATTGTATATTGTATACAGTTAGGCTTGGATCAAATTGCGCACGAATATAGTTCGTATCCTTTACCTCATTTTGTGAACATAAATGTATTTTTGTCTTTGTTAAAGCAAATTATTATGATGAAGATACCATGTTGGTCTACGGTGTCATCCATAAATGACGTCACGCTTTTTGGAAGATTTTTACACCCCCTCCCAACTTCATTTTTTAAAACATTATTTCTTTCGAAATTGTTGACTAAATTCGGTTAACGTTGAGTATTTGTATCCATTTCTTTACAATTAAAAAAAAAAGAAAGAAAAATGTTATTAAAAAATGCGAAATAATGGCTAAAAATTCAGCTTCTAAAATTACCTTTTTTTTCAAATGCGAAGGTGTGACGTCAAACTACCTGAACACCCTCCCTCCCACGTGTCTGTCTATTAATTTTCACAGGAAAAGTTAATTTTTTTTAAGCACAGTTCCTATCAATCCCCAAAGGAATAGCAAATATTTTTTAGGCAAAATGTGTCATTGATGCCCATACGACCATCTTATGGTAATCTTGTAAATTGTGATTGTCGGGATTATAAAAATGTCAATCACACTTCTATTTTATAATGCTAATATTTATATTAATATTGCTATCAATTGTATTTACGAACAGTATAATTAAAGAATTTTAAGTCTGCTAGCTTGATTTTACAACAAGACAATTGTTTCCTTTTTTTCAACCGCTCTATCTTTTTAGAATACATTACAACTAAACAAATTGTCCAAAATAAAATTGCATTATTTAGCTATCAATAGAAGCGTAAAATGCTAGTTAACTTATACACATTTGGAAAAAAAATGTTGCCTGATTGGTGCCTTTTGATATGGTAAGAACCAAAAAAACAGCTACCTGATAAAATAGCTATTTTTTTTTTTTTTTTTTGACATTGGCAGGATGTCAACAAAAAACAAAGGCAGAATCATTCATAGTAAAATGTAGATGCTACTTCATTTTGAATGCACGCTTGTTTCAATGTATGCTCTATACCTTTAGATCTATTTTAATTTACTTTTTAAAATGTAGACCATTTACTGGTACTGTTGTTGGATAATCCTGAATAGTGAATACTCTCCCTTTATACACCCTTAATGATCCAATGATCTTCTTGTAAAACAAATTATAATATTCAGAGAACCCTAGGATCTTGTATATTCTTAATTCTTTTGTCAACCCAAGGATCTTGTATATATATATATTAGACAACCCATGGCAAAGTTACTAAAAATATTTTTAATAAGTATGAAACAAAGAAAGAACAAGTAGCCATTATAGTAATGTTTTATTCAGCAGGTGAAGATAACTTCATGTAAAAGACAATAAGAACGGTTTGTCAAAATAAAAAATAACATGCCAGACTTAAAATGGATGCCGTAACCAGTCTGTGAACTCAACACACAAAATCAAACATTCATTCAAATAGAAAGCAGTTTGGAACATGTCTACCCTAAGATTTGCACAATGGGATGTCAACACACCAACTGATGCAGGCATCAGCTGTTTGCATATTTATAGGTCAGGGGTGAAAGGGGAAAAAAGGTACAATAGCCAAAAATAATTTATTTAAAGCAGACTGTACATGATTAGTGCCAACACAAACTAATTGGTGCTTAGGTCACACAGTATAAACAGTTATACAGTTTGAATGATGCCAGCTCTAGTTACCTGTTGTTGGAAAAATCTGGGCTGAGAAGCAAGAATGTAAGAGAAAGTTTCCCTGAGTCTTCACTTGCTAAGGCTATTAAATCAGACTATGAATCAGAATAAGGCAAACATTCTCATTTCATTCAATTAAAAAAAAAAATGGCAAAAACTAACTAAATGCGTACCCCGTTTCCATGAATAAAATAAAAAAACTTATCATTCATAAACAACTAAAATGAGATAGTAAAAAAACATTTTGCATCAAGACCACTTAAGAAATTAATTAACAAAAACACTAAAAACATTCAAACAGTGGAATTAGAGAGTTTGATAGTAGTCAAATGACTGTAGATTAAAAACAAAGCATTTATAGAATTTAAATAACATGAAGAGAAATAATTAATATAAATAATTTTGGCTAAAATTGCCTTGAAACACTATCAGCATAGACAATTGAAACATGCATAGCCTTTCATGAATAAATGCTGAAATGAACCCACATTTTCTACTTGTAAAGTAAAGGCAATCTTAAGATGTGTTTCTACCATAACAATTCAACATCAAAAATTGAATTATCCAATTCAATATTAAATGTACACCATACTGGAGCAAATGGAGACAGCAGTACAATCTTTTATCCAGCTCAATTAGAAATCACATTTACATTTAACTATGGCCACAATTTGCCAAGCTCAGTGATTATGACCTGCAACAAACATGTTGGGAGTCATTACAGTTGACCCTATAGACACAATATTTACATCAGATGAGTTTGTACAAACGATGGAATGGAGGAAGGAAAAAAAAAAAGGAATGACAAATGATCAGTAATTTAAGCAGTAATATATACTAGCTGACTAGATTGGACTACACATGGGGTAGAAGAATTACTGCACACTATCAATGAGACTGTCAACTGCAATCAATCTATTTGCCACTAGGGTTCTAGAAACAAGTCTTAATGTCTAGATCTAAGCCTTAAAAGAAAAGTACTTCTATAAAAATTCTATTTGACTAAATAATAATGATCTAACAAGTTATGGCAACGCTTATATAAAAATATTTTTTGAAGAACTCTCACTTATTTGTAGATTATCAGTCCAAGGTTAACATCACAGTATTACTATTTGTACATGCAGAACAACAATGGGGAATTAACATCACACAACTAAACTATAATAATGTCTCAGTAAAACAGTTTGATAAGCTTTTTTCCAGTTGTCATTTACTTTTCTGTTAAAAATCTGTTACTATTTTTAAAATAAAAAGACAAATACTGCAATTTTTTCAAATTATTGAAAGTTAATAATTTAAGACAGTTTGGAAAAGAAGTTTTTAATTAATAAAAGTTGGACGGACTGTTTTACTTAAAAAATACTTTGTGGCAAATTGTCATACATATTAGACTGACACACTTTTTGATAAGAGGATTTACAATCATTGTATGCACCACTTCCAAACATTTAAACACATTTTAGAGAAAGAGAATGTACAAGAGAAAACCACTTTGTACAGTAACATTCACACTTAATTGTACTTAAGACAGAGTCAGCAGAATAAATACCACAAGGAGCATATACATAATGACCTAAGCAACAACAACCATCTTTAACATTTACTGACTAAACATTTACTGTTGATGTAGATGTCTACAATGTCTTGTGTAACTGAGTTCAGCAAGAAGGCAATATCCCATGGAAAGTAACACATTCAGTTAAATGAATGAGGTGTCATAAGCAAAGAGTGATAGTTTAAAAATCCATGTGAATTATTTCAGTTGTTTGCACAAAATCAAAATGATATAATTCTACAAAATAAGACAACTTTCATTAAAGGTGTGCTCAAAATTCCATAAATAGCCTTTTATGCACCAGTTTGTATGTGTCAATGATTGTTTATAAAGAAATGTAAGAGTAAAGAATTGATAAAGATTCAAGTCAACTCAGATCAACAAGGAATGTTACTTTTAAAGTATGTTGAATATAAAATGGTGAGCAGCTTCCTCGACCTTTTAAACATGACATGAGCTTAAATATAAAAAAATACATTAGGGTATCTGCTTTCAAAAATAGTTTTTGATGAAAAAAAGGTTTCAACTGTATTTACATATCATGGCTAGCCTAAGCACGGTGGACTGTTACCAAATTTCAAATGACAATGCACACAATAATTTTTGTAAGCTGTCAAATACAAATGCTGTCTACAAGACATTTTTAAAATACTTAGTATAAAAACTTTAACTCTATTTTTACACTGTACATAAATGATAAATGTATTTTTTAACATTTTAAGCAATAATAAAAAGTAAGAAAATGTATAATTATGAAGGTCTAAGTCTAATACATTTCTGTATAATAATGAAGAACTAATACATTTCCAGTTTACATTTCATGATGCACTTTAAGTTAAAGATACTTAAAGATTAGTTTAGATTTTTCTAAATTTACTTAAAGAGGCTAGATAATTATTTGGTAATTTTGCACTACAAAACAACAGCCATTCCAAGTGTAAACCTAGAACTGAAAGAGTATGAGTGATTCACCACTAGTCCACTGAAGCTAATGGACCTAGCCTTTGTTTCAACATATTTGAGCTTTTACAATTTTTGTGCTTATAATGAGCCCTCTCTGTAAAAGCAGAAAACCTATTTCTTTCATTATTTACAAAAACAGTCCTCATTTAACAGCCAATACTTTCTCTTATAGTGAGAAGCTTGAGCAAAAGTTATTTTCTGTTTTGATATTTAGAGAGTCCAGATGAATACTTTTTTAAAGGCTATTCTGTCTTAACCCTTTTTGCTGCTGTCACATCACCTGCACCACTAGATGAAACAGGCATGACTAAAATTGTGTGTGTTTTGCTGGAGTTGGGATTAGCACTGGAAGTGGTGCGAACAGCCAAAGTGGTGGGCAGGCCACCCTGTGTTGCTGTGCTGACTGAATGGACTGGAGTTGCCCCAGAGACTGACGTGCCAGATAAAACAACCAAACCTCCAGCTCCACCAATACCATTTGCTGTGGGTCTTACAGTAATGGTTGGTGTGCCTGATTGGCCGATTGTTCCAGGTCCTTGACGAACTGCAACTGCTGTTTGGCCTCCAACAGAGCCTGGAGTATTGGAAGTAACCAGCATGAGTGTGGTCGGGGTTGGGGTTGCACTCTGGGGAGCAACCATTGTAACACGCTGAACAACTTGTGGTTGAGATAACATAGAAGGCTGGGATGAGTTGGATGATTCTTCATCATCGTCCATATCCATAGTACCAAGATTGACAGCACTGCTCAAATCATGGAACTGTAGACCAGTTCAAAAGAAAATATTGTCAACAACATTGTAAAGTGTGTGTTATACAAGTAAGTACACTATTTTATTACAAATTATATTTACATTAATAGACACATAAATCTATTTATTTTCTAGTCATAAGCATGGAGATATTTTTAAAAATGTTTCATCACCTGTCTTACTTCTCCCATGACAGCTATAGGTGTCTGACCTGTTGCACTGGCTACTTTATGTTCAACAAGATAAAACATAAATTCGTCATAAAGAAGACGAATAAGATGAAAAGAACCAAAACTTGCTGCACTGCGCAGGGTAAGATCTCTTATCACCATTGAGCTATGATGGAAAATAAAAATAAAAAATATAACAATACAATTTTTTAAAAATTAAAAAATCAAAAACCAAAATAATGGATATTTACACACAAAAACATTCCAAGTCTAGTGCAATTGTTACCAATGTGAGTCTGACCTGATAGAATAATCGTTTATTGTCCTATCAGAACAACTCAACTAAACCACTGCTTTTCTATAGTTATTGCCATTTTTTGTCCGTAACTTTAAAAAAAATGGACAACTTGTCATTTGAATTTAAACTCTTCAAAGCTACTAAACAGAATGTGCCAAATTATCAGGTAATATGTTTTGTTGCCTCATGATAATTTTACTCTGCATTCGTGATTTATTATTTTTACAACTAGAAACTTTTGCTATTTTTTGTGGTAGTAGGAGGGAGGGGTGGAAAGAAGTAGATTTAGGTTAAATAGAAAAACTGTTTATACACGTCAACTTTCACGGGATCAGTCCAAGTTCACACCATAGACCTAGCGACTTCCTGGCCACCTTTAAATTTTAGGGGAAAGGAGTGGGGAGGTCTCGCTACAAATCTATACAAGAAGTATTTGATAATACAGCCTCATTTTAACTAAATCTAACTAAATATGAAATTCAGGACCAGAAACTAAAGGTTGCCAGAAAAAAATATATTAATTTGTGCTGGTAACAATTCCGATTTGTACAGAAGGCAAAAGCATTACCATTTTGCCATAATCAATGTATCATAACCTGGGTGTCAAAACTGAAATTAAGGGCGAAACTGTACAACCTGCAGCCTTGTCATATGCATGCAAAAAGCCCAGGAATGCTTATATATTATATATGGCACAATGTATACTACATTTTGTGCAGTAACAATAAAGAAAATTTAGAATATACAGGCACAGGTGAGATAGTGTTTTATTAACATGTATTTCTCCTTATTCCATCACTAAGAGCGTTTTTTTTAAAGTAAGAAATCTTATTTTCACAATTAGAGAGGCCATTTAAATAAATTAAAGTTCCTCTTCTATTGAGTGGGGCATGGATTATAATGTAAATAAAGTGGTTTTGAAAAAGATAATATTTCTGTGATTATATTAATTTTAGCATTTTACATAATTTTTTTTAATTGAAAATTAAAGGTGTGGTTTTTTTGTTTTTGTTTAGGTTAGGTATTATTTTTATTTTGCAAATTATTACGCTATTTTGGGTCAAGCATAATAAACTATGACTATTTTCCTATTTTTATATCTAATAGCTTAAATTAAGATTTAAGATATGCTTGTAAACCTATTCAACATACTTAAACTCTCTTATAAACTTTTTATGCAGTCTTAAATAACTACTTTTTAAACACTTAAAAATCAAACTTAGAAAAATCCTTATGTATTAAATAAAACAAAACCACTAAAAAAAACTTGACAAACCAGGACTGAAGAGCAGTGATTCATGATTTTGCAAGGGATTACTATAAATATACCATATTAATGCAACCATTTTCTTGAGTCATTAAGTAAGAAAATCTAACCTATAAAAAGACCACTTGAGTAAAAACTGTCTGGCTGCCTTTGGGAAATTTTCATTTCCTTCATGAGGTTTGAGCACTTGATTGACCACACCTTCCAGCCATTGAGCCCACTGCTCTAAGGAATTCCCTTGCTTTAGTGTTGCCTTAAAATCTTGTTCAAGTTGTTGAACTAATGCATCTTCGCATTGACAAACCCAAGAAGCTTGCTCCTAAAATAGAAATGCAAATAATTTTATCACATTTTCACAGAAAATTATTTGAAGAACAAATTTATTCAACCATAAAATTCATATGCCATCAAGCATCTATTATTTTGCTGGATTTCCAATTACTTAATTTTCAAGCTACTGTTATAGGCACATGCAGACACCCAAGAAATAGTGTTACAGTCTGGTGCCGCAACTATGTCAAGTAAGTTTATTTATGCGTAGCAGCAGAAATCTAGTTGGTAACGAGATATTGAAGATACTGTTGGAAGCGTTAAATAACAAGTTTTATTTATGTTGTTTCCTTGTTTTCTATCAATAGTGGTTCATTTCTACCATTTTTCTAAAGTTGCGAATTATTTCTTGAAATTACGGGCAACATAATTAATGAAATTAAATATAATTAAAATCCCTCTGCAGTTGAATTTGGCTTTATGGCTTTATTTCAAATGTAACTATTGAACAAGAAGTGACTACATTGAATTTTTTTTTGCATTTCAAATGACTTTTTAAAGAAATAATATTAGAAGTAGTGTTTTATTTACGTTTTTCTGGAATTAGTGTAATTTAAAATTATTAATTAGTAGACTATGAAGCAATTTAACCTCATACATAATAACTTAGACCAATTTTGTGTATAATGCTTTTTATTTTATTTTTTTAATGCAAAAAGTGTTGATGAGCCAGTAAAGGGTTGAAGAAATTGAAGATGATTAATTGCATATAGAAACAAAGTATGAAAAAAGCTTAAACTTATGTATCAAAAGTAGTTAGGCTTATATTGGCAACTAATGAAATGTGTTTTGGCAGATAATTACAAAGTTAGTAGTTGAATAAACGTAATATTTATAATTTAAGTATCGTATATTATTTACACCACTGCCTTTTACAAAAAAGTCATCATAATATAAATAGAACTACTACATACTTGTACATTGGTAAAATCAACTCGATTGAGATCTGTTAACATCTGGTTTATTTGGGAGGTATTTTGCAACACAGCACGAGCTGCCTGAGCCAGGTGATTGAGTGAAGTGTAACGGCGTAAAGTTTGTGCAAAGGCACAAACAGCTCCAAGCTGTAGAAAAATAAATAACATTCTATTACACTACACTTGCAATATGCAAATGTCATTTTACAGCAACTAGTTGTGATGTTATTATAACTTATCCTTATAAAAAATGTTAATATATTTCTATGAAATTACATATTTGATAACAATAAACAAATTAATTCTAGTGAAAAAAATTTAGAATTTTATTCTTTGACCATTACCTTTGTTTTCACCATTTCTTCTGGTACATTTTGCATAGCATTTTTCAACCAGCCTTCTAAACTTTTTGCAAAGTTACGAATAGCTTGTGTAAGTGAACCTTAACAGAAAGAATGCCATGAAATTATTTTTGATAGAAATTAGTGAAAATAATTCAAAGTAATTTTAAAAATAAAAAAAAGTTAAAAAATTAGCATAGTAATACAAAATACATACTGGGTATAGGTCGAAGAACATCAGGAATTAAAACTTCTACAAGTGCCTGGTAAAATGCATAGTCTGATCTGCGGACCCAGTTCATCAAAGGTTCATAGCGACAAAGTGTATAGAGTTTTTCTTTAGGGATACGTTTCTCAAATGGATCTAAACTGCTAAATTTAAAAGAGAGAAAAGATATTCCTTTTTAGATTAGCACATCATTACCATTGATCAATGAACAGATCTAAGATTTAAACAAAAATAGTCATATTATTTAAGTATTTATATATAAGAAACTTACGGTGACTCAGGTGCTGGGTTTCTCCAAAAAGTCTGCCATAGATTCTCTATGAGGTTAAAATGCAAGTTAACAACCACATCCACCACTGCCTAAAAACAGGATAACAGATATTTACATTTCACTCTTTTCAACAACAAAAAAAATATATATATATATACACTTCTGAAATAATAATTACCTCAGCATGCTCTCTATAAATTTTTTCAAAAGCTCTGATGTCTTCCACACCAATACCATCAGGAAATGGAATGAGGCTAACATCAACATTGCCGAATGATGGGAGGGCATGAGAGGCATCGCCTAAGAACTGAGTATGCTGCTGCTGCTGAGAATGGCCAGTATCAGATTGGCCACCACCTTGAGTTCCTGTCTGTCCACTGTCTCCATCAGATCCTTCTTGCTTCTGATTAGCTAACCTAAACAGTACAAGTTATATAAAAAGCAATGGTAAATTATTATTGACTGGGCTAACCTACATGTAAACAGCCTTGCTTCTAAAAAAGATGACTCACTTTTTGCTGGTATACATAGGTTGCTGTCTGAGAGCCATTGTCTGATCATCTGTAAATTGATTCAGGGAGGAGTTGGCTCTGATACGAATGCCATAGTAATGATATTTGGAGTTGCCCCTAAGACAAGCAAGTGAACAATATTTACCATACTTCTCAAAATACTTTTTATCTGAACCCAAAAAAATAAATATAATTATTCATTAAATACTGCCAACATTGTTATGTACACTTGCAAAGTATTTCTAATATTATTATAACAGCTTTACAATAACAACTTATTTATGGATAAAGTTATGAAAGCTTTACAATTTACACAAAATTTCAAATAATTTCTGAAGGTAAAAAACTTTTTGGAATTTAAATTCATTACATTGACTTGCACCATATTAAGAATTTCACAAAAGGGTAAAATCTATGAATAGTTGCTTAATAAATTGTAAAACAAGTGTAAAAAGTTAACCTTGTTCCTAAACGTCTAGTTCTAAGTCCAAGGAACACTGATCGAATAAGCTTCCCAAAGGAAGCAGGATTCATTGGGTCAAGCCCTTGCTCTTGACAATGCCTCAGGTAATGATAGTAAAGTGTACTACGTGGCAAACTGACCCCCTCAGCTGTTTCATAATTGTCAATTAGCCATTGAACCTGTAGAGATTAGAGAAGATTTTGAGAAAAATAGTGTTAATAATCTGAGCCAAAGTGTTATCAGAAAAATTTTCATGACTAGTTTAATAAACAAAAGAAATCACTGTAAAGAATTCTCAGTCCTTAAATGTTTTGAGGATCAGTAAAAAAGTAGAATTATTATTTTTTATATTATTTATTATTATCAATATACATATAATTTTTTGGCATATACATATTTGAGTGAAGGTTAAAACAATAATGGTTCTAAATAAAAGAAATTGTAAAATGGCTTCAAAAATTAAAAAATAAGAGTGACTCTAAATAAGGTAAAAAATGTGTAAAAGTATTTTACTACAGGATATATTTGACAGCACTAGTTTATAATAACAGCAATTTTTTTTTCAATATTCTCAACACGTCCTCGTTATAGTTTTTTAAAAAGCTTTCGATTCTAACTTGTTTTAGAATAATCTGCTATAACAGTGATAAAATTTAGTTTCCTATTTCTGGTTCATGATATTTATCCTCCTTAATCTCAGTAAAATACTTTAAATTCTGTTTAGTTAAAGGTACAACAAATATACTTAATATCAATTTTTAATAGTTTATAACTTAAAGCTAAACAAATATTTGACAAAGCTATCTCAAATTGATAACACTTTTATAACAAGATGGAACAAAAAAATAGAAAGCCACACAAACATTCAACTTATATAAAGTGTATAATAACTATTCAGATTTCTTTAAAACAACAATAAATTATCTAAATATAATGTGTACACCCGTATGTGAAGTTGGTTGAGTAGGTCATATAATTTTAGCTTGAATTTGAAAAAAATATTTTCTACAAGGGTGATTGAAATTCAAAGCATCAAAATCTAAGGGAGGACAATTCAGTAAGGCCCATTCACACCTTTCAAAGCGTGGTTCCAACATTAAAAATAAAAATAAATGTTATGATTTCAGTAGAGCAATACTGCCTTCCATCATACTTAAAATGATCAAAGCAACATAGGATATTATAGGTATGCATGCTTAAGATAAACTATAAGAACACAAAATTTACAACACCAATAATTTTTACTCTTAATTTTTTATGTGATTACTTTAATTACAAACATTAATTAATCAAGATTTATTCAATCGTTTGAGATAAAACTGAAAACAATTTAAACTGGAAATTTTAAAGTTAAAAAGCAGCATGCAAAATTTCAAAGAATACACAACTATGTTACTTTGAATTTCAAACACTTCACTTCTCGGCCACAACTATCAATTTATGTGTTTTTTTCTAGCCTTGTTAAAAAAGGTAACTATCGCTATCATAATGCTTCTCAATTGTTTTGGGAACTAAAACAAAACATATATTATATACCTGTTCATAAAAAAGTTCTAATTTATTTACCAGAGAAGACATATAGCATCTCATTTGCATTTATTTAATGACTCATTAATTTTTTAAATCTTGTGTGTTTTCATGAGTATTTGATGTTGCTGATTTAAAGCTGCATACACATTGTTTACGAATAACTAGAAGCTGCAAAATTTGGTTAATTATGCAAAATCATGTTCTCAATATATGCAATATTTCATTTCACAGATAAAAAATTCCAAAAATATTATTCTCAAATATTCTGAGTGAAATTCATAACAGATCATGTTATGACAATAGTACTTATTCCCTGAAATATTTCCAAAAAAAATGTGGCTTATGAACAAGTATATAATAAGGTAATATATAAATGTAAAGGTAACTGTAAAGTTTTGTCTTCAATAATTTGGAAACATGACAATTAAAATTAAGGCAGTTTTGTACTAAAGGTACAGGTCTTGCCAAAGTAATGAAAAAAAAAACACAACAAAAGTTGAAAGATGGGCCTGTAAACAAACACAGCTCACCCCATCCATTGGAGATTGTGTATTAAAATAGGAACAAACAAAAGCACAATCTCCTATGGATAGGGACTTGAGCTAAATGACAGCCAGCTAACCAACCACACTTTGGCGGGCGTGAAGGAGCCTTACCTCTTTAGTGTGCAAATTGCTCAGCTCTGCCAGAGGGGTGTGGTTCTTTAAAAAGGAAGAGAAAACCGAAAATAGGGAATAACAACAGCTGTGGGTTATTTTTAAGCAGTGTACAACTTCTTTTAATCTTTAATAAGATAACTTGCTGAACTATTGGAAATAAGGAAGTTGAGGCTAAGTGACCTAAAACAGAATTACTCAGTCTTTGTCAACTGAGACAACGTTTTGATACAACTATAAATAGAAAGAGTTAGTCCTAAACTTAAAATATTAATGTAACTTTATAACGGGTAAAACTTATCAAATAAGAAATAGCTGATTATGTTATTGAACTTTCAGTAGCAGACTATAATGTTATTATTTAAATATGAGAAGAAACCGTACAAAAAAGATAGGTTCAGCAAGTTAGATAATATGACCAATGTAACAATACCAAAAAAATCTGACATTGCTATCCAAATGATTTATTTATGCAAGCTTAAGCATAAATTTAAAAAAATGCAATAAATTGAACTGTTAAAGTGAACTCTTGAAAAAGATTTTTTTAATTAGTCCTAATTCCTTAGGAAGTAACAAAATAGGCTACTATTGCATATATTTCACATCTAATTAAAATGTATTAGTACCATCTAATTTTCTAAATGTTATAGTCTACCTTACCAAAAACTTTCTAAAAATGATGAGTAGCAAATGTTTACTTATACGTATCAGCAAAAAAAAAATATAAATAAATAAATTACTAGTTTATTTTTTTATTATTTACTAGCTTATTTATTATGTGTAAGAAATTTCTACAGTGAAGCACAAAAATGTTTATTCTTAAAATAAAAGGATTAATTTTTTTTTAATTTTCAAATTAATTCACACTAATATGTGACGTTAACCCACGCAAAAGAATATATATTTTCAAAACATGTTGATTATGATTACTGAATGAGAGTACTTACAGTAACTGGTGATGCTCTTGTTGTATGTGTCAATGGTGTGCCATCTCCATCTACAGTACCACTTTGAATGAGGAAAGTCCCACCTTGTTGGATTATCTGTCCTTGTAATGTTTGTACAGATGTTCCAACAGGCATTAGACTTTGCGCCACCTGTTGAAAGAATGGATTCTTGACAGGAAGGGAAAATAATCAATATGTTATTTGCTACATAGAAAGAATATGAACAACAAAATTTCATAAATGAAAAAGCATACTATATTACTAGTAACAAATTAAAAGCATCATTTTCAGAATGAAAGTAATATAATATTTTAAAATATGAATTATCATACTTATATAAGTTACAATAGTAAATGATAACAATTGGTAATTACCTGGGTTCCTTGTGGGGTCTGGTAGTATGTTCCTGACACATTAGTGTACATGGTCCCTTGACTATAATCACCATAATTATGCCTTAGGAAAATAAATTTTAGAACACATTACAAAATCTATAAATGTGATTTTAAATGTATGCAAAATAAGGTATAAATTACAATATATTTGTTATGTGTATATAAACTAAGCTCCCCTTGAATTTAAAATGTATAATTTTTTTAAGAAATGAATTTTTGAAATTGTTAAAACTTATTAGCATGCTGATGTTATTACAGCAGCTAAAATTAAGTACATACAGAGTGTTAAGAACATGTAGAGATATACTTAATAATAAAATGACACAATACAACAGCAAAAAGATTTATAAGCAATAGATCATCATAGATATTTAGCGCGTTAAACTTGATTATGAGAAGATTATTTTTTGACTGTCTATCAATAAATTAATGCGTGAGGGAGATAAAAATACAATATAGTAGAATCCAAACTATATATAACAAAATGCATTAAGCAATTAGGTTAGTTATAGCAACTACAAATTGAGCTAAACTTGCAAAAATACAAAATTGCTTCTAGAAATTAGATACTTTAGTTAATGATTTAGTTACTACTAACATGACATTAATATACATATTTAATGTTTGCTAATTGCAGAAACCATAATATTCTTGCTCTACTGAATAAGAGTAGTGAAAGTACCTGGCTTTCAGCACCAGATCTTTAGCCCTACAACAAAAAAGGACAAACTTGAAGATAGTGTCTATGTTTTCCCTTACTTTTATATCATATTCAACCGCAAAAAATAATAATAAATAAATTAATTCCCAGATTCTAAATTTGTAACCAACGTTGAAACTTAAAAAAAAAAAACTACTTTGATATTGGTCATCAGTTATACAAAAACAGAATGAAGGCTAAAAATGATTGGTTTGGAATCAGTTGCTTCACTAATGTAATTACCTTACAATAATGATTAAGACTGTTACTATATAATTAAATACAGTGAAATCGTTTAAAGGGACAGAAATACTTCTTAATGATAAAAAGAATCTTCTGTTAAATGATGCATTAAAAATACCTAGTAGCTTGTACAGGCCACATTATATCTTTGTCTTAATTATTTGCGTAAAAAGTTTCACTGTATTTGTATTTTTAAATATTTAAGAATATAATGACATTTTTGTAAATGATTTAGACCTATATGATTTAAAAATACAAATATATATAAAAATTTCAAATAATTTTACTCTTCATTAGATGAAAATTTAAGCTCTATTAGTGTAAGACAAAAGTATATCATTTCAGGCAATATGGCCCTAAAGATTAATAAAAATAAATACTCATTTACTATAGTTTTTGGCTATTATATTGTATACAATACTGGACCACTCTTAAAAAAAACCACAACATCCAACATGGCTTGCCCATACAAATATAATTATATTATCATTTGCAATGGCAGAAATCTGAAAACTTAATAAAAATAATCTCTAGAACCATGATAATTAATCTTTATTAATAATAAATAAAATAAATATTTTAGAAAAAAGTGCAGATTCCACGTAACCAAAATTTTTAAAAAGGAAATATAATAAAAATCAAAGCTTTACCTATAATTTAACATTAGAATGATTATTGATAAAAAATAACTATGAGAAACTGTTCTAATAGAAGAATAGTATGTAAAAATATTAAAAATAATGAAAAACTTTATGTTCTAGTAAAGTAAAAGTACAAACTCTAAAATTGTAGCCATAGGTAACAATTAGCTGCTATCACTAACAAAAAAACAAACAAACAAAAAACAATAAGATTTTTTAAACACTTCAGTGGTCGAGTTAATTTGAGTTAATTTAACGTTGTAAAAAAATGTTTTTTTTTTTTTTTTAAGAAACTAATTAAACTAGTAAGTTTTAAAATACTTTTAAAGATACCACTGATCTAAGTAGCATAATTTTTTTTTATCTCAATACTTTGGTATTTAAAATAAATGAAAGTAATATATAAATGATTAAGTGGAATCTGATAATGAACTAAATACCATTAATATTATTTTAGTGCACTTTCTAAAGAAAATAAATATTGTGAATCAAACTGTTATTAATATTATATTGTAAAATAGTAATAGCAATGTATTTTAACCATTTAAATCAACAAAACTTCAAGAGAAAAAAAAATCACACGCCAAGAAAAAGAGCAACGCCAAGTGGGTCAAAGAGAGAGCATAACGCTAAATTTAGTTATGCCTCTCTCTTTTAACTATTCCTACTGTGGTCCGTACATTTGGCCATTAGCGTAGATGCCAGGGTCTGAGCCCTCTACGTACTGTAGATGTGTGGGGTACACTGTTTGTCCACCTTGTTGAATAGTAATTGTTTCTTGTTGTGCTTGTTCTGCCAGTTGTTGATGGTCAACTGATGAAGCTAAAATAAAAATGTAGAATATCAAACATAAAATTTTTTTACTTTCATTTTCTAATCAGTGTAACCACTTAAGGGCCACCTATGTTAGCTAATGACTATTTGGATAAATAATTGAAACAAATACTGTCAGTAATGAAAATTTGTATTGCATACATATATTTTTAATGTGCTGTACACGATAACAAAAGATATCAGATGAACTTTTAATGGGAGTACAGTCATTTTTTAAATATGGTACACACACTATTCCAAGAAATTTTTGTTTTAAATTGAGCAAAATAAAAAAGTTCCATCAAAGAACCATTATTTTGAGAATATGCGCAGTGTCACTAGCGGAGTACAAAAAAAAAAACAATCCACCAGATTAACAAGTGGTGGCCTTCAAAGAATTTCATGTGAAAATAAAATGCTTGCTTACTAGTAACAATAAACTGCTGGCCAGTATGTGCTTGAGCAGGTTGTATGATAGTTGTTTTTTGTCCTTGCTGTCCACCTTGTGAGCCTCCACCTGATGTCTTAACCACCGCCCCATTCTATTTTAAACAAACAACAATAATATCAGTTCTAAAGTTAAAAATAGAGACAATTACAACAATAGTTCATTTTAATACCCAAGAGGACTAGCAAGCCTCTTCGCCATAAATTATTTTTTTCCTTAGGCACATAAATGATTTTTAAAAGAATTTATTATTTATTGGGGAAGTGTAAAATTTATAAAGAGTTGTAGTATTAGAATGGGATGAGATAGAGTTATGAATCTGAAACTGTGGATGATTTAATAATATATTTACTTAACATTTTAACCAATTAAACAAACCCTGCAGACTGTTTATTTAATGCTCATGTTAAAGATAGACAGCAATCTAAAATGCATAATTAAAAAAAAGATGTTTGCTGAATAAAATATATTTAAACAAAACAAAAAAACAGAGTATTACTAAAAATATATTAATGGGAAAAAAATGCTTATAAAAAAACACTGTTTGATAAAAAGCATTTTAAAATGAAATATATTAAAAATAAATAATGTATTGGTGTATGAGGCTAAAAGATTTTATGTTATTGAAAAAGCATTTTTTAAAGTTAGGGCCACACAAAGCACTAATTACCTATTTAAAAATTAGTCAAATACAGGGTTATTGGAAAAAAAAAACCTTCACTTCCAAAAGTATGTAGTTTTAAAATAACACTAATAATTGTCATTGAGTAATAGAGAAAGAAATCAATAATTTTTCTAATCAGCTAGCTATATTAAAAAATCAACATAAACTACATTAAATATTTTGGTTAAAAATTATCTGATTGGAAACAGAACAAAAACAGTACACTTATTTTTTAAAATAGTAACATTCCAAAATTTTATCAAATATAAATAGGCTTGAGAAATTGTGCAGATGCTGATTCAGACACAACATAGTTCATTCTAAACATAAGCATATACCCATAATACCATCAATTACGTTTTAGGTGATGTCAAGATTAGCAGCTACTTGTGAACACACTAATAAAAACTTTATCATGAAGCTGAATTAAATGTCCTCCCACTTACCCCATCAGATGTGAGGTCTAGACCAAAAGCCTGCATTTAACAGATAATAACTAAATACAATAATTATAAAATACAATGATGAAAAAGTTCAACTTGAACATCATTTTGCTTTTTTCATGAAAATGAGGGAAATGCTTCTGCATAATAGTTGATGATACCTGGCAATAATACATTATTAAACATAATTTAAACTATCTCCATGAACAAATTAAAACAAAACACCCTTGACGTTAATTAAATAATAATGTAAATGTACCTGAACAGCAGCAGGATTCATTACTTGTAAATCTGTAACGTATGTTTGTGCTGCCATTGATCATTTAAGAAATACAAAAATGTATTTATATGAACTGCAATAAAAAAAAAAGTAAAAATAAATTAACAAAGCGTAAAATGAGTTAACCCCTTTTATTGTTTTATGAATGATGTCTATACCTTACAAGAAGTTTTACATTTCAAGTGTAATGCTAGAAAATTTTAGAGTTGTGTTCAGTTGACTAATGCTTGTGAAAAACCAGTAGAAACTACTAAGTTCAACATTAGTTAAGACTAACTAGTAAAGAGTGCTCCTGGATTTATCAACACTTAATGAGGGCATTTCAAAACTACTTTTTAACACTAATTAAGGCCCTAAATTTATCAATGACCCTAGCTAAGAAATAAAAACAGAAAAGAAATGTATCAATGATATACCTATTCAATTATTAGCTTTAAGAAGTGAAAGTAAAAATGTTAATGAAATGAATTTTATATATTATTAGAATAATACTTGTTGCAGTTTGGTCCCACCCACATAAAAAAAAAACAAGGTTCTAATAAATTTAATCCCAACTGTCCATTGTGTCAATCCCCCCTCCCCCCACTCAATCTCAATATTTTCATGACATTAAGAGCTTAATAAGAGTTAAGATGTATGTGTTGTTTTCCAGGTTTTTAAAAGTTCTTTTACACTTTCAAGATTTTTATTTGGAAAAGATGAATCCTCATTATGAGATTATTATGACAACAACTCAAATTTCCAGTTTCTTTCTATTTCCTTAATTTTTTTAACGAATTAATTTTTCTTTTTTTATTCCTAACATGTATTTTAAAATAAGTTTAGCCATATCTATGCAACTTACTAAACTCTAATGAAGTATGAATATTTTGTGATTGAAGAATGGATTTTGTTTGATCAAAATCAATGTGTGGTTAAATAACATTATAAAAAAAAAAACAATAAATTACAAGGGTGCAGCTACATTGGTAGAAGCATAGGTTTCTTAATGCTTTCCTTTACAATGGAATTTTAAAATTTTGTTCCTTAGTCAGTTTTATTTATGAAACGAGTTGGTCCTTTTCAGGTTCATCAAAGCATAACATGAGATTATATTGTTGTTACATTTTAAATCAATGAAAAACATTTGAAAAAAAAAAAAGCCATAACAATTTTTCTACAGTTATTACATTTTTTAATTACTGAAATAGATTCAAAAGAAATATGTGAGAATTAATATAAATGCACAGATTTTTTAATATCAATTTTTACCCACTACTGTAAAACATGATAATACAGTGTGCAAACGTCAATCCAAAAACTTGAGTTAGCAAACATCTTTTTGTTATATTTTTTCACATTGATAATTAGATATATGTAGGCCAATAGTATGTTATAGCTAGTATCGCCAATGGACGAGAATAATCTTAAAGGAATTCGAAAGGCCCATAAATAATATTAATATAGTTATCTTATAAAATCCTGATTGTTTGGTATCAGACTGTAAAAAAGAGAGGATGTTTAACGCTTTAATATTTTCTGCAATTAAACACAGTAAAAAAGACAAAAGCTGTTCTGGTTTTCACTTGGTAATGATGACATAAAAATGGCATTTGAAAGGCTAGCATAAATTTTATTATACAAAAATGTAAACAAAATGGTAAAACTAGGTCATGTGGTTTACATCATTTAAAAAAACTTTATTTGCAAAGTTTTTTTAAATAACTATCCATCGCAGAGTTCCTGCACAGCCAATCTTCTTCTTCTTCTTCTTCGTTCTTAATTATTAGTGTTGAAGGTGATCGAGATTTATCTGCCAGCGCGTTTGAACTCGAGACTTTGTTCGAATTTATCAACCATGAGCTTTTTGCCGACTCGACCACGCCTCCAACACAATTAAGCGTTACGTGTCAACTGGTTATGCGCCATTGAGGCCATTGACTCCGGTTTCAGCCTGCTTTTCTTTTTGGATTTGCTTCCATAGCCTTTGTCCAACCAAGAACAATCTACAAGGCAGCAGTTGTTTTAATTTTGGAGTTCTCTCCTAGAAGAGTGGCTGTCCCCAGCTAACGAGCCTCATCTGCCCGGGGGTTCGAACTCGAGACCTTTCGGTTTAGCAACCATGAGCTTTACCGACTCGACCACGCCGACCCCCACAGCCAATCAATGTTTGTCTTATTAAAGTGAAACATCTGTTTATAACTTAGGCTTGATGAAAATAAATAGAAATGTAGCCTTAAACTCAAAAAATTATTTTCAAGTTCTCTGGATTTGCAACTTTGATAACATTGATTCTAAAAATATTACATTACAAGTAGTTTTATATCTATCATTATGGTTGACTAAGATTCTAGTACTTATGGGTATGATAAACTCACATTGTTTTAAATTTTAAGTTTGCATGCATATGCTATTTCAGGTGCACAAGACACATTTAGATTTGTAAAACTCAATTTTTAGTGTCTTTAGGCCTAGATCTATTTAAAAGTTAGACCTAGATATATTATATAGAATATAGATCTAGTATAAGCCTAGTAGTTACATTGTATGGCAGAAGTAGATGTATTGTGTATTTTTAGATTAGGCCACATGCTATTTTTTTTAAACAGAGTCTATCTATGAGGTAGGTCTTCTGTGCCATTACAGATTGTTAGCCAACTAGCTATTGTACTATTACATTAAGGTTGTGGTCCTGGGAATGCAACATATGGACTCATGGAGCAGTTAGTGTTTAATCTTGAACAATATGAAGAATGTGTCTATGCCACTTTAAAATACTTTTTAAAAATATATTTCGATTTATAATTTAAGATGGTTACTTTTTTTTTTTACAACATATGAGTTAAAAGAAATCAATCCCAAACAATGTGTTTTCAAATTAATGCCACGAGGTTAAGCACGCTCAAAGGCCAACAAGAAGGGGGAGGGGGTTTCCATTTTGGTTGTCAAAGACACGACAATGCTGATTTAAAATTTAATACGGCCTGAGGGTCTCCGTGACCGAAAATGTCTAGTAATCGGTCATTTAAACAAGATGCATCTAAATGGGAAAGTAAAATACTCTTTACAATTTATTTGTTTAACTTTTAAACATCTTAACGTAAGACAATTCACAAGACCGATATTTTTAACAAGAAAGCGTTTCCGATCGGCCATTTTCGAACCGACCTTTCGACATTCCTACTGACTTTCCTACTTTAAGCATTCAGTTTACAAATAAGGCCATTCTTAAGATGGACAAGACAAAACAAAAACACACCCTTTATCTAAAGCAATCATCAACATACAAATGAACGTTAAATTCACCTTAGAGTTGTTGATGGGAAACAGTCGTCACAGCTACCGTGTCTATGGCGTTTATTCCTACGGCAACTGTTGCCAGAGTCTTCGCGTCAGCATAAGCAATATCCATGCGCTTCAATCCGGGAACTTTTGAATTTAATCAAAAGTATTAGATAATTACTTAACTATAATTTTATATTCTTTGTTGATACAAATTTGAATAATTAATATTTCTAGAGTTATAAACTACTTCTATCGAAGTATTTACAATAAACAATATTGAATACTTTTTTGCGCGGAATGTGCGTTGACATGAAACGGTGAAAAACATTTAGGCATGCTGGGGCAAGTTGCTATCAAGATGGCGGTGAAATTTCGCGAGACTAGCGTGCTTGACAACTGAGGCACGAAACGAGAATATCCATAAGTTTTAAAATAGCATTATAATTTATGACAATTGAAAATAAAAAATATAATAAATACGCTGCATTACTTACATCATATGATTATCTAACATGACAGATAAAGAAGATGAGCCTTAAATAAAACTAAGCAGCAGCTAAGGAATTCAAGACGGCTAATGCGGTCACCGAGCAACGACTTCAGTTGCCACAGAACTAGATCTAGATCTAACTGTATTGCGGGTAGGGTGAAGGCCGCCTGACGTTGTGTAGAGCTCTTGTTTTTTCTTGTTGTTTTTTTTTTTTTTGCGTCGTCATGGCCATGTGCCAATTTGTGCGACGTTCAGATGTTTTGTGCTATCAAAGTAGATAATTCATATTCTGCTTTGTAAATTTAATAGATTAAACATGTTTGATAATCACAATTCTCGTTCCTAAACCCACGACAGTCAACATCAACAAGCTTAGATCTGTTAATTAGTTTTTTTATTGTATCTTAATTGAAAGTATAAGCCCAAAAAAATAATAGAACATTTCATGCAAGAGAAATGCGCACCTAGACTATAAATACAAGTGTGTGGGTATCTTTTAATTGATGGTATATGCCCTAAAAAATTAGTATATTACAATAACATTTCATGCTAGAGAAATGCGCACCTAGACTAGAAACACAAGTGTGGGCCTATATAAATTGCATATGCAGGGGGAAAAGGAAAACTATTCTATTTATTTAGGTAGCAAATAGAAATATAGCCTGGAGGTTATGAGTATAGTACAGATAAGAAGACAGTTACTGTTCAAGGGAGAGATCGAGAAAAAAAATTGTAACATGACGTCACACTTTGTCAAGAAATATTCCTTAGTATAGGGCCTATAGATGTTTATTAGTCGTGTCGTTGACAATGCTTTACTAACCCCAACTATTGTTTCCTCCAGAATTTTTTTCTCGGGGGGGGGGGGGGGGGGCGACACTGGTAAAAAGTATATATTTTCTATATAAATTCTATTTCTTTCAGGGGGGGGGGGGTTAGACCCCCCCCCCCCCCCTGAAGAGATGCCTGGAAGAAACTGATCGCAACGAAAAAAAAATTCTATTAAGGAACATATTATTAAATAGCATAATAAACGAAAGAAATAAAATGTGATACTGTAATAAAAGGCGTATATTATGCAGGCTAGGCAATATAATCACTCTACTGTCTAAAGTAGATCTAAGCATTACCTATTTGTGATATTTACTCGGAGAGGAAGGGCAGAGAGATTGACAAAACTTGGAAGGTTTAGAGAGAGGGGGATGGTCCCAGTATTTCTTTCGAGCATCTCTTCGGGGGGAGTGGGTGTTCCCCCCTCCCGACGCACGTTTAAGCCCCCCCCCCCCCCAACGAAAAAGACTTTATATAAAAAAATATATAGAAAACACATGCTTTTACCAGTGTCTGCCCCCCGTCGGAACATTTAGTCCGCCCAAAAATAGTTTTAAGTGCCGCCCCCCTCCCGTCCCGGAAAAAAAGTCTGAAAGAAACACTGGATGGAGCGTGTGAACGTCCACACATTTCATTTCATTATAGGCCTTCTAGTTACTGATGGTAACAAACATAAGACCGTATATCTCACAATGACATACAAAAGATACGAAATATAGACTATTGATGTAAACGACAGTACTCATATTTTTACTTTCTCGTATACAGATTACAGTATAGAGGAAGTATTGTAATCGTGCACAAAAATCACATGAAATTTTGACAGTAATTTCATCGTTACACCTCAGTACCTCATCATTTACGGAGTATAGGGGACTTATTTTAATCGGGTAAAAATAATAAATGCAGATTTATCAAAATTTCAGCTTTCTATGCGTAATCGAGTCGGAAAAAACTGGGCTTTGTAATTCTGTTTTAAGTGAAATAAAACAAGCCATCGACAAATATGCTTTCTTTCAATTTTTAAACTATCTTTTAAAAAAATCGTTCTCAATACATTCTAGATTTGTAACCCCCCCACCCCCCCCCCCCCCCCCCCCCCCGCCTTCCTATATAGATATTAAGTAGTTCTCTAAACATTAAAAGCGCTACTAATTTGTTAACATTGTTGCGTGCGCGTGTGTAGCTTTTGTAAATATTTAAATATCAAAAAATACAACCTGTAATGAGTTGTTTTAAAAGAGAAGTACTCGATAAATATGTATCATTTATTTTATTTTAAAAATGTGTCCATTACCCCCTCCCCCCACCACCCATATTATAAAAAAATGACGCGGTGTATGAAAAAGTCTTACGCAGCACCATAATGATCAGTCAGGCCAAAACGAGTTCATGACCTTTATTCCTGTTTTCATTCGTCATACACACGATAGAGCAGGGGCGTAGCCAGGTGACAGGGGCGCCTTTTTCGGGTAGTGTTTGAACTAAACATTAAAAGCAGAAATTAGAAAATTCACCTTTTACCAGCCACATTTACCAAGGCCTATGGAATTAAAGGATTTGCCGCACATCCACAACACAAACATGCAAACAGACATTGTGAATTAAATATAAGCTTTTAAAAAACCGACACGCTCTAAATTCTGGTTCGTTTTAATGAAATCTGTTCAATCACAGAGGCGTAGCGAGGGGGGGGGCGGGGGGGGGGGAGACATATGTCCCCGGGCGCCGACGAAAGTTTGAGAGGGGGGGGGGTGCAAATCGAAAGTTTGAGGGGGGGGGGGGATGTAAATCGAAAGCTTGGGGGGGGGGTGCAAATCGAAAGTTTGACCCCGGGCGCCGGGAAGGGTCGCTACGCCTTTGTTCAATCATTCATAATGTTTTCGCCATTAGGGCCCAAGACTCATAGGGCAGATGAAGTGAATTCATCTGTTTCAATGGTCTCGGCATACGGGGGTGGGGATGGGATATAGTGTGGTCTATGCCCAGCCGCCTTGTTTTCCTACCCAAAACTGGGTGAACACTGGGACGTCCTACAGACTCGAACCCAGTATGTGAACTCGAGATTTTAACTAATCAGCGCTACAGTTTTGCCCCCCCCCCTCCCGTCACACTATTGTCTACACCAGGCGTTCCCAACCTTTTTTACTCTAGAGCACATTCTAAAATATCGGTAGGGAGGCGGGCACCACCTATTTTAAATCCCGGCGCCCGGGGACAAAACTTTCGATTTGCACCCCACCCCCCTCAAACTTTCAATTTCCATCCCCCTTCAACCTTTCAATAATGTTTATGAAAAAAATCTGTCTCTGTCGAATAGTGAGAGGCGGGCACATACGAATCGTTCGGCGGGCGCCATGGCGCCCGCGGGCACAGGGTTGGGAACCCCTGGTCTACACTCTCCTGCTTGTAAAACACAATCAGTGCTTTGGTAATCCTAGAGGCTGTATCTTAAATCTTATCGCTAGGTGGTGTTCGCGTGGCCAGATTTCTTACTCTCGATGTGCTTTACATAAGATCTGTTGGTCTTAGCTCTAGCGTTTGATAATGGGTCGTCCAATCGTAGGGGGGGGGGGGGTCAGTAATTTTGTGACGGTGTGTGATGAGGGGGAGGGGGGTGTTCAGATGGTGTGACGTCACTTATTTGCATAAAAAAGCAATGTTAGAAAACGAGTTTTAGCCGTTATTTTGGAAAAATATCGATGTTTTAAGAAAAATTCAACTGCAATTTTTAGGGGGGGGGGGGGGGTTGTAGGCTGAGGTGTGTCTGGCTTGTTGTGACGACGTGTGACGGAGGTAGGGGAGGAGGTAAAAATCGTCAAAAAAGCGTGACGTCATTTATGGATGACCCCTAATAGAAAGCTGTTGCGCGGACTTTTTAAACCTCACTAATTTCAGAAAAAATTATACAAACCAAAAAAAGGAAAGATTTTTTTTACATTACATCGATACCAATTTTGTGTGTCCAGCTTCAGTAGGAGTTGAGACATAGACTTTTAAAAATGTATGGTCGTGGCCACACACTGCTAAGACGTGTGTCGTTCACGCCAATGGTTAATAAATGTATTTTAACTGCGCTGTAAAGTCACATGGCGGTCACAGTAACGCACAAGGTAACACCATCGGGGGGGGGGGGGGGCACCACATCTTAAAAAATATGTGGGGGGGGGGGGGGGGGAAGGGAAGAATGACGCTAAACCGGAAATGTAAAATCCGTACCTGATAACGCCCGACCTAGTGACGCTACACTCACCGTGGCGTAGCTAGACCAGGGGTCTCCAAACTTTTTCAGCCCGATGGCCGCATTAACTATCAAATAGCAGTTCGGGGACCAGAGTTTCTTCCAGGCATCTCTTCGGGGGGGGGGGGGGGCTTTGCCCCCCCCGAAATTTTTTTTACCGCCCCCCCGAACGAAATGAAATTTATATAATTTATATAGAAAATATATACTTTTAACATTGTCCGCCGCCCCCCGAAGAAAGTCTACCGCCCCCCCGAAAATTTCAAGTGCCCCCCCCCGGAGAAAAAAGTCTGGAAGAAACACTGCCAGGCATCTCTTCGGGGTGGGGTGAGCCCCCCCCCCCCCAACTAAATATAATTTATATAGAAATATATACACATTTCAAGTGTTATCCCCCCGTCCCCTCCCCCCCCCACTCCCCCCGTGGAGAAAACATTCTGACAGAAACACTGTCGAGGGTCGACAACACACTTGAGGTCCAAGTTTGCTCTCAAATTGTTCTTCATCTTTTTTTGAAAATGTTTGTTCACACAGGTATGTTTTTCCAAAATTTTAAAGGTAGTTTGGTGCTAACGTTTTAATATTAGAAAAGTCTTCCTTGGGCAAAAACTTATAAAAACCCACCCGCCCTTTTTTGAACTAGTCTCTAAGGAGGTCATTTGCTTACAATTCAATGGCCTCCTGCTGCAGTTTATCTGGGCAACTGGCCACATTTGCTTCAATAGGATTTTCATCCACACCTCTAATGAACACAAGCAGTTGAGAGGTGGAACAGCTGTTCAGCAACTCATCCATGTCTGCAACACGGCGAGCAATAGTATTTGTACCCAAAGCTACATTTTCAAGTTGTTTTGAATTCTCTGGGCAAAGTTCCTTAGCTACTCTCAACAAACATTTTTTCTGTGGACTAAAATATCTCCGCGGGCAGAATGAGAGGAGCTCGCGGGCCGCGGCCCGTAGTTTGGAGACCCCTGAGCTAGATTAATAAAATAATAATAAATAATAAATAATAATAAAATAATCAAAAGGAAGGGGGGGGGGCTTACATTAAAAAAATTCTTGGTGAAGAACGCTTGTTTATCTTGCCTCTTCCGGAATAAAATCTAAAATAATTTATAACTAATAAGGAGCAAAGAGGACCAAGTCAAGTAAGTCAAGTCAATAAAAATATTGTGTTTGTAATATATAAGGCATATGCATATAACTATTCTATGCTACTTGCATATTGAATTAGGCAAAATAGGTCGGAAAGATGTCGCATTTATATATAACACTTTGCCTCCCCCCCTCCACACAATCAGGACTAATACCCCGAGCTAGAGCCGACCATGTAATTGTAGGCAAATGTTGATTAACCTGTTTGATAATCCAGATATTCAACAGGGTCACGGTCGGTTGACCCTGTCTATCTATGAAGAGGTCACATCTGTAACAATGAACTCCCGGATGTGGATAAAGAACCTATAATTTCTAAATTAAGGAACAGTTGATAAACCTTGTCAGTCTATAAAACAATCTCCAAACCACCCAGCTTATTTTCTCTTCTTATTTACACTGATTAGGGTGTTTAGGTGTTGATGTCATGTCATCTCGGCCTAAAGTCTGTTGGACTTCCCTGAGTGCACCCAGCTGTGATGGGTACCTGACTCATGTAACTAAAAGTAAAAGTTCCCTTTTCAAACCTGACTATGCCCAGTAGCCTTTACTTTCCCTAACGTGAGTTAGGTACCCATCAGAGTTGGGTGGACTACTGACTTGAACCCGGATTCGAACTCGAGACTTACGGGCTAGCAGTCCAGCTCTCTACCGCTAGGCCACTCTGTCCTTATGTAACTAAGGTGGCTTGATATGCCGTGGTTATTGAAACAGGTGAACTCTACTTCATCTACCCAATGTGCATTTGGCATGAACGGGAAAATGTAAATTAAATTAATGAATTGAATTGTACACAGGCCAACAAGTCAACTCGGCATGTAACATATTATTGCTATTGTACACACAATACAAAAATATCAAAGTAAAGCCAATGCGAATGATTGAGATTCACAGTTTAGTTTATTATACATAGATAGTGTACATCCTCCCCCAGCTTTACCATCTACAGGAAAAAAAAAATCAAGGCAAAACAAATATAGAGGGACAAAAGCATTCATATCTGATCTTATGGATGTGATAAATAATCTTCTGATGGCTTGTTAGAATTGCTTCCCCTGGTACACAGTTCTTTCCCTTGTATTATGCTGACAACCAGATAGAAGAATGCAGGCTACAAATTATGGTCAGAGGAAAAGATGTAAAAAATACAAGTCACCTTCTAGTTCACAAGTAAAATATGTATACACATAACTAATAACATTTCCCTGTAGAAAGCTTACATTGTCAACAATAATAAAAATTTTAACACCAATTAATGGAAGCATATAGTAAAACCATGTTGCTTTCTGTCAAAAAATTGTAAAAAAAATCTAAAATAAATTTTAATTTAACCTGTATTTTAAGGTGTACAAATAATTTTAAATTAAAAAGCATGTCAATGTAAATATTGATAAAATAACTTTGATGCAATTTAACACCATCAAGTGATTATAAAATTGTGTTTTAATTAATTTAAATTGGATATTTCAATAATTTTGTTATATTCATTAGTGCTTGATTGGAACCAACACAATGAACCAAACTTTTCCCAAATAAAAATATTTGAATGCTTTGACTGTTCCATTTAGAAAAAAACACATCTCATAGCAGGAGGAAAAAATGTGAAATAAAAAAAAAACTATCAGCACCAACAGAATCATGATAAATGTTTCTTTATCTAGCCTTACACTTGATTACACGACCAACATCCTCAATAGTATAGCACAGCATCCATTTTCCAATAAGAACAACACATTCCATTCATAAACACAGCACAAAAAACATCTCCCTGTTTGTAAGTGGCAACCTGACACATTGTTACAACATGTTTGACTTCCCCCAAAGCCAAAAACAAAATCGCATCAACTTGTCAAGTTGCCAACACTCCAATCCAGGATCAAGCAGACCCTATACATTATTAACACAGAACTGGAACTAATGAAAGCAGGCTGTTTATAAAGTTAGGTAAGTATTTTTATTTTAAATACATTACATCACCCGCACCCTTATCAAAATAGCATCAGTTTATATAATAGTTTTTTTATACAGAAAATGTCTTGGTATCATATTTAAAATAATTACGAGTTATCTAAAACTTTAAATTCTTGTAAGAATTTATAACCCTTCTTAAACACATAAACTTGTAGCAAAAATAGCAAAGCTAGAATGATGTAAATATGCTGATATAAATAGTACATGAATCTAGAGATAAATAAGAGGGAATTTAAAAACATGGAGCAAAATATGATCTGTAACACATTAGTAAAGAGTAAATAAATAACTATTCAGCTTGACACTAGTCTACATTCATAAAATAAGCATTGCAGTGTACATGAAACAAAATACTTAAAAAGACTTCAGTATTTCACATTTCCTTGGAGAATGAGAAGATATGTCAAAATCCAGTTTATAAGTTACGCAGGTAAAGTACTCTTTTTTTAACAGATCACAAAAAAAATAACACAGTGACTCAATTAATTTAACTTATTTACATTGCAAATATAAAGTATTATAAAATAGCTACTAACATGGGGTTTTTAAAACCTAAATATATCTGTACAAAACTGAGGAGAGAATGCTTCTCTCCATATACATCTCTTTCTAAAAATAAGTACTACAGATTACAGCATGCAAAAAAAAAAATAATCAAGAAAAAATGACATGTAAAGCTAAAGTTGATTGGTCCGTTATAATCCTACTTGGCACATTCACATCCTCTCACATCAGCACAATGTGCCAGGTCTTTCATCAGATTCCACTTCAACATAAATAAAATTTGACACTTTAAAATATTATTCATCATGAACTTTCAATGATCGGTCAGTTAGGAATATTTACAACTTATGGTCAATGTATGTCTTAAAAAAACAGGTAAGGAAGAAACAAGGTAATTTACCCACGCTCTGAAAGACTTGGGGAACCCCCTTATAAGAGGCGGCTTGATAAATCTAACATAATTGCATTTTTGCTTAGTAAATTGAAAAAAAAAATTAACTTTTATTTGGGAATTATTTTTTTTTAGTGGGTGAAATTTTTGGTATTCTTGAAATCTTGGTAGTTGTGACAGTGGGCATTGTGACGTTTCGTGTTTGCACAACGTGGGTCTGGTAGGTCACGGTCGTGTCGTTGCGCCCGCCTACACTTCTCTTCTCGGACTGCACGGTGGTGAAGACCTCAGGCTGGTCATCTGAGGCTTCACTTCCTGCACGGCTTGTTGGTCGACTGCCATTGCCAGTGCTTGCTCTGCTAGACCTGCCACTTGCTGTCAAACAAAATAAAAATACTATGGTTGATAATGAACATTTAGGCAAAAAAGAAAAGCAATATAATTTGACAAAAAACAGAGGCCTAAAGAAAAAACAAAGACATGATACAAGTTAAAACTATTTAATATATTTATTAAACTCTAAAACAGTTTATCTAAGCCTTCTCAAATACATGTATCTCCATTGAAACAGCTTTAAATAAACTGTGTTTTTGAGGAGTTAAATGAGTGTGGATATTGATGTGTGTTGGTGGGTGTAGATGTTGGTTGTTGTAGATGGTGGTTGTAGATGTTGGTGGGTGTAGAAATTGGTGGTTGTAGATGTTGGTGGGTGATGGTGGGTGTAGATATTGGTGTTCGTAGTTGTTGATGGGGGTAGATGTTGGTGGGTGATGGTGGTGGTGGGTGTAGATATTGGTGTTCGTAGTTGTTGGTGGGAGTAGATGTTGGTGGGTGATGGTGATGGTGGGTGTAAATGTTGGTGGTTGTAGATGTTGGTGGGTGTAGGTATTGCTGCTGGGTGTGTATAAACTCACCAGGACTCTGTAAGGTTCTAGGACTGCGAGCAAGCTCCTGTGTGACCTTGTGTTTGACAGTTCTGGTCCCATCTGGTTCTGTGTGGGAGAGAATCTGATGCACCTCCCCATCAGGCGAGGTCTTTGTTTTCTGTTTCCATGGCGTCTGGTGTATGGTCTTCTCTCTGATCTGTTGACACAAAGTCGCATTTTGTAGGACTCAAAATATTTAAATATCTGAACATTAAATTAATGACGCAATACCACTTCCATAAAAAAATAAAACAACTTATTCAATTGTAGAAATCTAAAGTTGGCTAGTCATGCATTACAAAAAGGAATTTTTCAAGGTGAAAAACTGATAAACATCAATGTTAAATCACTAACAAATTATACAAATAACTGCTAAATGTGACATAACTGATACAAATAGCTGCTAAATGTGAAATAGCTGATACAAATAACTGTTATATGTGACATAACTGATACAAGGACGGAGTGGCCTAGCAGTAGAGAGCTGGACTGCTAACCCATAAGTCTCGAGTTCGAATCTGGGTTCAAGTCATTAGACCGTCCCTGAGTCCACCCAACTCTGATGGGTACCTAACTCACGTTAGGGAAAGTAAAGGCGTCTGGGCATAGTGCTGACCACACTATCTCTTCATATGCCGAGGTCAGAGAAACAAGTGAACTCTACTTCACTCCCCCCATAGACCGTCAGGTTTGAAAGGGAAACTACTACTATTAACAGATACAAATGACTGCTAAATGTGACATAATTGATACAAATAACTGCTATGTGACATAACTGATATAGATAACTGTTATATGTGACATAAAAGTGATACAAATAAATGCTACCACAACTGATGCAGAACTGGGCTGAATGCAACCATTGTGGAGAGACAAGAACACAAGGTGATGTACCTTAGTGACCGGGCCACTGGCCGTACTGTTGGAGCGGCCAGAGTAGGAGGAGCCGCTGGAACTTCCTGCAGGAGACTTGGACACAAAGCCAGCCATTGATTGGCTCACACCTTGTGCCAGGACAAAGTTCTCTCTCAGCTCAACATTGGTTCTTCCCTTAGCTGCAAGCAAAAGCAGATCAACATGTTGAAACAATCTTACTTCATTAGCGTGATATGGGGAAGTAGGGGTAAATATAAGGTGCTTTTATACTGTAATGGGTCTACTTAGAGCATCAATATGCTTGTTATGAAATTATAGTGTTTAAGATTTATTCAAACCTGTTATTATGGTAGTTAATTACATAAAAAATAATGCTGCCCAATCAATCCTGACAGCTTTATTAAAATAAAATTAATGTATTTATTCAACAGTTAACTTTAGTCATAAACTCCTCTCTGCAAGAATTAATTTTAAACTACAATGTAATTCCCCTCCCCTCCCTGCCTGACCATAGTGGCACCAGATTTTTTTTTACAATACTTAAAACTTCAGTGCCACGTCAAGTCTGACAAGTAGCCTGAAGTGACGTCTGGCACATTTGTCAGCCCTATTAAACTCACTCATACAGATAATGCCGTAGCCAATTAGTGGTTTGTATTGCAGCATGCATGTTATAACTTTGGCTGTACAACACTTCATTACATTTGTATTACTATACACCACTACAATGATACATTGAGATTAGATTGGGATCTGATAACGATGTACTCTTGATAAATTTTACACTTCATTAAAATACACTCATGCCAAGAGACTAGAAGTTAAAAAGTTAGTAAAAAAAAAAAAACTTCCAAGAAACAAAGTAATTTAAATAATTATCACGTTCAAATTAAGGTAGTAAATCACCAATTAAAAGAATACTTTATTTAGTGTCAATCTATATTTGGATATCAATCTAAAGGTCACCAGGTACAGCTAACAACTGAAGGTCAGTCAACAACCAGTGTGAACAATCTGATAATGTGATTAGCAACAACAAACTATTCCATCAGTGACAAAGAAATCCATCTATATGGAATGTTTACATTCAGAACATTATCCATGTTCTTTACAAAATAAAGACATCTTTGTAGAGTGAAAGCAGATTTTTGTGTAATGATAGTCACACTATATTAAACACTAACAAATTTATAACTATGTCCATAATATATTTAAAAATCGTGCATCAAATTTAAAGCTATGTCCACAAAATATTTAAATAATGTGCATTAAGTATAAAACTGTGAAACATACATGGTGCGCTGCAAAGTTTAAAAAAAAAATAAAATCATAGAAAAACTCGTGTATTTGAAAATTAAATTAATACCAATTACCAACTTTTTGTATAAATTAAAAAAAAACGGCAAAATAAAGTGTTTTTTACTCAAATTTAGCTTGTATTTGACACATTAATGGGACCAACCTTAAGTATAAATAAATAACTCCCAAATCTACACCAGATTATTTTTGTAACTAATGAGAAATAAAAATTACCAACAAATAAAAAAAAAAAACGGAAATTAAAAATGTGAGACGTTCCACCACCAGTTTGTAGCCTTAGATTCTGTAGACCTCAGACTTCAACCTTTGTTTACTGCTGTTTACTAGCTTAGCAAATTTGTTGTGTTAAACCAAGTGTGAAGTTTACTCATGTACCATTAAACATCAACTAGTGTAACTAGATATTGAACTAATTCTTTTATCCGTCTTGTTGGCTCTTGATAAACGGACAGATGCAGGCGTCATACATTTACATCTACAAAACACTTCATCAGCAAACTTTGAATGAACACAGCACTTACTAAAGGTAAGACCAAATATTCTAATTCAAGAGTGGTTAAAAGAACCTCAATGGCCCACTGGGTAAAGGCTAGCTCAATGGTCTTTAGTGGGTAAAGTCTACCTAAATGGCCTGATGAGTAAAGGCTACCTGAATGGCCAATTGAGTAATGGCTTCCTAAATAGCCCAATGAGTAAAGGCTACCTAAATGGTCAATGAGTAAAGGCTACCTAAATGGTCAATGAGTAAAGGCTACCTAAATGGTCAATGAGTAAAGGCTATCTGAATGGCCAATTGAGTAATGGCTTCCTAAATAGCCCAATGAGTAAAGGCTACCTAAATGGTCAATGAGTAAAAGGCTACCTAAATGGTCAATGAGTAAAGGCTATCTGAATGGCCAATTGAGTAATGGCTTCCTAAATAGCCCAATGAGTAAAGGCTATCTAAATGGTCAATGAGTAAAGGCTACCTAAATGGCCCAATGAGTAAAGGCTACCTAAATGGTCAATGAGTAAAGGCTACCTAAATAGCCCAATGAGTAAAGGCTACCTAAATGGTCAATGAGTAAAGGCTATCTAAATGGTCAATGAGTAAAGGCTACCTAAATAGCCCAATGAGTAAAGGCTACCTAAATGGTCAATGAGTAAAGGCTATCTGAATGGCCCAAAGAGTAAAGGCTATCTGAATGGCCCAAAGAGTAAAAACTACCTCAGTGGTCAGTCTAGAGCAAAAGATGATCTGCCTAGTGATAAAACCCATGCCAGGACCACTTAAAATCTAACAAATGAACTGATGCTGAAAACTGGTGGACAAGCTACACTCCATGCTAAACATATGAACATCTCACAGAAAATTGTGGTTACTTCATTATTTAGTTTATATCATCAGACTATTAGTTATATATCTATCTTCATGTCTTGTTAGTAAAATTAGCTAGATCTATCCAGACTCAAATATATTTCATAACCTGAGTTTTAGAGATCTGTTAACTACAGGTTTTGGGCTATTGTAAGTTAATTAAAAAATCAAACCAAAAACAAGATAGTGTTTGTAGACATCAATCCAAAAAAAAAAAAAAAAGTTAAAATTAAAAATAAAAAGTATGATGCACATTAAGCTACCATTGAACACCATAGCAAATCCTTTTCAGAGAGAAAAATGTAAAAAGTTGCAGGAAGGAAGGGAACAATCCCGAACAACAAAAAATATCCAGGCCAAGCAGCACATTGAGAGGCAATGGAACCTACACTCTTCTGTACTCTGGTGGAGGTATCTGCGTTTTAGACGGAACTGCTTACGCCGCCATAGACCAACTTTAAGGAGAGAATATTGTGATTAATATTTCTACTGATGATAACACAGACATCAGGTGAACATATTAGTCACATGAACAAATTCTTCACATGAACACGTTTTTATCATAAACAAAATAAACAGCTACACTAAATAAGGATAGAATGTAAGGATATTCAATATTTTAAATTGTAAAATTCGTATGATTCACGATTACATTTATAATTTTATGATTTTAAACCACTATTTCAGGATATTTTACACCTATATTCAACCAACAAAATTAAGCATCTTAAAATGTACCTAATTATTACTGAAATTTTGTAAGTAATAAAAAAAAATATAAAAAATAAATAAGTGCACTAATAAGCACATTAAGTATAAAAAAAAATAGTGGCATGACACATACAAAAAGCTAACAGTATTTAGGGGGTAGAAATGATAAAAGAGATACTACAACTATTAATCTCGTCAAACTTTTCATATGATTCTTAAAAAAAAATTAGCCTTCAAGTTTACATATCAAAACAGGTCAATTCAGGAATGAAATGAAATTTATGAAATGCAGAGCTTCTGTGGCATATGGTATGAGAAATGAGTTTTAAGAAAATTTATTTAACTTGCTGAACGATACAAAATAAGAAATAAAGAAAGATAACTCATCAGCTTCTTGGAGAATAAAGAAAGTAAAATATAACTTAGGTCGCCAGTATTTAGCAGAAGTAGAAAGAAGTAATCAAATTGTAATAGAAGCAATATATATATATATATATATATATATATATATATATATATATATATATATATATATCCCATAAATATTAAATATTCAGTGCTGCTATAAATAAATGTATGCATATTTATAAATTATACACGAAGCTTTCATTCTTTTGAAAAAAAGTTGAACTGAATAAAATTAGACGAAAGAAAACAGAAGAGTGTAAAAATAGCTAACTTAAAAATAGACACACAGCTTTCATAATGCAAGGAAGACTTGAGGGTGTCCTGGCTCTTGCATTAGGTGAAGACTGAAAAACTTGGGCACACAATCAAAGCTTTTGAAAAAGCACATTTTTTTTTCATTTGAACTATTTAACGGAAGGAATAGTCCTAGTAAAAATATGCCTTTAACATCAAACATCATCATACTTAACAACCTACCTATAAGACAATCTATATGAGATTAAAAAAAAAAAATGGAAGTTGAATATAAGTGTATAATTTATTTAACAATTTTCAAATTTTATGGATAGATTTATCAAAGATTTATGACAAAACAACAAAGAGTCACAGTTCTAGAGATAAAAGTATTCATTGAAATTCTTCAGACAATTTTTAAAAATTCAGAAAAAAAAAGTTTTTGTAAAGATGAAAATGATGAAATACTGCAAATAGAAGTATAGTTGCCATAATACAAATAATATCAGTTAGTACATAGGATACATGTGTGTTGTAAAGCTGATCAGCTGTTATGGCCCTCACAATTTTGTCCCAGAAAGACAAGAAACCTTTCCTTGTGAAGACCATCCACAGCCTGTTAGATCTATGCGAGATAACTGGGTGGGGAGTTATGTACCTTGTGGGTTAAATAGTTCTATGTGTTCACCTCATACTTACTATGTTTATGTGGCGTTAAGAGATTTTGAAATTCTGCATTTTTTTTTACAACAAAGATTAAAATATAATAGTTGTAAAATATCACATTGTCATGGAAAAAAATACCATTATCACCAAAGGAGTAAAAATAGAGAAATATTAAGTTTTTTTTTTGGTATTACAAAAAAAAAAAAAAAAAAAAAAAAAAAAAAAAAAAAAAACAAAAAAAAAAACAAGAATAAGATTAAAATAGTTGCTAGGTAACCAGGAACTATCACCGTGGATATGTTAAACCAGGAACTATAACTATTGATATGTTATGATAGAAGACTCCCAGATGAAGAATAAATGTGCCAGATAAAAGGGATAAAATAAAAAAACATATTGACAAAATTGCCAGATCCCAGATATATGGAGGATTTTAGTTAGTCAAGGGTTAAATTATAAAACTGTTACATCTTGTATTATTGTGATAGGTTAAGGGGAGTTAAAAAATCCTTTTCCAGTTAAAAAAAAACAACCAGGGACTGAATGGGATAATCAAAGTTGGTTGTTACCAGCAATTTCAACAAACTCTGGTTGTAAGAGAAAAATACAATTTGATTCTTGGGCTTTTTTTTTCTAAATTAATTTTCTTAATTAAGGTAAGTCATCTCTCAATTTGCTAAATTCAGATCTCTTGTATTTCAAAATAATAAATTTTTGTCGACAATTTCTTACACAAACTAGACAAGAATAAATACTGCAATAACAGTAAAATAAAAGCAACATATTTGACTATTTGTTCATCTGTTTAAATAAAAAATAATTTAAATATATCGTAAATAAGACAGTGTTTTATAAAACAGCAAAATGTTATTTTAATCAAACACTTAAGCAATCTTCACACAGCAAAAAAAAATTAAAATTTACTAGCGGATATAAAATTAGACTAGAGTGTTTGAACCAATGTTTGACATAATGAAGGAAAAAGATGTAAAAAGTGGCAGGTGTTTTCTTACCTCGACATGGGTCATTCTTGACCAGGAACTCATCCAGGGCTATCCACCCACCACCAACTCTCACCATGACTGTACTGCGCAGGATTCGAACCAGACGCAGTTTCTGGGAATCTCCAAACTGTTGAAATGGGTAAATTGTTAGATTAACACAGGTACATGTTATTTTGACACTGGTAAATTGTCAGTCTAAAACAGCTAACTTGTCAAAGGTAACATTCAATTTATACAACAGAACTGTAAAAGCAGGCAATATCTAAACTTAAGCAAAAACACTGGAAAAGTTATCATTACAAAATGCTTGTAAAACCATTTATTTTATAGGAATACTTGCTAAAATTTACTAAAATTAACTTTTAAGCAACTTAAGCTTTTACTATTTAATATATACAAGTTTGCTGTTCTAAAATTTTTTTAGTTTTATTTTCTTCTTTATTGTATCTAGGAACTGCAAAAATATACTTGTAAGCCAATATTGAAAATAATTATTTATTGTTTCTATTCCAGACCTTTTTGACTAAAATACCTGTTTTAAAGTGGATCACCTGTTTGCGATGATATACTAACTATAAATGACTATTATCTAGTTCTTATTAGAGCCCATCACGACTCTAGGGTTTGTAAACAATATTTACGAGCACCAACAGAGATAACCACCACTGTACTCACTCGGTATTTGCCCTCTCCTATCTTGTGGATCTTGAACTGCTTGACGCAGGTACACTTTGACACCTGCCGTCTCACCTCGTCCAAAATCTTCTCCGACTCAGTCTCAGGTTTGGGCTGAAACAAACATTTGTGACACCGCTGATCATTCACACAGTCAGCTTGCTCAACTCTAAACACTCAACATTGTTTCACACATTAACCCTATAGTGGCCTGTTGGTTGCTTGAAGATTGTTTATGAATTTAAAAAAAATATTCATGTCAGCTTGACAAGATCGACACCTTTTAAATGGTTTAAATTTTATTACTACAGATAATAAATTTAAAACTTACATTCAGGCAATATAGGATTAAAAGTAAAATTTGATAACAATGTTACAGTAAAATTATAATTATATTACAAGTAGTTATAAATTGACATCTAAATTTACAAAAATAATGACACATAATGTCATTATAATTTAAAACATACATAGATTGCTAAAAGAATAAAAAATGACCAGTTTCAAAACTAAATAAACAAAAAGATATATGAAAAAATCTGGCTAACTCACATCTCTGTCTGGTCGTAGGGCAGCCACAAATTCTTTATAGTTGATAAAACCATCTCTGTCTTTATCAAAGATGTTGGCTACTGCCTCCATCTCCAGCTTTGAGGTAGGGAATTCTAAAAGTAAACAGTGGTAAATTGTATATTTTATTATTGTTATTAAGGAAGGGAATTCTAATAGGAAACAGTTGTAAATTGTATTTTTTAAATCACTAGTTTTGAGGTAGGGGATTCTAAAAGTAAAAGTGATAAAATTGTATATTTTATTATTAAAGAAGGGAATTCTAATAGGAAACATTAGTTGTAAATTGTATTTTTTAAATTACTAGTTTTGAGGTAGGGGATTATAAAAGGTAACATTGGTAAATTTTATCTGTTTTATTAACAAGAATGTTTTGATAAATAAAATAAAACCATTATACAATTTAAATTTTGAATTTGTAAAAATAAATAAATAAAACAGCATAGATGTAAATAAGTATTCTGGATAAAGAAGTTACAGTGTATAAAACAAAATAATCTTAAGCCCAGAAAAAACAACAAGCTAAAAAGTTCCTAACTAGATCCAGCGAATACAAGAACTTATTCAAGAACTCACTAGACATGAGAATGCCATCAATAAACTCTTTTCTTGTGACTCGGCCATCCCTGTCTCTGTCTTGTCTCCTGAAAAAGTCCATGATCCTTGCCTTGTTGTGGTGCATCCACCTCAGATATCTTTTACGCCAGTCTTCAAATTCAAAGTTCTTTAATCGTTCAACCTGAAACCACACAATTTATATTGATTAGATACAAGAGCTAGGTAAAATACACATTTGGGCAAATGTTTTTTCCATATCTTCTTAGAACTTTCTATAGCTTAAGTTTTTTTTTTTAAGCCAGCACACAGCATTAATGTTGTTCTTATTAGAAACTAAAAAGCCTACTCAACAAATGTAACACTACAGGAGTAGGTTTTAATTATTTGTGTCCACACATCACACAGCTAAAAAAACAGCTATAAAAACAGACACTACCAAAGTGATCAGTGTAATTAAATAAAAACACAACAAACAAAATTCTATTCTTAAAAAAAATATCAGCATGAAAAAAAAAAAAAAAAAATTGAAGTTAGAATTTAAAAACATTTTTTGATCCATGTGTGGCCTACATGAGCTAAAAAAAAAGCAAACTAAAAATAATTGATGCCCTTACTTTTGATTTTACAGCTTAGAATTACTCTTGAAAAATATGTTTAGATATAGTTCATATTCTAAAATGTTACACTTTGGGATTAAAGCATTCTTTTCAATCTAGTCATAAAAGTACCAATATTTTCCACCATTATTATGTGTTACATACAATTCATAAATAAGCTAACTTTAGCAACTATTTTTGCTAGCTTACTGATGTCCATTAAGTTATTTCCCAGTTATAATACCAGAAGTTAGTTAAAAACAAATTGAAACTTGGCACAAAAACCAACAAACTAAAAATCCATTTGTTAGATCAACATTTAGCATGGCTTAGAGACAATCTACAAATCAATTTGTTAGATGAATCTTTAACATGGCATAAAAACAATCTACGAATCAATGTGTTAGATGAATCCTTGAAACAAACAAACAACACCCAAGTAGGTTACACACACAACAAACCTGAAATTTATTTTCTCCAACCTGAGAAAAATTCATGCAATTTTTTTTAACTCTTATGTTTAACGAAGTTAAAATGACACAAATTTTCAGGAAAACTATCTAATAGAAATAGAAACTGGAGTTTGTTAATCTAACATACAGGAATTACCATGCAGATCTTAATGATGTCTATGTAGACATAGACATCATTAAGATCTGCATGGTAATTCCTGTATGTTAGAGAATTATTAATAACGATTTTTATTAAACAAAGAGCAAAAACAGCATGCATGTCTGAAGAGAGAAATAAGATGAATTCCTCACCTCGTTCAAGTTATCTAAAGCATCCTGGAGTTTCCTTTGTCTCTCCATGGCCATCAGCCACACCTGGCGCCACTTGTTGAACAGCGCCCCCACCCGTGGGTTGTGGAAGGGTGGCTCTGGGGTCCGGCGGCCAGAGTAGTGGTCAGGCGTGCGTCTGCCAGAGTGGTCGGGTGTCCTGCGACCCGAGTGGTCTGGGGTCTGCCTGCCGGTCACATCAGGTGTTTTGCGGCCAGAGAAATGTTCAGGCGTCCTGCGACCCAGGTGGTCAGGGGTGCGGCGGCCGTCAACTCTGTCCACCCTGAGGAAGAGTTTAAAAAACTTTTTTAACCTACATTTGACAAGCATGAAAGAAATGTTTTTGATCTACATTTTTCAAGCATGGAAGAAATGATTTTTAAAAGTTTACTAACCTTGAAAAAAAAAACATTTTGATTTGAAATATTTCAAGCCTAAAATATTTTTAATACAAATTTTCTATAATAAAAAAACGTTATAATATAAATTTCAATTTTCAAGAAAATTTTTTTGTTAATATAAATATGCAAGCTTAAAAAAATATTTATAATCTTTGATTCCAAGCTTGAAAAAAATAATTAATACAAATGAAGTTAAAAGTAAAAGCGAACAAATAAAAAACATTTGAAATATGTACCGTATGGTTGGGATCTTGGACCTGGGTGTCATCCTGCCACCCCTAAACAATGGGATTTGGGATCCTCCAAAAAAGTCTGAAACAGAACCTGCTTTTCTCTTGTCTGCTTTAGTCAGGCGGTCAACATCAGGTTGTTTTGATGACATTTCATTTTGAAATTCCTTCAAATAAAACAAATAAGATAATTAAAAACAAAGAATAATATAATGGCGAATAGTGAGGAACAAAATTTTGTTCTTGTATTTTAATTTAGATAACTTAAGATAATTAAAAAAAAAAGTAAAATATAATGGAGAAAAGTGAGGAACAAAATTTTGTTCTTGTATTTTAATTTAGATAACTTAAGATAATTTAAAAAAAATAAAAATATAATAGAGAAATGTGAGGAATATAAGTTAATTTATAGATTTTGGTTTAGATAACTTAAGATAACTAAAAAAAAAAGAAAAATATAATGAAGAAGTGTAAGGAAGAAAATTTTGTATATTAGGTCAGACAAGTCACCTGGTGTTGGGCTATCAAGTCCTGTACTATCTGCATGTCTTCTGGGATGGGCACACGATTTTGTTCCGTCAGTTTGACTTCTGCTCCATTGAGCCAGGCCAGCAGCTCCTCCAGTAGGGCACTGTTGACCCTGGCATTGGACAGGGCCTCAGTGAGTCGCTTCTGTCTCAGTCTGCTCAATCCCATCAACTAGACAGAAAAAACATGTAGTGATATAACCTCTTGGGGATCTATTAACCTATTCAGGGTAGGGTATACGAGCTTGTAGATACATAGATACATAGAGAAACACATTTTTTAAAAACACTGTAGTTCCAATGTGAATGTCAGCACAATGACCTGTCTACCACAACCCCCCAATTTATGCCAGGTACCCAGTTAAAACTACATGACCTAGTGGTAGAGTGCCAGACTGCTAACCCAGAAGTCTCAAGCTCAAATCCAGATTCGTATCAGTAGTACGTCCCTGATGGGCACCTAATTCAGGTTAGGGAAAGTAAAAGCAGCTGGGCATATCCATCCATTCACATGCTGTGGTTACAGAAACAGGTGAATACTTCTTCACTTGCCCCATGGCCCGTCAGGTTAAAAAAGGGAACTTTACTTTTTTTACCCAGTTAAAACTGAGTAAACTCAGTAATTGCTACTCAACTGGCTTCACCAATAGTCCAGCTTTGAACCTACAAATCACAAACTGCCCTCTAATTGTAACTACAGTAATTAATGAAGACTGACCTCTTCCCATCTTGTTCTTAAAACTCCAAGCCAGTGTTTCATAGTGGACACAGCATCTGGGTGGCACCTCTTCATTATGTCCTGGCCGATGTTCAAAGTCTCTCGGAGTGTTGCTTCTTGTCTCAGCATAGATTCTTCAAATTTCTGAAAGAAACATTTAATACACATTACAATATCTCAGCATAGATTCTTCAAATTTCTGAAAGAAACATTCAATACACATTACATTGTCTCAGCATAGATTCTTCAAATTTCTGAAAGAAACATTCAATACACATTACAATATCTCAGCATAGATTCTTCAAATTTCTGAAAGAAACATTCAATACACATTACAATATCTCAGCATAGATTCTTCAAATTTCTGAAAGAAAGTTAAAATTAATTATGAGCACTTAACGAGTGTTTAAGAAACAATAACTACCTTGTGGTCTTCCAGCTGTTGGATGATCAAAGCTTCCTCGTCTGGTATGGGACCCCTGAACCTCAGCTGTCTCTCAGACTCAGCCAACCAATCAAGTAGGCCATGAGCTTTTTTGTCAAACTCTTCAGCCTAGATCAAAGTAAAAACAGAGTGAGTTGCCTTGGTAAACAGAATAAAAAAATCTAAGCCTTACATCGCATTTACACTTGCAACATGTATATTGTGGCTGTCTAAAAAAAAACTTGCAATAAGTGAATGTTATATGAAAATATTTTCCCCACAGAACACACATATGCTTACTTGTTAAGAGTTTTAATATATATATATATATATATATATATATATATATATATATATATATATATATATATATATATATATATATATATATATAAATAGTTCTAAACTAAAAGAAGTGACATTGTTGCTGACCAGCCTGTGTGCCTGCTCCAGCCTCTCCTGTTTGCTGACACTGAGCTTGCATGTCCTGTCCCACAGAGAGGACAGTTCTATCAGCTGGGACTGGACGTGGGACATGTCCTCTGTGGACTTCTCTATCAGGTCCTTGGCTGACTTGCGGACAAACTGTACAGTGGTGGCCCTGGCTCCCAGTTCTTGCTGGAACGCCTGGTCAAAGGTCATAACAATCTCATTAATTACCAATTAAAATTAATCAATTGATAATAAACAACTCAATCTCATTAATACCATCTTCAAATGATTAACTTATAATATGGCCTAATCAATTCAATCTCAACAATAACCTCTTTAATTATTTAACTTATTTAATTGATTCTATCCCATCAGTAGGCTCTTAAATTGATAAACTCTTTTTTATAAACTCCAAACACTTTAACTAGAGATAAAGTGGTTTCTATGTTTGAACAGCATTATTTAATTTAAATATAAAAAAAATAAAATTCTGAAAGCAGTTAAATCTACCAATGCATAGCATGAGACTTATGCAAATTTTACAAATCCAGTGAGTGAAGGTTATGAAGATTATACAACTCCAGGGTGTGAAGCTTACAACAAATAGTTAAATGCACCAACCTTGTGAGTTTCCAAGAATCCACTGACTGTATCTAGGTCACCATGTACGGGTGTGTCCTCAGCTAGTGCTGGTTCCATCTTAGCTAGCCAGTCCAGCAGTGCTTGCAGGGCCTCAGTGAACTGACCAGTAACCAGAAGGCCTTCCTCAAGTTTGCGCTGCCTGTTTTTCAAATTATCAGATTAATTATAATGGTTATACAGAAAGTAGTTCTACAACAATTACAAGTCAGATTTGTTCCTGCAACAAATTTAATTATTTGTGCCAACAACACATTCCATAATTTGTGCCAGCAACATATTCCATAATTTGTGCCAGCAACAAATTCCATGATTTGTGCCAGCAACAAATTCTAGGATTTGGGCCAGCAACAAGTCCCATGATTTGTGTAAACAACAAGTGCTTCATGTGAACAAAGCTTTAGATCACATTAATTCAACACAAAAGTAAATTGTAACCAAAAAAGATGACTGACCTGTCGACAGATTTGCCACACACAGCGTTCCACTTGTTCTTCAACTCTGTCAGCAGAGATTGTATGGCAGGCTTGTCATCTGCTGGACATCTAGTTTGTAGTGTGCTGCCTCCTCTGTTGATGCCATCATAGACTGGCTGTTTGGCCCCTAGGCGGCGCTGGAATTCCTGGGTAGAAGAAAATTTAAGAGCTTTATAATAATCTAGTTTTCAGGAATAAAAGTAAAAATTATACTTGGGTTTGATAACAAGCTGATTCAACACAAGACTAGCAAAAAAAATTTTAATTGTCAAAAAATAATTCAATTTTTAAAGACAGACAAAAATAAAATGAGATTAATTTTAAAGGACGACAAACATAAAAAGTATATTACGTTTTAAAGTTAAAAACTGATAAAATAATTTTTTTTTTTTTTAAAGATGGACAAAATAAAAATGCTAACATTTTGAAAATATTTTAAATGTGTAAGGCAGATTTGATGAGCAGATGGTTAAGCCTACAATGTGTCAGTGATGTCATCTGCCCTTATAATGTGTGTGTCATGTTATTTAAACCTACAATGTGTGTGTCATGTCATTTAAACCTACAATGTGCTAGTGATGTCTTACCTTGTGTTTGGCCATCTGTGCCTTGATTTTCTCAGGTTCATTACTGATGGTTGTATCAGAGTTCAAAGCTTCCTCCGCCCCTGTAAGCCACTGGATCAAATCCTTCCAGGAGTCATAAAACTGGGAACACAAACAATTGTCAGAATACAACTACAAAAATCTCCACACATAAACAAAAACAACTTACATATAAAAAAAAACTGTCCACTTTCAGACAAAAAATATCCAAGTCTACATAAAAAATATCCAAAACTACATAAATATCCACAGTTACATAATAGATATCCACAATTACATAATAGATATCCACAACTACATAAAAAAATATTCACTTCTACATAAACAATGTCTAACCCAAATAACAAATGTCCACTGACCACATTCAAACACAACACCTGCACTGACAAATCCAAAATGTTATGCCCTTAGCTCCCCCGTGTGAGAACCTGTCATTACCTGCTTGGCTTCCTTGTACCCCCGCTCCAGGTGTCTGGTGCGCTCAGCGCTCCTGGAGACAATCTTCTCCCACCTGTGCTGGACACTGTTGAGCAGGTTCTTGATGAGGACCACGTCCTGCTTCTGGCTGAAGTACTTGAGGTGAGTGCCCATCTTGTCCAGGGCGAACATGGCCTCCCTGTGGCCACTCACGTCTTTCTGCAACACCTGCAGAATGGTAAGGAGCAAAAAAAAATCAAACATGATCTACCACACCTTTGTCAAACTAATCAATCATAATCTATCACATCTTTATCAAACTAATCAATCATAATCTATCACACCTTTATCAAACTAATCAATCATAATGTAACACAATTTAAACAAATTAAACAATCATGATCTAACACACTTTTAACAAATTAAGCAATCATGATTTAACACACCTTTATCAAACTAAACAATTATAATCCACCATTCTGTTACACTGTACTATGCAAAATTTGGTTTACACACTTTTTAAATAGGATATTCTAATAATGCAATGACCAATAATACTAATAATTTAACTTCAAATAGAAACATTTAATACAGAAAAACAGGAAAATTTAAAGAACAAAAAAGTAATATATTTCATATGATCCCTCTAAAATAGGAGAATAAACCCCATTAAAAAACAAAAGAAGTAAGATGTTCCCACCCTGTGATCCTCTATCTGTCTTGTGACCCTGTCAATCAACCTGCTGACAGGCTGCAGGTTGTTCAGTGTCTTCTCTGTGTCAGTCAGCCAGCCAATGAAATTGTTCAGCTCTACATGGAAGTTGGCAGCCAGGTTCACTGCATCTTCAAGTTTTTTCTGCAAGACATTTTTTATCATGGCGTTAGTTTACTTTAATTAACACTATTTAAAAGCATTTTATTTATAACAATCATTCTGTTTAAAATGTTGTTAGTTAACTTTAATTAACACTATTTAAAAGCATTTTGTTTATTACAATCTTACTGTTTAAAATGTCATTAGTTTACTTAAACTGATACTATTTAAAAACCTTATGTTTATAACAATCATGTTTATAGGAAAAATTTAAGATAACTCTGATGTAAGAGTGGTGTCAGCAAGAGTAGCCTACCTTCCTGTCAGCTGCCCTGTTATGCAGGTGGTCCCACCTCTGCATGAGGTTGGCCATGTTCTGTCTGATGCTAGAGGCTGGTGCCCCGTCACTCTTGATGGCCAGTTTCTCAGCCATCAGCTGCAGACTTTTGACTAAAGGCTCCAGGTTCTCCATATCAGCATAGATTTCCTGATCAAACATAGACAACATGAGGTGTAAACACATGTTGTAGACAACATGAGGTGTAAACACATTTTGTAGACAACATCAGGTGAAAACACATGTTGTAGACAACATAAGGTGTAAACACATTTTGTAGACAACATAAGGTGTAAACACATTTTGTAGACAACATAAGGTGTAAACACATTTTGTAGACAACATGAGGTGTAAACACATTTTGTAGACAACATGAGGTGAAAACACATTTTGTAGACAACATGAGGTGTAAACACATTTTGTAGACAACATGAGGTGAAAACACATTTTGTAGACAACATGAGGTGAAAACACATGTTGTAGACAACATAAGGTGTAAACACATTTTGTAGACAACATAAGGTGTAAACACATTTTGTAGACAACATAAGGTGTAAACACATTTTGTAGACAACATGAGGTGTAAACACATGAGGTTTTAAATGATACTCTAATTAATCCAACAAAACATTCCTCCAGTAATAATTAAACTTTACTATATGAACTTAGCATATTAAAAATGTATTCACTAACTGGAAATAGGAAGCTCAGGTAATATAAGTTTATAAACAATTAGTATAAAATTTTATTTTTTTATTTTTATGAAAACAGTCAAACTGAAATTGACTTTGATGCCTCCCTACCATGAACTTCTGCAGCTGTTCTTTAGCTGTCTCTGGCAGCCCACCAACAGGATGTGATGTAATCATCTGGCTGTCAAGGTCACTGATCTTAACCAGGATGTCCTGTAGCTCTTCAGTGAAACCTCGGGCCTAGATGGACATAAAGGACAGGAATTCAACAACCACAGAGACACACATTTGAATCTATAGACCCATTCCTCTGATTATTTACAAAACTTCACTTGAGAATTATTGTCAAGTGAAGTTTTTTCATGTCAAGTGAAGTTTTTTCAAACAGATGTGGGCAGTGGCTTAGGAATATTTTAAAATTGAATGGCCTCGCCTCTCTGAATGGATGGCCCCACCTCTCTGAATGGATGGCCCCACCTCTCTGAATGAATGGCCCCACCTCTCTGAATGGATGGCCCCCACCTCTCTGAATGGATGGCCCCACCTCTCTGAATGAATGGCCTCACCTCTCTGAATGGATGGCCCCACCTCTCTGAATGAATGGCCCCACCTCTCTGAATGGATGGCCCCACCTCTCTAAATGGATGGCCCCCACCTCTCTGAATGGATGGCCCCACCTCTCTGAATGGACGGCCCCACCTTACTGAATGAATGGCCTCACCTCTCGTTTAGCATCCTCCAGCAGTCCCTTCTTCTGGCCAGCCTTCTCCTTGACATTCTCCCACTCCTTGGCCAGGTCCTCCATCTTAGACCTGAGCTTGGCCGCATCAGGTCCTTTCTCCTTGGCCGCCAGCTTGATGCTCTCCTCCAGCAGAGTGTCCAGGTACTCTCTGTGTGCCAGGATGTCATTGGTGATCACCTGCAACAACAAGGTTAAGGTCAACCTAGGCACCAATCTCTAAGTTGGCATCAACAGCTTCATTGGACAGCTGACAGATGCTGAGATGACAGCTGAGTGTTGTGAGCAGTATTTAAACTACCAGCAAAATAGGATCATAATGCATGAAATCTTTTAAATGTAGGACAAGGTGGTTAAAATAAACAACTGCTAAGTTCCAAGTAGAGTTCCTGGGTATCCTTGAGTCACCCAACTCTATCAGATACTAAACTTGGGAATCTTACAACAGTTGGGCACACAATCCCTAAATTCGTCAAGGTCAATGAAACTGACTAACTCTACTTCACCTGGACAGCTAGGTCTGATTACTTTTAAACCTAACAGATAGTAAATTTAAAAATCTCTTACCCTGAGTTTGGCCAGCTCGTTGTCAATGAGCTTAGAGTCGCCATAGACAACCTCCAGCTCCTCCAGGCTGAAGTCAGCTGTCTCAAGCCATGATTTGAAGTCCTTGTAGGCCTGATCAAACTGTCCAATACTTATCAATGCCTTCTGGATGTCTCTCTGTATAAAACAACACAGTTGTGTTACATCTTCACATCATAATGAGTACAAAATATATATATATATATATATATATTATATCTATATATATAATTCTCTTCTTCGAGCCGTTAGAAAACAAGCTGCAAACGCTCTCCCTACCTCCCCACCCCTACATGGTTTTAGTGAGCTGTGTTCACTCTAAATGTTTACAAGCAGAGCCAACGATTTTAAATGTAGGGGGGGGGAGGGGGGGTAGAAACAACTAAATAGTGGCGTATGTTATGCCGTGGGCCGGCTCGTATATATATAATTCTCTTCTGGGAGCCGTTAGAAAACAAGCTGCAAGCGCCTCCTTGCAGTCCCCTCTCTTTCTCTCTATCACTATCACTACCACCCCCACATTATCTGGTGAGCGGTGTTCACTCTAAATGTTTACAAAGCTAAATGTTTACAAATCGTAGAGCCGTGTTTCTATTAGGGGCAGATAATTTAGTTCGATTTTAAGCTTACAGGAGGTAACTAAGAAATAACTAAGAGGAGGCTGCTTTCACGAAGGGGGGGGGGGGGGGTAGGGTCGGGGTTAGGGGAAAGGGGGGGGGGGGGGGGGTTTAGTGTTTTAAAGCAAATATTTTCAGTGGCAGCATTGGTACTGTCGAATTCACAAATTATGAATTACTGAAAAGTAGAAAATAAAACAACTAAATAGCGGCGTATGATACGCTGCAGGTCGGCTCGTACTAATTAAAATACCATGTAGAGCTTCTTAATTTTTCAACACTTTAACATAAACAGTTTATACTGCTGGTACTAAAGATCCAAGGTATACGGACATAAGAAGATCGTGGACTGACCTGTCTGTCTCCTATGTTGGCCTGGAGACCATCCCATCTTTGGTTGATCTCCGCCACTGGTTCCTTGACCACAGCGGCCTGCTCTATGGTGCAGTCCTTGGACATTTCTTCAGCCTGCTGGTTCAAAGCTTCTACTGCTACATGCTGAGGGTCTACAATACCTTTAAACACCTGAGAACATCACAACAATTGGTTCATACAATGTGCTTATAAACTCAGACATTTCCAAAGATAGTTATAAGTTAATTTTAAGTATTTAAAAAAAAACAACTAAATCTAATTATTTTTGCATTACACTATTTTGATATAGAGATTTTAAAATAATTAAAAAAATTTGGCTAATGATGTTACAATTTATCTGGCCAACTTACCTTGATATCATTCCATTGGTTCTTGATAGCCTCAAACTCTGTGGCTACTGGCTCCATGTCTTTCAATGTGTCCTCATGTGTCTGAAGCCAGACCAGCATCTTCTGCAGCTCATCTTGGAAGGTGATAGCCTTCTCCAGCGCCTCATCCAGATCCTTGGACCTCTTCTCCACCTGTTGAGGTAAAACATGTAGTTTTAATTGGTATGTAACCATGATTAAACCTGTATACCCACATGACAGACAGGCTTGTTATCTTATGGGCAATAGACTGCATTGAGGTTTAAAAATTAAATAATAAATACACAACAACTTTGTCTTCATTAGGGTGAAATATAACAATGTAAAAAGGGCTAAGTATTGTTGTCTGACTTTGTAAACTAGAAATTTTATGTCATGTAAGAATTTTTGTACTAAATATTTCAATGAAGAAACTTTACATGTCACTGATTGTCCCCACAAATGTTTACACCAATTATTCTAAAATAAACTATACCAGTTCAATGATTGTCCCCACGAATGTTTACACCAAATATCCCACAGATCAAACTTTACCTGTTCACTGATTGTGTTCAATGTCCTCTCAGTGTCATCCATGTTTTTCTTGACCTCCGGTCTCTCTGGCTCTCCAATGAGAGAGATCAGTTGGTCACCCGTCTGCTGGAGGTCCTCAAGGTCAGCCTGGGAGGCTATCAGGTCCTCTTTGAATGCCTGTATGCAAGTTCAAATGTAGCTTTAAAAACATGTGGGGTTAAGACATACTATATCTACAATAATTGTTGCACTCTTAGACAAATCTATTTAAATAGCTATGTCTGGCATTAAAACATATCTGAAAGAAATTTTGGAAGACACCAATTCCTCCATGATTAATTACACTTGCTTAGAATATTTGAATTGACAGAAAAATTGCCCAGCAGTCATATAAAATAAAAAAAAATCTAAATGAAAAAGACCAATAAGTAACAATTTTAAAAAAATAATAAAAGAATAAAAAATTGAAGCAGCAAACTAACAATATCATTTACTATGTATCTTATTCAAAAGCTTCAGAGAAAGCTTGGTTCTAACTTAGATATCAGAGAAAAAAAAAATGTGGCCATCAAAACATAAAGAAAAAAATGTGGCCATTGAAACATATAGAAAAAATGTGGCCATCCTTCAACATACCTCAAGTTCCTCCTGCTGCTCACGTATGGCCTCAGGTATCAGGGCCGGCTTCTCTTGGCCATTCATATTTTCTTGCAGCTCCTTGATGTTGGTGGACAGTGTGTTGAGATCCTCCCAGAACTTCTCGGCCACCCCGAGGGTGTCTTCTAGCGCCCTGTTGCGGTCATGGCAGTTGTTTTGTATGTCATTGTAGAGCCTGGTCAGTTCCTCCAGTTTCTGGCGTACATCTGTGAGAACAAACAAACCATATGGACATCATTTCAAAGCCATGGGAAAGACTTAAGTCATAGATCTGTGATTTGATATGCATTTTCTTTGAAAATTTCACAAAATTTTAAATGTAAACAGCTAAAATAAAGACAGCAATTGATGTAAATCATAAAAGCAAGACATGCATTGCTTTAAGTTTATATTACAAGTGAATGAAATTAGTTTAAACTTAAGTCAAAACAGTGGGCCATTGATATATTACACATGAAAAACAAAATGTTTGACCTCTGGGCCATTTATAAACAAACAAAAAGTCTGACCATTTATAGACAAAACAAAATGTCTGACCATTTATAGACAAAACAAAAAGTCTGACCATTTATAGACAAAACAAAATGTCTGACCATTTATAGACAAAACAAAAAGTCTGACCATTTATAGACAAAACAAAATGTCTGACCATTTATAGACAAAACAAAATGTCTGACCATTTATAGACAAAACAAAAAGTCTGACCATTTATAGACAAAAAAAAAATGTCTGACCATTTATAGACAAAACAAAATGTCTGACCATGTATAGACAAAACAAAAAGTCTGACCATTTATAGACAAAACAAAATGTCTAACCTCTGACTGCTGGGTCAGTAACATCACCAGCCTGTTTGATCAGCTCATCTGCTGCCTCTTTCACGGACTCCAGGGCATTGGACCTCATCTGCATGTCTTCATCAATCAGCTGAAGGGATGATCAGACACAGGTCAATATACCAGATACACCATAGACATCAACTTAGATCTAATTGTACAAACTTTATCTCTAGTGATGTGTACCAGTCTACTAATAAATTAACAAGCCATAAGCTAAAAACCTAACCAGCTATAAAGACCTAACCAGCTTAATCCTAAAAATATAAACCAGCTATAACCTAAAAACCTAATCAGATCTTTAGATCTAAAGACCTAACCAGCCATAAACCTAAAGAGCCATAACCTAAAAACCTAACCCGCCATAAACCTAAATAACTAACCAACACAACATAAAGACCTGACCAGCCATATCCCTAAAGACCTGTACCCTCTCCCCCCATACACCATGTCATGTCTACCAACCTTGTTCTCTATCTGTTCCCTGACCAGCCATATCCCTAAAGCCCTGTACCCTCTCCCCCCATACACCATGTCATGTCTACCAACCTTGTTCTCCTCTATCTGTTCCCTGATTTTGCCAGGGTGAGCTGAGATGGGCTCAGCATTCTGTACATTCTCTGCTGTACTTGTCAGGCTCTCCAGCATGTCCTCAAGTTTGTCAGTGAACTGTCAGGAGACATTTTCTTATGTAAGCTCTTACAGACTAGTTACACACATCACTCAACAACAACACAATAACTTCTGTATGACATACATTAGCATCTTAAAACACAAACAAGATGTAACAAGACATTTTCTTATGTCAACTTTTACAACATAGTTACACATATTACTCAACAACACAATAACTTCTGTATGACATACATTAGCATCTTAAACACAAACAAGAAGTAACAAGACATTTTCTTATGTAAACTTTTACAACATAGTTACACATATCACTCAACAACACAATTAACACACATGGCGTATGACATACGTTAGTATCTTAGACACAAAAAGATGTAAGAAAACATTTTCTTATGTAAGCTTTAACAGCATAGTTACACACATCACTCAACAACTTAACAACACAATAACTTCTGTAAACACTCATGGTGTATGGCACACATTAACATCTTAAACACAAACAAGATGTAACAAGACAGTCTTGTATTAAATAAATTCACAACATATTTACTTAGTTAAAAAGCATGTCTTGTATACACATTAAAACATATTTTGTAAATATAACATTTTCAACCTTACTAAACAACAATTTATGATCAGTCTATAATCATAAACAATTGAAATGCAAATGTTTCTAAACGAACATTAACTAAAACCAAACACACAAAAACACCGAACAAGAGCTTAGAAACAAATGTTTTTTTCTTACAGCACATATAAACAAATAAAAACAGAACAAGAACTTAGACCCAAACAATTCTATTCTTACAGCGCATGTAAAAAAAAAAAAAACACAACATGAACATCAAACAATTGTTTTCTTACATCAGCTGACTGCTGCATAGCAGCATCAATGGAGTTTGACCTCTCCCTGACCCCATTCCTGACATCCTCCACCCGCCTGTTGTCATCGTCCAGCTTCTCCTGCACATCTACAGCAGCTTCAGAGCTGACCAGCTGCAGTAGAGCAGAGCCAGTTTTGTTCAGGCGGTCAATCACAGGCTTGTGGTCAGACACGTCTTGTTTCAAAGCCTGGACATTTAAAAAAAACATTTACAGCCCACATTAGTGCTAGACAACACAATGATACAAATAATAGCAGTCAGTATACATGGACAAACATTATCCATAAACAACAGCTGTTGATAGTGAGTGAACAAATTCTCTAGTAATAAACAATTTTTTAGGGTGATGGGCAAAAAAATTATTTCACTGGATTTATATTTTTAGGCTGAGTAAAAATAATTATAACTTAATAAAGAAAGGACTAATCTTAGTCCTACTTTTCTTTAAAACCCTAACACTTGTGAAATAGATTTCTATAAATCTCTCAATTTTTTAAAAGAAAAAAAAAATCACTGACTTCTACCTTTATGGATTTAAAAAATTGAACATTCCTTTAACTTAATGGATAAAATAAAAAATGTAACTATTCACTACCAAATAAAAAAAATAAAAACTTTATTCACTACCAAATAAATAAAATAAAAATTCAACTATCTGTTACCTTAATGGATTCCTGCTGTTTCTTGACCTGGTTAGCGTCAACCGTCATGACCTCAAGCTCGGCCAAAGTGGGTTCAACCTCCTCCAGCCATGAAACAAGGTCGTTGTGGGTCTCCTGGAATGATTTAGCCAATGGCAGAGCTTGCTCCAGCTGTCCAAGTTTTTCAGCGGCCATGGAGCTGACCGTGTCAGACCTGGTCTTGAGCTCATCAATCTTCTCCCTGATGGCGCTCTCGTCGTCCATGCTGGAGTCACGCAGGAGCTTTTTGCCTGAGGTGATGGCGTCCCTTGCTTTAGCCTTCTGGTTGCTGATTTCTTCACTGAATGACTAAATACACATAAAATATGGTGTTGTAATTTCTTTACTGAATGACTACACAAAAAATATGTTGTTTTAATTTCTTTACTGAATGACTACACAAAAAATATGTTGTTTTAATTTCTTTACTGAATGACTACACACAAAAAATATGTTGTTTTAATTTCTTTACTGAATGACTACACACAAAAAATATGTCGTTTTTACTTTCTTCACTGATTGATTAAACTTCAAAAAGTATTTTTTTTTTAACTTTCTTTACTGAATAACTAAACACAAAAAAATAAGTTTTCTAAAATCAGAGACATAATTACAAATTAAGATTTTTTTACTGAGCGTGAAGGTTAATTGAAAGAACACTAGAAGACTGTGTACTATTTAACTAACTAGTATAAGTCTTCTATCTAAACCCTGGCCACAACCCTAACTCTAACCAAAACTCAGATCCTAAACATGACCCTGGTCCTACACAGAATGTTATTTTTACAAGAACCCCCAAAAAATCCAACATTTGAAATAATTTTGTACAAGAGTGCATCATTTGTTTACCTTAGCAACAGCGAGCTGCTTCTGTAGCTCGTCAGGGCTGGCAGTGACAGCTGGCATGTTCTGGAGCTCTTCTTCACCTTTGTCAAACCAATCCAAGAGCTCATCCAGTTCATTGATGCACTGGGGAGGGACCGAGGGGTATGGATTATATAATCTCTTTTTGTCACAGCCACATACACCAATTCAAACGAACCTCTTCTATTTAACTTCAATAGTGTTATTCTAGTTGTATCACAAATAGTATATTCTAATTGTATCACTTTTTACTTTGTTGTTAATTGTAATGATGGAAAGGAGTTTCTCCAACATTATAAAGTAATACGTGTCAACAAGTAATGGGCCTTATGGCTTGCTGACTTAAATTTCAGCCTGCTTTTCTTTCTAGATTTGCTTCCCTAACCCATAACTTTTGTTCATCCAAGAACAAACTAACAGGCAGCAGTTATCTCTTCTAAATGGAATGCTGTCCCCTGCTATCCATCCTTATCTGCCCTGGGCTTTGAACTTGGGACATTTTGGTTTAGCAGCCATGAGCTTTACCAGCCGGGCCACGCTGACCCCTATTCTATCCCTAATAGTATGTTATTCTATCACTAAAAGTTTGTTATTCTTATTCTATCCCTAATAGTATGTTATTCTATCACTAAATGTTTGTTATTCTTATTCTATCCCTAATAGTATGTTATTCTATCACTAAAAGTTTGTTATTCTCATTCTATCCCTAATAGTATGTTATTCTATCACTAACAGTTTGTTATTCTCATTCTATCCCTAATAGTATGTTATTCTATCACTAAAAGTTTGTTATTCTCATTCTATCCCTAATAGTATGTTATTCTATCACTAACAGTTTGTTATTCTATCACTACTAGTTTGATATTCTCATTCTATCACACATAGTTTGTTATCCCCAAGAAATATCCCTATTGAAGGAACATGAGCCAGGCGCCTACCTCAAGAGATTTCTGTCTGGACATCTTCACTTTCTCTGCCTTCTTCTCAATCATCTGTTTGACCACATCGTATTTCTTGTTGTCCTTGTTGATGATGTCCTCCACGTGTAGACCAGCGTCACCAGGCGCCACCTCCGCCAGCTCCACCCCTTCATTGTTGAGTACCTCAAGGTAAGGCTGGACAGCCTCCAACTGCTCAAGAAGCTCCTGTACAATCAAAAGTGTCACATCAGGTACAGAAATCACAGTTTAAACATTACCAACAAACTTACCATGTAGAAAAAAAAACATGATAAATTAATTATTATAAGTATAATAAATAATCCCTTAACCCTTGGGGTCGTTGGGGCACCACAGAGTGGAGTGTCTAGGACTGAGTGTCGCATGGTGGCACCCACCCCTCTCTTTGCACAGATTAGGCATACTTAAATTGCTTGAAAACAGTAATGATCTTATATACAAAACATTGATTTCTGTGTTATTTAGACAAATTAGTTTTTTTGTTTAAAAAAATAAAGTTTCCTAAAAATTTAGAGTACATTAAACTTAACACATAACCTGGGAATGTAAAAATAAATTTTTCACATGAAGTAAGGCACTAAAATAAATGTCCTGTCCTCCCCCCTTCCCGCCCCATTCGTATATGAAATGATGTTGACTGACCTGAATCTCCTCCTCCGTGTCCCCTCCTTGAGTCTCCTTCCCCCTGATCTCTGGCTCCACCTTGGCTACCCACTCTATAAACTTCTTGTGGGCCTCCTGGAAGTTCTGGGCCAGTGGCAGGGCTTCCTCCATCTGTTCCAGCGAGTCGTCCACCTTGTTCTTCAGCTCGCTGTACTGCTTCTGTATCTCATCAATCTTCACCTGGACAATCACCACATCCTCCCCTGCAACAACACAACATCAACATCCACATTTTATATTTGTTTATACAACAATGTGGGAACTACAAGCAATTGGTTTACAAAACTTTCTGTATTATTAAAAGAGAGTGGATAAAAATGTGGGAACTACAAGCAATGGTTTACAAAACTTTCTGTATTATTAAAAGAGAGTGGATAAAAATGTGGGAACTACAAGCAATGGTTTACAAAACTTTCTGTATTATTAAAAGAGAGTGGATACAGTTAAATAATAAACTTCTATACCAAAATAATGGGACGGAGTGGTCTAGGGGTAGAGAGCTGGACTGTTAACCCATGTCTCAAGTTCAAATCCGGGTTCAAGTCAGTAGAACCTCCCTGAGTCCACCCAACTCTGATGGGTACCTAACTCACGTTAGGGAAAGCAAAGGCGGCTGGGCATAGTGCTGACCACACTATCTCTTCATATGCCGAGGTCACAGAAACAAGTGAACTCTACGTCACTTGCCCCATAGACCATCAGGTTTGAAATGGAAACTTACTTAACTCCATACCAAACTAAAATTAACACTAACTGTATGTATAGTTCAAACAAGTGAGGGATCTGCAATCTTTTTATTTTTTTAAATTAGAGAGCAATTTTATAAATTATGCCCACCATTGAAGTAGCCACAGAAAATTTTTATTTTAGTTTCTATACTTCTAGCAAGTAAATGGGAAAAATATTACATGCATATCTTTCTTTAATCTTTTTTCAATAGATTTTTACTATAACAGAAAGGATAAAAATTGATACAGACCTTTACAGAAATCCTGAAGCTGTTTCCCAAGAGAAGCTAACTCCTTAGCAGGTGCTTCACGTTTGATGATCTCTTCTTGCAAATTCTGAGGAAAGGAAACAACAGTTTTTATAACCTTTCCATCCGAGTGATGTGTGGATTATCCTTATTGCTGTCTACTTCATCAATTTCATCATACATAGGTACCTAGTCTCAAGGCCTACATGATAACAATTGTAACACCACCAAAAAAAAATTCTCCTTATCCCCTGAGACTGATACAGTAGACATCTTTTAAAATGAAGCACCCCAAATAAGGTACTTTATTACCTGATGCCATGCCCTTAAGGTGCCATGTTCCTATTCCCCACCCTCAACAAGGTGCCTTATCCCAATGCCCCACCCCCAAAGCAACAACTGAAGCATACCTTAAGCTCCTGTATAAGCTTCTCAATGCCCCCTCCCCACCCCCAAAGCATACCTTGAGCTCCTGTATGAGCTTCTCAATGCCCCCCCCCCCCAAAGGAAGCAACAACTGAAGCATACCTTGAGCTCCTGTATGAGCTTCTCAATGCCCCCCCCCCCCCCCCCCCAAAGGAAGCAACAACTGAAGCATACCTTGAGCTCCTGTATGAGCTTCTCAATGCCCCCCCCCCCAAAGGAAGCAACAACTGAAGCATACCTTAAGCTCCTGTATAAGCTTCTCAATGCCCCCAGCATCAGGTGACTTGGGTTCCAGTGAAGCAAACTTCTTGTTGCTGACATCCAGCCAGACCGCGAGAGGCTCGTAGATCTCCTGGAACTTCTTGGACAGGTCGGAGATATCTTCTAGAACTTTCATCCTCTCTGCTGCGTTGTTGGTCAGGGCTGACCAGCGCTTCTCTAAGGACTTGAGCTCACCTTCCATTTTCTTACGGTCAGCTCCGTCAAGACCTGACATGAGCTGTTTGCCAGTGTCCTGCACTGACGTCACACCTGGCAGTCTGTCATCTATCATCTTCTGGAGCAGCTGGAGACATAAGGATAAATCAGGGATTAAAATACAAGTGAAGGTAATTTTGTAGAGATGATGAAAACATTGTTGAATCTAATAAAGTGGGACAGAGATAGTGGGTAGGATGTGGTTATAGGGAGTGTGTGACAAGTGTAGCCAAGAAGTGGGAAATATGGAGCAAGGGGGTTGATTAGAATGCTGTATGAACAGTGGTAAAGTGCTGTATAAACAAAGGGGGTAAATTGAAGTGTGAACAAAGGGGGGTAAATTGTTGTAAAAGGTGGTAAATTTCTGTATGAACAAAGGTGGTAAATTGCTACATGAAGACTGTGCTGAGTATTGTATACAGGAAGGTATTGAATGTTGTAATCTATACAGGAAGAAGACTGATTACTAGGGAATGCTGTATACAGATTGTGTTCTGAATGCTGTAGACAGGAAGAATGCTGAAGTGTGTATACAAATAATGTTCTGAATGCTGAAAACAAGGAATTGGGCTAAACTGTGTATACAAATAGTGTTCTGAATGCTGAAAACAAGGAATTGGGCTAAACTGTGTATACAAATAGTGTTCTGAATGCTGAAAACAAGGAATTGGGCTAAACTGTGTATACAAATAGTGTTCTGAATGCTGAAAACAAGGAATTGGGCTAAACTGTGTATACAAATAGTGTTCTGAATGCTGAAAACAAGGAATTGGGCTGAACTGTGTAAACAGAAAGTGTTCTAAATGCTGAAAACAAGGAAGAAGACTAAACTGTGTATACAGATAGTGGGTCATCACCTTCTGCTCCTGCAGCTGAGCTTTGACCACCCTGTACTCAGGAGACGCTGGCTTCTGATTGGCCATGGTCTCTTCTGTCTCAGCCAACCAGGTGAGCAGGGATGCCAGAGCTTCCTTGAACTTGCCAGACTGGAGCAGTGCCTTGTCCAGGCTCTGCTCTCTCTCAGACACCTGCAAGGTGAGCATTTCAAGAAGCACTTAGGTACCTTTGTATTGGGCTATTTGAATTGGTTACATTGACATGCAAATAAATACTTCATTTTATTATTCTGTCGCTGCTTAAGCTAAGTGAATAAGTCAAGGTTTGAACCCTTACCTTCTCACTGAGGTCCGACCAGCTCTCCTGCAGGGCCTCCATGTCCCCGTCAATGCCTCCAATGTTCTCAGCCAAACCACCAGACTGTATCAGGCCTTGGATGTCAGACTTGAGAGCTTCCAGTTCCTTCTGGAGAGGGTCCACCTTGCTCTTGTGGAAGTTCTGATACAGATAAAACATGGAGGAAACCTTTGATACAAACCATCTTTGTAGTGTAAGTTAGATTTATACAAGTTTTGATACAATACCTAAGTGTTTATAAAATCTTTGATACTAGCCTTTGTATAGTGCTATTTATAAAATCTTTGCCACTTATCATAATGAAAACACTATTTTTTAATGAACATCTTATGTATATCTTGCATTTGTCAATCAATGGACTGTAATATCTTGTAAAATACCTCCAAAGCTCATGCTCTGAATCCCTACAGTTTAGTTTAGAACTGATATTGAAAGCACCACAATCCCAAAATGTATCTAAGATGAAAGACTGCAGTAGTGTCTTCACCTCCCTCCCTTAGAATGTCTTAGAGAATTTACCTTGAGCTCAGCCTGCTGGTCTTTGATCTGGTTGGCGTCGCTGCCGATGGGTTTCATTGAGTCAATGGTGGCGATGGCCTCGTCCACCTTCCTGCGCACTGACCTGAGGTTATCGTTGATCTTCTTCACCTTGTTCAGGCTGCTGTCTATCTCAGCCTGTCTGATGTCAGCTTTTTCTTTCAGTTTGGCTTTCTGTGACAACACTGACTCCACCTGTGGAGAGGGTTTGAAGAGTTGTGAGAAATTATGACAATGTTGTTGCAAATTATGACAATGTTGTTGCAAATTATGACAATGTTGTTGCAAATTATGACAATGTTGTTGCAAATTATGACAATGTTGTTGCAAATTATGACAATGTTGTTGCAAATTATGACAATGTTGTTGCAAATTATGACAATGTTGTTGAAAATTATGACAATGTGGATGCAAATTATGACAATGCTGTTGCAAATTATGACAAGTTGTGGCATATTATGACAAGTTATGAGAAACAGTGACAATGTTGAGGCAAATTATGACCAGTTGTGAGAAATTATGACAAGTGTGAAAAATTATGACAATTTTGTTGCAAATTATGACCATGTTGTTGTAAATTATGACAAGTTTCCTCAAGACAGTAGGTACTAAAATATTCTATTTGTCTTATAAAAAAAAGAATAAAAGAAAAAATACTTTTAGAAAATAAATATTTAAAAAAAAATTACAACAAACTCATTATATACAAAATTTAAATTAAAAGCCATACACATTTTAGAAGAAGAAAGCAACAGCGTTGTGAGTACAGATTAGGGTTAGTTATGTGGTTGGTGAGCCGTTTTGACACAAAGTTTGTAGAAGGAAGCAACAATATTGTGAATAAAGGTTAAGCTTGGTTCCCTAAAGGTTAGGTTTGATTACCTAAATGTTAATTACCTAAAGTTTAGGCTTAATTACCTGGTTGTTGAGCTGCTCTGGGTCTGACACAAAGCCAGCCAGCTGCAGGTCCCGCGCCTGTTCCTTGAGGTCAGAGATCTGGTCTGTCTTGTTGGTAAAGTTGTGCTGGAAGTTCTACAAGACACAGACAAAATTTACATTTAAAACCATGTTCTAGTGGAGCAGGAGGGAGAAAAATTTTAAACTGCTAAGTTTAGTGTAGATAATTTATGCTTGTGGACAGAAAAAAATAGTTTTTAACTGCTCAATTTAAATGTGAAGCTCACATGAAGAAATAGGAAAAGAGTTTTTAACTGCCAAATTTGAATGTGGGGATCACATGATGAAAGAATAGAAAAAAGTTTTAAACTGCTAGATTTAAATGTGAAGACATATGAAGCAGGAATAGGGAAAAAAAAGTTTTAAACTGCTAGATTTAAATGTGAAGTCATATGAAGCAAGAATTGGGAAAAAAAGTTTTTAACTGCTAGATTTAAATGTGAAGTCATATGAAGCAAGAATTGGGAAAAAAAAGTTTTTAACTGCTAGATTTAAATGTGAAGTCATATGAAGCAGGAATAGGAAAAAAAATTAGTTTTAAACTGCTAGATTTGAATGTAAAGCTCATATGTTGCAGTTTTAAACTGCTAAGTTTTACTGTAAACAACATGGCACTGTGGACTGACCTTCATTTCCTGTTGCTGGGTCTCCAGCTCATCCTCATCTCTTGAGATAGGGCCAAGTTTGGAGAGCTCAAGGTCAAGGTCAGAGAGATCAGCTGAAACCTTTCTCATCATGTCCTGGTGATATAAAAAAATTTGATTAGTGTAGTCATAAAATGTTTACGAATCAATTAAGTATAAAGAAATCAGAGGTTCAAGATCTGTGAGATATGAGACCAAAACTAGTTAGGTAATCAGTAAGTTTTGAAATCAAGGTCTGGTCTTGTAAATTTGAAATATTTTTTCTTTAAGTACACATTAAAAAAACTGTTTATAAAACTGATGTTTGTGTGAGTACCTGGAACTGGGCAACAATGGTGGACCCCGCCTCCATGTTGGTCAGCAGGTCCCCCACTTCACTGCCCAGCTGCGCCTGCCTGTCACGCAGGGCCCTGACAGCCTGCTGCAGCTCCACAGGGTCGGCGCCTTCATTCAGGTCAAGGCCACCCACCAGACCATCCAGGTAGTCCAGGGAACTTTCTAGACCTGCGATGTCATCTTGTAGGGCCTGGACAACAACAAAATACTTTGAGCACGTGGACAAAATATCAATTTTATTTTTAATGTTTTCTTTTTTTTTTTTTTGCAAAGAGCTCTTGTATTTAAAACCTATAGGGCCTACTTAATATAAAAAATGTCTCATAAAACTATAATTCTTTAAAAAAAAAACACTATTATGTAATCTTTATTTTAATCAAATTTTGGTGTGTAAAACTTTTATGTAACATAAAATGTTGTTTTATTTAAAAAAAACAAACAAAAAAAAAATTTAATTTCTCCTAACTATTGTTTCTTATAAGAAAAAGTACTCGATACCATAGTGTTCTATTAAAGGTTTTATTTTATCATAAAAATTGGATTACAGAATAAAAATATTTATTTATAAGTATTTTAATACAGGTACCTTGATATTAGTAGTAAAAATTTTTTTCGAATTCAATGTTGTACACAAAAACTATATTTCATGTTAGAAGTGAGCCTACCCTAATTTTATCAATGTGCTTGGGGTCGCGTGCGGCCGTGCCCATGTCCATGTGGGCGGCCAGCTTGTCCTCCCATCTAGTGAGGCTATGTTTGGTGTCGGACATGTTGTCCTCAATCTCAGCCAGGCGACTCTGTAGGTCCTCCAGGTTCTGGGCTGTCTCACTCAGACCTGCAACAGCAATGTTTGTGTTAGAAATACGTCTACATATCTGGTTTTAGTTACTCAAATACTTAAAAAATACAAATGCTCTAAATAATGGTTTAAGAAAGTAAACTTGACGGTTGTATTACCAGTGCTGATGGCATCCCACCGTCTGTTGACCTCATTCTTTTGTCCACTGAGTTCATGATTAGGATCCTCCACACTTTCTAGAAGGGCATCAGCTTCTCTATTAAAGCTGTCATGGTCATGTGACTTCTTCAAGAACTCATTCTGTAGGGCCTAGAGAATTAAAACCCAAGAACATGATACATTTATTTAACTGAAGACTAAAATAAAAATATTTTGTGGAGAAAAAAACCTATCTTTGTAAAGTATTATAGCTTTCTGAGCATGTTTTAATTTTTTAAAGCTGCTTTTCTCCTCCAATTATATTATTGGAAATTAAATTATCTATCAAAGAAATGCATTATTTTGCTGGTAGATAAGGCTAAAGTAAAAAATATATTTTTGTCATGGAGGTTTATATTCAAGTTTTATCCATTTTGTCAATTTTAAGATAGGTGTAAGGGAATCATTGTAAGTAAAAAAAATGCCAATCAGAATTACTTCCAATTTCCACTGTGTTGGTAAAAAATTTATCTTTCAATTGCATATAGTAGTGAGTGTTCTAACTAATTCCTAAATGATGGCAGGACTATAAATTAAAGTCTTCCTGTTTTTTTCAGTCAGTCATTCAGTCACTGATTTGATTCGGGTTATAATTAAAGCCATGCAATTTAAGGGTGGTGTTATTTGCAAAAATAATTTTTCAAACTATCAACTTTATAAAATTAAGTACTCTATAGAGCATTATTTAATTATTCAGACATTTTAATCCATTAGCTTTGATAGATTTTACCAAATTAGTATTTAGTTCTAGATGAGATGAAACAAAGCCAAACCTGCAACTCCTTCATCTTAGCCACCACACTGGCCTTCTCGTAACTCTCCGGGCTCATCTTCTTCAGCTTCTCCTCGGCCGTGCCCATCCACCAGGAGATCTTCTCCAGGCTCTGCTGGAAGGCCTGGGCGTGGCTGGAGGCAGCAACAATCTTCTCATCTCTCTCTACCACCACCTCCTTCAGCTCCCCTAGCTCCGCCTCCAGCCGGTTCAGGGTCTCTTTGATGCTGATGGTCTCAGCTGTGGGGGAAGCTTCGTGGACAAACTTGTGACCTTTCTCCAGCAGGCCGCGGATCTCTTGTTCTTTTAGATTCAGTTCTTGTTTTATTGTCTGGAAAATCATTTAATTAAAAACAGGTTATTTTCTATCTAAGAAAAAAATACGTTTCTTGTATTTTCAAGTGCCTATAAATAGATCCTTGAAAAAACATTCCTAATTTCTAACATGCTGTAGCTGCTGGTAGATTTCATACTTGGTATGGGGTCATACATAAACCAAGTCACACTCCTAGGTGGGTTTTGAAATTTGTGATGATGTGAGACAAGAAAGATTGAGGTGGTGGGGGGTCCTCAGAAAGTGTAACAATGCACTTTTGCATTTGAGAGGCTGAATTTTAGTGCTTATTTCACATTCTTAAAAGCCTGTTTTTGTAAACTGTAATTGATTATTAATACACTCAACTTTGACAGAGCTCAGTTTATCATGTAGAAAGAAACTGATGTTACAAAAAATAAAAAAACTGCAATTTTAGGGTGTTGTAGGCTGAGGTATGAAGTCATTTTGGAGGTGGCATAGTTTTTTGTGATGATGTGTGATAATGGGTAAAACATCATCAAACAAAAGAGTGACATCGTTTATGGGTGATGCCTATAACTTTGATAGGACCTATCTTGTGGGTTAAGATAACAAAGACTGTGGTAACTGGACTTAACCTTGTGGGTTAAGATAACGAGGTCACTGGCCAATGAACCTACCTAGTGGGTTAAGATAACGAGGACTCTGGTAACTGCACATAACCTTGTGGGTTCAAACAACAAGGTCACTGGACCTACCTAGTGGGTTAAGATAATGAGGGCTCTGGTAACTGGACATAACCTTGTGGGTTCAAACAACAAGGCCACTGGACCTACCTAGTGGGTTAAGATAATGTGGACTCTGGTAACTGGACATAACTTAGTGGGTTCAGACAACAAGTCACTGGACCTACCTTGTTCTCCATGGCCTGCTGATGAAGCACATCAGGGTCACTGGTGAGAGCTGGAGAATCCATGACAGTGCCAGAGGTTGTCTGGATCCACTGGAGCATCTTCTGGCAGTTGCTTGTGAACTCCTTGCCTGCTTTAGAGGCCTCCTCTAAGGCTTCAGCCCTGGCTTCTGTTGGTATTGAAGGTAAAACTACATGTTAGTACAGTGTTCTTCACACTCTTCAAATTAGGAGGTACACAAAAGGTTTAACAGAAAAATTACATGTTAGTACAGTGTTCTTCACACTCTTCAAATTAGGAGGTACACAAAAGGTTTAACAGAAAAATAAAGCATAACTGTAGTAATTAGTCTCTGTTTATTGAGTTTAAAGTGTAATCAATATATTAATGATCCCATCACCAGATTTTTGTTCATTTCTCAGCTGATTTAAAATGTTGGATCATTGGAATATTTGACACATAATATGTTGAAACCTGTGATGGCTTTGTAGTATCACATAGCTGGTTTGTTTATCACAAAAGGTATGAGGGTATCAAGTTCACTAGCTTTGGGTTTAGTTGCATTTTTAAAATGTTTTTTAGGTTTTTTATAATTTTTTGTTTTATTCAAATTTGTTTATTTTTCTTTTTCTTTATTTCTTTATTTTTTTAATTTATTAATTTATTTTTTTATTTGCAATTTAAAATAAGTACATCAACATCATCATACTTTTAAATAAATGTTAACATCTATGGAGACAAATTTTTTTTACAAATAAACGTAGTAATAATAAGTATGTACATGGTTATCATATGGGTTGTTATACAAAATTCAAAGTGATAAACAGTAAAAGGGGTTAAGGTAAAATGAAAGTGTTGGAATCCGGAGGGGGAGGAATGAACAAAAACTCATTTAAGGGGTGAATAAAGAGTGTCCTAATAGAAGAGTTGTCCTTTACGTTTTTTTTTTAAATGTAGTTGTCTGTCTGTTTATGTTCTGTTGTCTGCATATATGTAAGAAATGGATCTGTCAGTGTTGAGGATGTAGAATATTTGATTGTGGCAGAGGTCGTTGTCGGGGTGCTGGTTGTTGAAGTGTTTTTCTATGTCGCATTTGGCGTATAGACTTGTTAGGCAGTATCCACACTGGAAGACGGCGGTGTCTGGGTGTTTTAGTACGTGGTGCTTTATTGCTCCTCTGCTTTTGATCAGATTGTTACAATGCGGGCATTTACTCGTATCAGGATGGGAAGTTTTTATGTGTTTTACACTCGCTGGCAGTACTGAAACTGTGAAAGCAATAACCGCAGCTATTGTGTTTTCCAGGAGTTAAAGGTTTGGAGATTTGAATTGGTACGGTGGTCGTTTCTTGTTGCGGCTGGGTTTCTATCGTGTTTGGTGGACTTGTTGCAGTTGTTTCTAAAGTTGTTTTGGCCGATTTCGTTTTTCTTTCTTGCAGTGTGGCTGGACTGTCTTCGTTCTTCCTTTTGGGTTTTGATTGTTTCCATAGCAGTCTGTGGTGGTTTAATCATTGGGATTAGAGGCGTTGTTGGGATAGTTGTTGGCTTATCGGTGTAGATAGAAAGGCTGCGATTATTAGTGTGTGGGATTGTATTTATGGATGGCTCTTTGTTACTATATGGGCGTAGTGCTTGTATGAGTGTAGCATTGTTAAGTGTAAGGGGAACCAATCTGTGGGTCCTGTGGATTTTGTCATTTTTATGAAGTGAGAAATGCAGTGTATATGGACCGTGTGTTTTGCATGTGTTGTGCATTGTCGTGATGTCAAAGGCTTGTGAGGAGAAGTACCAGGTGTCGGCTCTGCCATAATTGAGTAGCAGGATTTGATGATTGCTGATAAGCTATCTTATTATATGGCTCGGCAGGTTTGGTTGACCTTTTGAACTGATGATTACTTGCATAGTTGTTGTTGCCGATGGATAAGGGTCTGGACATTCTTCTTGTGGTAGCTCAAGGGATATAGTTGTTGACTTGCCTACAAAAGATGGGGCCCAAGATTTCATTAAGCCACTATAGTCCATAGTGATAAGGACTCAGGATATCCTTGAATTTTTTTATCTAATATTTAAAGTTAAATTCTGTTTAAAATCGAGGATCCTTTTGTCCCTTTAGTGAGGGATCCTGTGAAATCAATCGTTGAAAAACGCAATTTATTTTCGTAGGTCACAAGTCTACAAAGTAAGCATTTATGATAACTGTTGGTTTCCTACTAAAGTTAAAGTCAATTGAGAATTCAAAACACAATAAAGTGTAAAGCCTGGAAGTTCTTTATGATTTTCAATATTCTTACTTGATAGTTATAAACACTGATCCTCTCTTTTATTTATTTAATGTTGAACTTTTGTTTTCAACAATCTTTGGAACATTGTTAATGGTTGTCTCCCTTAGTTATGTTGAGTTGCATTAATGGGAAGTAGCATTTAAAAATGAATGTTCAATGTTGATTCAAACTACTTTTCAGCATTTAAATGTGTCTAGACCTATGAAACAATGATGAATGTAAAACTATACTGAGTATATATGAAGTAAAGAATCTTATTCAGACCTAGCGATCCATTGGGCAGAGTTCATATGTTTTTTTGATCTCGGCATATGAAGGGAAGGTATGTATATATATTTGTATATATATGTATATATGTATATATATACATATATATATGTATATATATATGCATGCGAATATATATATGCATATATATATGCCTGTATATATATATATATATATGCCTATATATATATATGTATATACACACACATACACACACATATATATATATATATATATATATATATATATATATATATATATATATATATATATATATATATATATATATATATATATATATATATACAGAGAGAGAGAGAGAGAGAGAGAGAGAGAGAGAGAGAGAGAGTCTCTATGTCTTTATATATATATATAATTATTTTTGTTACAATAAAATATAAAGTAGATGTATATAAAGAATGGGATGAGTGGAGTGGTGTTAGTGGTAGCACCTAGAATTTGGATTATTCAAAATGAGATTACTGTACAAATGGCTGGATAAATTCATTTTTCAAACTTCAATATTATCTATTACGTACAGAATGATTAAAAAATAATAAAACAAATTTGCCCAGGAATCCATGAGTGGGTTACTTATTATTAAACTACACAGTAAAGCCAAAAGATTTATTTTCCTTACCTAGCTTCTTCATCGTGTCATTGATGTCTTTATCCAATGCGGTCATTTTGGACCGTAGGTCAGTCTTGGTCGCAGGATCCTTAGCATTGTCACATAGTTGGCGGCACAAGTCCCTGGCTTTGGTGATCTGAGGTAGCTTGTTCCTCATCTCTTCTTCAAAGTCCTAGACAAATATGGGAAGTAAATTATATCTTGCACAACTGATGAGTTCATTTTCAAAATAATAAAATTGATTGACATAAATAAATACTCTTAAATAGCTGCTTTTTCAATACTAAAAAAAAAAGATTAACTATTATTGCATGGTCACAAGTTAGGCACATCGTAGGTCTCAGCATAAGAGAAATCATGAGAAGATGAGGATGTTGTTGTTATGGCGATACATGTAGCAAAACTGTCCAAGTTCATTAAAATATAATGTGAACAGCACGTCTTGGCATATTTCATACATAAAATAGTCTTTCAAATATATTTGCAAGAACAGACTTTTAAAATGATTCCATGGGAGGAAAAAATATTAATGAATACTTTCCTTTAAGCAGAAAAAGTGGATTCATGCAAAAAAGTGGAAAAGTTACAACTCTGAATTATATCAGAGCGGACATGACAAAACACTTATAACAGGCTGTATAGCTAGTTTACCTGAAGTTCTTTCCTCTGTGCCATCTGCTTATCCGGCTGCGAGCTGACTTTGGGCAGGTGGTCAAGTTTGTCGCTAAACTCACACAACCAGTTGGCCAAGTCACGCGTGACTGTGGAGAACTCCCCACTCAACCCTTGTACTGAGTCGATACTTTTCTCTCTCTCTTGCAGGCGCCCTGGTAAGGAAAACAAAACTATTCCATTTCTCAACTTACTGGCAGTAAAAAGTCAAATACACATTTAGAATAGATATAGTCTAGTTATGTGGAGTCCCTTTATCACTTGGACATATCTTCAGCCGTGGGGGACATGAAGGGGAAGGTGGGGGAGGGGGGGTGCACCGACTGGGTGACATCAGTCCTGGGATGTGACAAGTGCCAGAATAGGTGCATATCTTTAGTCAGCGCTACCCCAAGGACCTGCACTACCCCAAAGACCTGCACTACCCCAAAGACCTGCACTACCCCAAAGACCTGCACTACCCCAAAGACCTGCACTACCCCAAGGACCTGCACTACCCCAAAGACCTGCACTACCCCAAAGACCTGCACTACCCCAGAGACCTGCACTACCCCAAAGACCTGCACTACCCCAAAGACCTGCACTACCCCAGAGACCTGCACTACCCCAAAGACCTGCACTACCCCAAGGACCTTTAGTTTCCCCAACTTGAATCAGGTACCCATTTTACCACCTCAAGCCCTGTAACTGAACCAGAGACTTTACAATTAGAACTCAGGTGCTCTCCCACTCTCCATCACTGTACAACTTTCCTTAGAGAAAAATATCAATAATGTCAAATGTTTTACTAATAACACAGCAAATCTTTTACCCTGCAGTTTATTCCAAGACTTGCTGACAGCATCAATCCTCTTGCTGATGGTGGAGCTGTCGGAGGTGTTGGCATCACACCAGTCAATGATGGAGTGACCAGAGTTGACAAATTGCTCATAGACTGGCTCTTGGCTGGCAAACTCTTCTTTCAAAACCTGCAGGGGACAGTACAGAAATGTGGAGATGACAAATGTGGAGTTATGGTGACAGAAATGTGGAGATGACAAGTGTGGAGTTATGGTGACAGAAATGTGGAGATGACAAGTGTGGAGTAATGGTGACAGAAATGTGGAGATGACAAGTGTGGAGTTATGGTGACAGAAATGTGGAGATGACAAGTGTGGAGTTATGGTGACAGAAATGTGGAGCTAAAAAGACTAGTATGGGGTTTTGATCACAGAAATGTAAGGAAACCATAGAAATGTTAGGGAAATGATGCCAGAAATGTAGTTATCACAGAAATGTGAAGTACGGTATGTAAAGAAGATGTTAGGATATGACAACAGAAATAAGCCCGGTAACAATGTGGTAACCACAGAACTGTGAAGTATGCAAGAAAGATGTTAGGACATAACAGAAATGTTTAGTCGCAGTTACACACCTTGACCTGCTCCATCTGGCTGTTGAGCAGCGAGGGCTCCATGGCCACAGGACCCAGGACGTCCATCAGTTTTTCCTTCTGGCCAAACCATTTGGTCAGCTGTTCTTCATGCTCACGGAAATCTCGCAGGTCTCCCACAGCGTCTTCAAGTCCTTTACGGCGTTCTTCAGACAGGGCTCTTAGGCCGTGCCATTTGTCATCTAAATAAAACAGTAACAGGATTTACTTATATTCACAGATATCAAGTCTAAACAGATAAAAAAATAGATACATTGTTTTGGTACCATAGCTGTTCTATCATAATTCTATATTTGTCTATATATTCGTACATGTGTGAACAGTGACTTACCTATATCAGTCAGTGAACTGTGACTTACCTATATCAGTCAGCTGTGACTGGAGTGTATCCAGACCAGGAACACCAGGGTGTGACTTGAGCAGATCTTGAGCCTTCTTGCGGATCTCCTCGACCAGACCTTCCTTGCCCAGCAGTTCACGGTGGAACTCCTGAAGACAAAACCATTGCCAATTACCCATTTAGAAACGTATTTTTATACCAAATAATTATAGTCCATCTTTGATTATTTTGAGGAATTTTTTTCAAAGAAAATTAACAATTTTATTGTAAATGTTTTAAAAAATCTTTTAAATTGTGTTAATGAGGAAAGTACTGAATACTAAGAAATAAAAAATACTATAAAATCAAATTTGTGATTAAATAGAAAAATTTTTTAAATCTTGTGAACAATGCTAGAATGGTATTATACGAACTAGCGATATATTTCACTAGGAAAATTAAAAGAAAATCCATTAAAATGTAACTTTGTTAATCAGTGATTTAGAAAGAAACTGTAATAAAAACCTCATGTTCTTTCAGCTTCTTCTTGGCAGCCTTCTCATTGGCTGGGATATCCCCAGCGCCGGCTGCGCTCATCTGTCCATCCTTGTCGTCCAGCCAGGTCAGGACGTCCTGCATGTCCTGCAGGAAGGTCCTGATGGAGGCCAGGACATTCTGTAGCTCCTGCTGGCGCTCCATCAGCCTCTCACCAATGATCTCGTAGCGCTGGTTGATGTCCAGCAACTGTTGCTGGGTCTCTGACAGATCTGGGTAGGATTTGTGTTGGTGGTTTTAGTATTTGTGGAGCTGGTACAGTATGTGTCAGGCTGTTACAGCATGTGTAAGGCTGTTACAGCATTCGTAAAGGTGTTGCATGTTGCACCAATAAATCATTCAAAGTTTAGCTTCTTATACATTAAACTAAAGTAGGTTACGTAAATTTATGACAAAAGTATTGTTTATTAAGAAATTAAAAATAAGTTTCTGCTAAAATGATACATGTTGAATCTTATGAAATTTGTTAAATTATGTATATAATATATGTATTGGGAATATATTACACTTGAAAAAAAAGTGATGACATTAAAGATACCACCTGGTTGAATGTAATTAAAGTAGAAATTGTACTCAGAGGCCATAATCTATACGTTGGTTTCTTTACATACAAAAATACATGCAGTTCTATATATGTGAATTGCTAACACACACATTTTAAAATATAAAAACAAAAATATTATAAAATTATATTATTAAATAATAATTGTTTGTTAGAAGTGAGTGAATAAAAGCATTATTCTACCAACAATATAAATGCCATTAAACAAGTAAATACTGTTTAATGGGTTAAAAAGTGTTAAATTGATATTCTCAATAATAATTTTGTCTATTTTTCTAAAAGTTAGAGTTAAGTTAATACGTTATAACTGGAACTGAATTATATAAAAAAATGTTATGAAATTAAAATGTTATTTAAAACCTTTACAATTTACACATAAAAAGAGAAAAAAATTGTTCTTAGCAAGCTGTGATATAACAATTAAAAGTAAAATCAAACATATCGTGCATACAAGAGGGGAAGAATGCATACTTTATGGTCAAATCTTTTAAGATTAGAAAAATGTAAACTGTTCCATGAAAAAAAAAATTATTTTAAAAAATACTGTAGTAAATTTAAAAAAAAAAAACTTCGGAGAGACATGCATTCAGGTAGTTGAAGTGATTCGTGCATGACAACAGAAAAAGATGAAGTAATCTAAGTACATTCTTACCATCCAACAAAATGTTGTCTGTTGAGCTCTTTCTACTGCTGACACCACTAGACTCACTGGACATGGAAGATTTCAGGGCGGTGGGGGACAGGGAGGGGAATGTGGGGGAGGGGGTGCGCAGACGGGGTGACATCAGTCCTGGGATGCGACGAGTGCCTAGACGTGTGCAAACATACCAAAAAGAAGGAAGGGTAATGAAATGATAGAGATAAAACAAACAGCAGTCACTAGCCGACCATTCACAGTGGAGTTAAAAGTTGGAGGTATAACTTATAAGAAACAAAGTGACTAGTGACATACGAAAAAACACTACTACGAGAAACACGGAAAGAGGTTAAAATGGTTTTAGGTTCTAAGTTTGTCTAAAGAAGTTAAAACTATTAAGTTAATTAAATAAGCATCAGGTAAAAAAAAAAAAACAGCACAAACTACAACACACATCAACTGTAGTTAGGAGCAGAAATGTAACTTTAAAATTATAGATAAGCCACTTTAATGACTAATTTTCTATGCAAAATTTAAAATCTTTACAATAAATATATAAATGTTAAAAAGTATTGGATTACTTTTTAAAATAAAGTAAATTACTGGTTAAGTCTGTTAAAAACTCTATTAGAATATTTGTGTCATATCTTTGAGCAGGGAAACTCAAAACAAAACTTTTGAAATGCTATTGCTAGACTGAATATTTAATAATATAAAATCTTAAAGATTTGAAATGGTATTCAGAATGACACAAACTCATGTTAATTCTAGAATGGAGGAAAGATTTGAGAGACTCACGTCCCAGGCGTCTGATAGGACTGAGTGGTCGCTCCCCGGAGCTGGTCATTGCATCCAGTGCATTGCCAAGGTCGTTCACTTCATCCACTCTAGGTCCTTGGTCTTCATATTCTTCAATCATTGGCTAAACATTCAATGTAATATGTTATTTTAAAAATTTAGCCAAAACTATATACAAAAATAATTTTAACTACAATAAAAGGTTTTTAATCTTTTCCTAATCTTTAAATTCAAAGAGTTAAAAGTTTCAACTAGAATTAAATTGTTTTAAAATCATTGCATCAAATTTGAATACAAACATATTTAACAACTTAAACAAAACTTCTAAAAATAGCTGAAACTTAAATTCACTAAATAATTCTTACAATGAAGAAAATAAAAGATCTAGTATCTGAGGACATACCTGCAAGTCTGAGATCTGCTTCTCTACGATGTCAACTTCAATAGCAGCAGGCTCAAACTCATCCAGTCTCGCCTCCATCTGAGCCAGCCACAGCAGCATCAAGGTCTTGGCAGAGTCGTACTCATTGCCCTGTCTGTCTCTCTCAGCTATATCTGCTTCCTTCTCTCTCAGGGCCCCGTCAAACTCACTGGCAGCCCTCTCAAGGTCTGACAGCGCCGCGTTCAGCGCGGCTGGACTTCCAGTTCGTGGGTCTTCCTTCAGCTCCTTGGCTGTAGCTTTCAGCTGGGCAATGTCCTTCTCTTTCTTTTGTTTCTCTGTGGCGATGGTGGTCAGATGCTGAGCTGCATCTTCCACATTCATAGAATTGAGATCACTGGAGTGTAGGTCATCAATCTTAGACTGCAGCCAGTTGTGGGTGGTGTCCAGCTTCTCATGGAAGTCATTCAGCTTGGTGCTGACCTCTTTAAAAGCTGTGGCCCTCTCGTCGCTGATGTTGCTGAGGTTGGCAAACCTCTCCTCAATGTCAGCCAGCTGAAGCTCCAGTGCCCTGGCCATGTGGAGGTCACCAGACTTGATGAGGTCACGCGTGGCTTGACGGACAGACTCAACAATAGCTCCGTGGCTGAATGGGATAACAAAACATAACAATATCACAAACAATAACTATGGAGCCAAAATAAAATATTTTTTTACCCAAACTCTTAATTTTTTAAACATTTAGGTGTACACTTTGATGATGTGTGAGTTAAAAAAAAAATCATGTTTTAGTATTTAGTGTGATATTCTGAAAAAATTACAAACCAAAAGGTATGCACACATCAACAATAAAAATCTTGCTTTAGTATTTTAAGAGATATCCTGATGAAGTTTTAAAAACCAAAAGGTTCGAACACATCAAGAAAAATTAATTAAGTATTATAAAGTTGTAAAAACCAAAAGCTACATACGCATCAACATCTGCAGCAATGTACTTAAACTGCTGCTGCTGCTCTGCCACCAATGGCTGCTCTAGAGCGATGAGCTGCTGGGTGGCTAGGGCTGTCTGCGTCATGTCCAGCCAGGACTGCAGCTCTGTGATGGCGCCCTGCACATCCTGCGACTGCATGATGGTGGCCTGCAGCAGTTTGGTCTGGGCGCTGATGGCGTCGTTGACGTTGGTGTACCTGTCATCTATCTCTTGTACGTCATGCTCCAGCTTCTCCACCTGCAGACACACAGGATGGAAGGTGGGGATTAAAGGCATACATGATGAGAACTCTTACTATTCCTGAACACATGCATTGTGAATAGGCTTAACAACACTAGATAGGTAAATCATGTGTAGCATTGATTCCCAACATATGGTATGTATGCATAAATACAAAACCAACCATTGGTAGAGTTTTATTTATCACAAAGTGTATAAACTCTTAATAACTTTAAATAAAAAATAAAAAATTTCTATTTTAAAAAAGTTTCAAAAGGCTTCAGAAGCACTACTCATTAAACAAATGCTTCATTAAAGGTACTAGAAAGAAAAAAAAGAGAACCATTGATCAAAAGCTAGATTTAGATTGTACATACAACATGATAAGGTGTAATAGAAAGTAAAAAAAGAACCACTGATCTAAAGCTGTACTTTGCACATAAAATGTAATGTAAATAAGTTTTGTTGACATGCCCAGCTTACCTGTTGCCTATCTGCTGCCAGGCCACTTAGACTGTGGGTCAGCTCGTGGCCCTTCTTGCGGACCTCGTCCATCAGACTACCCTGGCTGAGGACCTCAGAGCTGAGGGACTTGATGCGGTCAAGCTGCCTGTGGAGCTTGTCTGGGTCAGGGGTCCCACTCTCCTGCTTAATGGTGGCCAGCTCGTCCTCTGTGTCGGCCAGCCAGGACAGCATCTTGAAGGCTGCGTCATTGAACCCTCGCTGTTTGGAGCTCAGCTCGTTCAGGCTGTCCCCAAAGGCTGCACACCTGGGGACCACAGCAAGAAATATTTTAAGGCTCAGACATGGGAAACATGAACAAAATGTTTTACAGGCAATTCTTTTGATTGAAATTTTAGGTAATCTCAGCCTTTTTATCATAGAAGATAATCATCCCAGATAGTCATTAGCTATAGGGCTGGTAAGTAGGTCACCAACCAGTTTATGGTTCATGCAGGTTTTATTAAGCCGTAGAACTGGTGGGTGACCTACTTACCAGCCCTATTATCGACATAAGGAAAGCTGCATTCCATGGTTCAAATTCAATGCTGATACTAAAAACATGTTGAACTGCTGAGAGTTTAAGCCCAACAGGAATTCCAGGTGATGGACAAAAAGCCTTACCTCTGTTTTAAGTCATTATAATCTTCAGAGACGTCCTTCAACTTATCCTTGACATTGTCAGCCGCCACGTGATCCATGCTGATCAGGCTGCTGCGTGTTGGTCTCTGGCGGTCAGCACGGAATGAGTCCACCTCAAGTTTATGCAGCTGTGGCACAATACAAAAAACCCAAATTTAGGCAAACAATTTAAAACTTTGTCTACTTTAGATACTAAATTATTCAAGTCAATTGATAGATTGATGCACACAAGGGAGGTTACAATGTAAGATTGTCACACAGTGTTACCTTGGCCTCCTCCATGTAACTTTGTAAATTTAGGCAAACAATTTTAAACATTGTCTACTTTAGATACTAAATTATTCAAGTCAATTGATAGATTGATGCACACAAGGGAGGTTACAATGTAAGATTGTCACACAGTGTTACCTTGGCCTCCTCCATGTAACTTTGTAAATTTAGGCAAACAATTTTAAACATTGTCTACTTTAGATACTAAATTATTCAAGTCAATTGATAGATTGATGCACACAAGGGAGGTTACAATGTAAGATTGTCACACAGTGTTACCTTGGCCTCCTCCATGTAACTTTGTAAATTTAGGCAAACAATTTAAAACTTTGTCTACTTAAGATACTAAATTTTTCCAGTCAACCAATAGATTGATGCACACAAGGGAGGTTACAATGTAAGATTGTCACACAGTGTTACCTTGGCCTCCTCCATGTAACTTTGTAGAGACTTTGACATGAACCTAATGTCAGCTTGATGTGACATGATGTCAGACTGCAGCTCTTTCTGTTTCTCTTGGATGGGCTTCAGATCCTCAAACCTACAGGACAAGAAAATAGCATCACTGACTTCAAGTTTTCTCTGTTTCTAATATCAACAGACAACTTGAATTATTTAGTTCTTACAATAATACTAATGATGCTAAAAATCTTTTTGTGCTTTATCTTTAAAAGTAAAGTTGATTAACAGTGCACTTAGATTGAGACACTTAATTGTTCCTACAATTAGTTAAATCTGTATTACAAAGGTTATTCTGTTTGTTTAAAGATAATGTTTCAACTAAGACAAAATCAATTCAGCAGCAGCTGTCCTAGAATGTCAAGTCACATGACCACAAACCTCTGAAGACATGCTTCTTGTCTGGCCAACTCCTCATTGGCTGAAGACTTCCAGGCATTAAATTTGCCCATCTCTGCCTCCAGCTTGCTCAGTTCTTCTCCAGCAGTTTTCAAATGTTTCATTCTTCTGTCGGAGGTCTTGACAATCTTAAAAACAAAAAGTTTATAGTTTAATTGTCTGAGGTCTTGACAATCTTAAAAACAAAATATTTATAGTTTAATTGTCTGAGGTCTTGACAATCTTAAAAACAAAATGTGTGGTATAATTGTCTGAGGTCTTGACAATCTTAAAAACAAAATGTGTGTGGTATAATTGTCTGAGGTCTTGACAATCTTAAAAACAAAATTTGTGTGGTATAATTCTCGGAGGTCTTGACAAACTTAAAAACATAATATTTATAGTGATATTGTTTGAGGTCTTGATAATCTTAAAAAACAAAGCTTACACTTTTAAATATGCAATGGTTGAACACTTACATAAATCAACAAAGATAATTTGAAGGAAAATTAAAGTATAAGTAATTTTTTTTTTAACTTTCTGTATGAGCTTTTATAAAAAAAATAAAAACAATCACTAGTACTGTAGAGTCTGCAAGGATAAAGCTAAAGAAACATTCTTTGTGTAAAAGATCAAAGGTGTTAAGATAAAACATGATAATAACACTGATGCTACCAATGTTTGTTTAGTTTTTTGTGTTAGAAAAATAAATCTCACTTTTTCTAAAGCCTTCTTGAGACCAGCGGCCTCTGCTGCCAAGTCTGTGACCTGCTCTGGTGCCAGCTCCTCCTGGTAGTGCTCGGTCAGCTGTTCCGCTTGGTAGATCAGGGACAGGATTGGTTGCTGGTGGCTCAAGATGTCTTCGTGTATCAGCTGTAAGTATCAAGATTGGTAGTTGTTAACATACAAATCTGGCAAGTTGCCACAGTTAACATACTAATCTAGCTTGTTGCCATGGCTCTCTAATGCATCCAAAAATAAGTATATCCACAAATACAGGCTCTTGATATTGAAACAAAGGTTTTGCTAGTAACACTACCCTAACCCTCGCACAGCCCCTAGACCTAAACATAACCTTAACCCAAAAAATGATAATGTCAGAAGTTATACTTTGTTGTTTTGCTTATGTACACAAATTTCAATCATATGTTTAAAAAATAAGGACTTACGAGTGAATATGTTACTTCAAACGTTATATTCAATGAAATATGAGCTGACAGTGTGTCTAAACTAACAGATACTCTTCACAGTAACTACCTTATGGCTTTGAATATCTACACTAACACAGTAACTACCTTATGGCTTTGACTATCTACACTAACACAATAACTACCTTATGGCTTTGAATATCTACACTAACACAGTAACTACCTTATGGCTTTGAATATCTACACTAACACAATAACTACCTTATGGCTTTGAAGTTGAGCCAAGATTTTCTTTGCCTCATCTCCCATCTGGCAGTCTTCCTTCAGTGTCTGCTCAAACTTCTGGAGATTTTCTAGCTCTGATGCAATGTCTTGTATGATTTTTTCATACGAGTCTCCCATACGACCCTGTGATTGATAATATTGTTAATTAGACTCTTAATCAAAAACATGAATAAACTAACAATATAAGTTTTTTGGATGAAATTAGTTGACTCTAATGAATTTTTCTCATTATTTATATTTAGATTTAGTAAAAGTTTTTATTATTTTGGGAGCAAAATATTTATGTTGCTGTAATATATACCAAATTTCATTACTAATCTATAATACAAAATAATATATAATTGTAGATATCCTTAAATGTATTTTAAGAAATCTGAAAAAAAGTGCAAGAGTCAGTATGTGGTAGTTAAAACACCAATAACAATATAGCCCCAAACATCAGCAACATCATGCACCTTAAACATCACAGAGTTATGATGTCTTGTTTCAAGGATTAAAACATCTTTTCACATGCTGTGTCAAAACATGGATCAAAAAAGTAATGGAACAATTTACTTCCATGCAATATGAAACATAAGATGGATCAAAGTACAAAGTAATGCAAACATAAAAAAAATGAACTTAAAAAAATGGATCAAAATTTGACACATGAAACAAAAGTATTTGAATGAGCAAGCATGCTATAATGTTACAACAGAAGCATTGGTTGAAAGTAATCCTACACAAAAAAAATAAAGAGAAGTCAGATGGTATAACAAAATTAAAATTGTTAGGAAAAAAAAAATTAAGTGACTCATATAGTGCAATGTTTCTACACACTGTTTACACAACTTTTGTGTGCGGTTAGAAAATAAACAACTGTTTGAACAACACGTATGGTCCATGTAGGATACATCTTTCCATTTTCTAACATTTTCTGTTTTAAACTACCTTCATTATTGTAAGGTTCCCCTGAGTTATGACTAAATTGCAAGCTGCATTTTTAGTTGTTACTTCATCATTAGATACAAACAGGTTTTATTAGTACATACCATGCAATAATTATTTACTCAAAAACTTCTCATTTCGTATTTTCAATATCTTGTTCTAGTATTATGTTAAGAAATCCATGCATCTGTTTATCATTAATTCACTTATCTAGCTAGCACTAGCGTATACATATCAGGATAATTCTGGCTCATTTGGTTCATTCATGCAAATAGCAGGCGGCATCCAAGTGGGATAACTCCACTTCCAGACATGCAAGGTACCTTGCGTCTGTCTCGTGCAGTGACTCCGGCTTTCAGATTGAGCTTGAACAGCTTGTCAGTCAGCCTCAGGGCCTCAAGCTCCGGCGTGCCAGCTTCCCTCTCCTCAAAGGATGAAGTGGACGACGAGGGCGACCCCAGCGTCATGACCTGCTCCGTGGTGAAACCCAGCCGCTTGATCCTCTCACGCTGCAGGGATCCTGGTGCTTCGGATGTGGGGAGACCCTGCAAGAATCCTGGTGCTTCAGATGTGGGGAGACCCTGCAAGAATCCTGCCTGAGAGTTTTCTCCATCTTGAGGCTTGTGGACTTGTGGTTGTTCTCCAGCAAGATCTCCACCCTCCTCTACTGCTGCCCTGCCCAGGGAACTCTCACTGCCAGAGCTGTATTCCACATCAGGAGAAACATCCTTGAACCTGACCCTGTGTCCTGCTTTAGACTTACTCAACCTCCTCCCATCACGCTGATCTTTCAGGATAGACTCTGTTGTTTCTTCTGACATTTCTTCACTTGAACTTTGTGAGAGATTTTGACTCAGTAGAGTGTTTCGTTTAGCAGAAGCATCCTTAGGTACTTCATAAACACCTTGTTCATTCAGTAGAACAGGTTCTTTTATACTATTTTCATACAAATTATCAATATCTCTCAAATCAGTATTGCTTGGTTTTTGAACTTCTTGCTTTATCTTCAAATCCTTACTTAATTTCCCTGAAGACGCAATAGCTTCATAACTGGACCCCTCAACATCTGATGGATTAGTCAAGACTCCGCTTGTCTCAAACTTTCTGTTTTTTCTAACATCCACATTTTGCATGAGCACATCAGACAAGTCTTCATCAACATCAGCTTCTATAACCAGTCCTGCTTTGGCTACAACCTTCCTCTGTATCCCTAGTGTCACATGTGTACCAGATAGATCCTTGCCTGTATCACTGTCCTGGAGATCCCTCTTGATCTGTGGCAAGTGGATAGGGCCAGACTTTTTGTCATGTTCCATCTCAGTCTCAGTTACTTGCTTAGACTCATCTGTTTCATTGTCTAATGTTTTCAGTGGTTTTTGGGAATCTTTGGGAATCAACAAGTCACTGGTGGTTTGTTTAGTGCCATCAGAAGGTGCTGAAGAGATATCAGATATAGCTGGTGGGCCACTGTTTCTAGTTGTTTGGCCACTTGTAGTTATTGGGCCACCACTTAAAGCAGATGGGCCACTGGATGTAGTTGTTTGGCTACCACTTAAAGCTAATGGGCCACTGGCTGTAGTTGTTTGTCTACCACTTAAAGTAGATGGGCCACTTGTAGTTATTTGGCCACCACTTAAAGCTGATGGGCCATTGGATGTAGTTGTTTGGCCAGTTGCTGAAACTATTAGGTCACCAGTGGAAACAGATGGACCATTAGTTGAATCTGTGGGGCCACCTTTTGTTGCTAATTGAGCACTGAATAAATTAGAACCTGAGCTCCAGACATCATCAGGATCAACACTGGATGACATAGCTCCATCTGAAAGAATTGGTTTGAATTTATCTGAAGAATGAATGCCATGCTGTGTATCTGATGTACTGCCAACAGATTTCTCCCCAGCTATAGCTGAAGGTGTCAGCAGAACATCTTTTCCTTCAGTCCTCACAGACTTGTCTAAGTTTGGACTGTACGTGTCTCCAACACTCTCCTCTTTAGGTTGTATGAGAACACCTCCTGACTGTCTTGACCTTTGAACCCCCTGTACAACAAACTGACCCTCACAGCTGTTGATCTCATCAGCCTGTGAGCTGTCACTAAATGACATTGAAGGACTCACTTTGGATATCTCAAGTTTGTTTGCTGTAGGAACATCACTAGAAGAATCCCCATGTAACTTCTCTGATTCCACATCATCTGCACTGGGAGACTGGGAACTTTTGCTTGCATGTGGTTGTGGCATTGGTTGAGATGAAAACTTGTCCAAGCCATCCTTAATTCTGTCCTCACCAGCCACTTGTTCTGGAATGTCTGACTTTCTATCATGGGCAGAATGTGGAGTAGTTCTTGGAGAATCTGCTCCAGGAGTTTGTAGACCAGCTGAATAGCTTTCTGGACACAATGGCAGCTGATCACTTTCTTCTTTAGCACTGGTACTGCTTGGCTGTGCTGGCACATGTTTTTGTACCACACTCTGTTTTTGTACTACATCTGGTTTTTCTACAGAATCTGGTTTTTGTACAGTATCTGGTTTTTGTAAAGAATCTGGTTTTTGTACAGTATCTGGTTTTTGTACTGCATCTGGTTTTTGTACAGTATCTGGTTTTTGTACCTGTGGTTTTTGTACAGAATCTGGTTTTTGTACCTGTGGTTTTTGTACAGAATCTGGTTTTTGTATAGAATCTGGTTTTTGTACAGAATCTGGTTTTTGTACAGAATCTGGTTTTTGAACAGTATTTGGTTTTTGTACAGAATCTGGTTTTTGTACAGAATCTGGTTTTTGTACAGCCTCTGGTTTTTGTACAGTCTCTGGTTTTTGTACAGCCTCTAGTTTTTGTACAGCCTCTGGTTTTTGTACAGAATCTGGTTTTTGTACAGAATCTGGTTTTTGTAGAGCCCCTGGTTTTTGTACCTGTGGTTTTTGTACAGAATCTGGTTTTTGTACAGAATCTGGTTTTTGTAGAGCCCCTGGTTTTTGTACCTGTGGTTTTTGTACAGAATCTGGTTTTTGTACAGCCTCTGGTTTTTGTACTGCCTCTGGTTTTTGTACAGAATCTGGTTTTTGTGCCTGTGGTTTTTGTACAGTCTCTGGTTTTTGTACAGTCTCTGGTTTTTGTACAGTCTCTGGTTTTTGTACAGAATCTGGTTTTTGTACAGAATCTGGTTTTTGTACAGAATCTGGTTTTTGCACTTTATGCTTTTGTACATCCTCTGGTTTTTGTACCACCTCTGGTTTTTGTACCACCTCTGGTTTTTGCACTATTTCTGGTTTTGGCCCTACTGTTGGTTTTGGTGCTATAGCAGGTTTCCCACTAACTGCAGGCCTGACAGCCTTTGTGGCTGACCCATCTCCTGTTGCTGCATGTGAAACTCCATCAATGTCTTCTGGTTTGCTTGTATCAGACACCACAGAAAAAGTGGCTGTATCTTTAATTCCTGAATGCCCAATGGCTAGAGATTGTCTAGATTCCTCAGGGTCAGCAGAACCCACACTGACAGGTTTCACATGTTGCGTCCCAACTTTATCCTTAGATCCAAACAGCTCTTTCTCTACATAGGATATTCCTTCTCTTTGGTTTTCATTCTCTGGAACATCCTCATCAATCACTTGTGTCTTATCAGTTGTTTTGATCTCTGAGGGCTTTTTAATGGAAGTTGACTGAGAGACTCCATCTATTTCAGTGGGGGCTGATGGGACATCATTGGGAACATTTGAAGCTAGAACTGAAGATTTCTTGTTGAGTTTAACACCAATGTGTTGTCCTTGAGCTAGCTCTGTGTTACCCAGGTAAACAGATTCTTTCTGAGCATCAGAAGCCACTACTGCATCAAGGCCTTTACCAGGAGCACTAACATCTTTCCCATCTGTGAGCTTAACTTCTTCATGCTTGGCATCTGCAGGCTTGCCATCTGATGGTGACTTCAGCACTGGTTTCTTTGGGATTTTAGGTTTTATTTTAGCTTCAACATTTGTGGCTAGTGTCATGTCATTGTCACTCCCAGTTTCTTCCTTGGACAGTGCACCTAGACTCTCAAGTGGTGTGGGTAGGTGAGTGTCTAGAGATGTTTGAGCATCACCAGATGGGTGGTCAGGTTTCTCCTGCTGTCTTATTGGCATCTGAGCATCCTCAGCCTTGGTGAAGGTTGGAGATGTTTGATCTTGTAGTTCTTCACTAGACTGACTTACATGTATGCCAGTGGGACTAACAGTACCAGAGGTGTGTGGTCTTCTATTGCTTTCAGAGTCAGTAGACTTGCCCTGTGATGTGGCATCTCTTGTTGATTGTTGAAGTTTATCAGATGAAATATCCTTAGTTAATTGTTGAGGTTTATCAGATGAACCATCCTTAGTTAATTGTTGAGATTTATCAAATGAAATATCCTTAGTTAATTGTTTATCAGATAAAACACCCTTAGATAATTGTTGAGATTTATCAGGTAAAACATCCTTAGTTAATAGTTGAGATTTATCAGATGAACCATCCTTAGTTAATTGTTGAGATTTATCAGATGAAACATCTTTAGTTAATTGTTGAGGTTTATCTGCTGCAACATCCTTAGTTAATTGTTGAGGTTTATCTGCTGCAACATCCTTAGTTAATTGTTGAGATTTATCAGATGAAACATCCTTAGTTAATTGTTGAGATTTATCAGATGAAACATCCTTAGTTAACTGTTGAGATTTATCTGATGAAACATCCTTAGTTAATTGTTGAGATTTATCAGATGAAACATCCTTAGCTAATTGTTGAGATTTATCAGATGAAACATCCTTAGCTAATTGTTGAGGTTTATCAGATGAAACATCCTTAGTTAATTGTTGAGATTTATCAGATGAAACATCCTTAGTTAACTGTTGAGATTTATCTGATGAAACATCCTTAGTTAATTGTTGAGATTTATCAGATGAAACATCCTTAGCTAATTGTTGAGATTTATCTGATGAAACATCCTTAGTTAATTGTTGAGATTTATCAGATGAAACATCCTTAGCTAATTGTTGAGATTTATCAGATGAAATATCCTTAGTTAATTGTTGAGGTTTATCAGATGAAACATCCTTAGTTAACTGTTGAGGTTTATCAGATGAAATATCCTTAGTTAAATGAGATTTATCAGATGCAACATCCTTCGTTAATTGTTCAGGTTTATCAGATGAAACATGACCAAGACTTAGTTTAACCTTTAGATTGCTGTCAGACTCCTGTTGGTCATTGTGTGTTTCTCCACTGACACACATTGTCACATGTGTATCAACTGACCGCCGTACAGTAACAACATCACTTCTTACATCATCTCTCTGTGAAGGTGATTTCTTTCCCTCATCTACCACCCTAACAGGTTCCTCAAGATTTACAGAATCAGCAGAAATATCCTGGCTTCTCTTGTCTTCATCACCAGCAGCTTTTCCTGGCTTAGCATCATCCACCAACTGACCATTACCAATCTTCTGATGTTGATGAACATCTTTTACTAATGGAATAGTGTCTGTAAAACTCACACCATTCTTGTCAGCACCACTGGCCAGTTCCTTCTCATTTTGTACTTTTGTTTTCACCTTCCACTTCTCATCTAACTTGGCTACGACATTATCAGCATGGAAAACAACTCCTGCCTCCATGTCCAATTCTTTGTTCAATATTTTATCTGTGTAGAGTTGGCTGCCTTCATCAGCTTGTTTGTGCCCAGGTATTAACTTACTCTTAGCTGCTTCAGAGTCCAACTTTGAGGCAACTTTATCAAGCCCATTCTGGTATTTGTTTATCAACTGTTCTTTGGTTAACTTTCCATCAACATCCTCAAGTGAAGTTTCATGTTTTACACATTGATTAACATCACCATTAATGGCCTTGTTTTCTTTGAGATTTACTAAAGTCTTTGGTTGCTCCCCATTAGAAGATGACCCATTCTGTTGGTGATTTATTCCTGGTTGACACAAGCCCATTGCTTTATCTTTGCTAGTGGCTTCTTTGATGTCTATACCACTACTGTCATTGTTATTTGCAAGTTTTGTTTCTTGTAAAATATTCCCATTCACAGAGTCTAGTTTTGTAGAATCAATACTGAGTTCCTCTATGATATTTCCTTGAAGATCTGAAACCTTGATGTTGGGAGTTCCTTGACTGTCACTGCTGCTGAGGTTTGCATCAAAAAGTCTGCCCTGGACCTCATCTGATGGAGCTGGTTCCGGAGGTGTGCTAGCATGTGACGTGCTGATGACTGTTGTGTTGAGCAGTGATGACTGCGAGTTGTCGTTGTCCGAGTCACTGTCTGAAACTTCTGCGCTGGAGTCTAAATCTGAAACAAAGTCATCTTTTCCTGACTCTGTACTGGTTTTTAATGCCTCACTTTCCTTATGTTCACTGAACTTGTGTGCACCATCTGTCTGTAAGGATATCTCTTTCAGGTGCTCAAAAAACTGTAAACCAACACCAGCTATTTCCCCATCATTATCTCTAACTGGTACTGTGTTGAAAGGTTGGTTAGTTTTGTCAGCTGCCCAGTTTTGTTTCTGGGTGAGAGATTCTACATCTGTGACAGGAGTCAATCTAACAGACGAGCCACCTTTGTTGGCATTACTTTCAGCCACTGGCTGGCGCTGAATTTCAGGTGTCATAAGTCTGCTGATGGATATAAACGGAGAGCTTCTACCACTGGAGCCTGGAGACATGGATGTCTGTCTGTAGATGTCTAATCCAGGGCTGGAAGGCACTTGTTTTAGTGGATCCTGCAAACCCTCTCTCGTACTGGTGCTAATGATCAAACCAGCTGAAATGGCTTCCTTGAAGTTGATGGTTTCTCTAGAGCTGGGCTGAATGAAGACGCCCTTCTGAGCATCAACCATGTTTTTCTTAATGGCGTCCCCAAGGGTGATGATGCTGTCCTGCATGGTGTCCCTGATCTCCGGGTGCTGGCCTGTGATGACACTGTCAGCAATCATCTCTTGCAGGCACTTCACTGCACCTGTATCAGGGTGAACAAACTGTCCAGAGAACTCAAAGTACAGCCCCTGGTCTACTGCACTGTACAACGAGAGGCCCTTAGGACTTAGAATATATCCTCTCTCAACAGCAGAAGCCAGGGACATTGTTTCCCCTGTCTGAGGGTTCTTAAAGTCTCCAGTCTTCAGATCAATAAGACCCATGCTAGCAGCCCTGCGAAGAGTTATACCCTGGACGGAATCAGGATCAATAACCTGAGAATTTGAGCGATGTAAGATACCGCTAGAGAAAGCATCTTCAATCTTCCTCCTGCCATAATCAGACATGTCCTCCACATGGATTTCTACAGTGTTTCTGGGACTGTACTTTTCCTTGAAAATAAGACCCACATCCCGTGCCTGCTTAAGTGTGAGAACAGTTCCAGTGCTGTGATCTAAGAACTTTCCTCTCTCTGCATCTATAACACCAGCACTGATGGCTTCTTTTAAGGTCATGGGCTGTTCAGTATTTGATGATATCACCTCCTTGATTGAATCATTTACAAGACCGGAGTCTACAGCCTCCCAGAGATTAAGAATACGACCAGTTTCAGGGTCACAGAAACAGGAACTGATATCATCATAGACTCCTTTCTCAACAGAGTTAAACAAAGACAAGGGTTTCTCCTCAATCAGCTGTTTCCTGATGGCGTCCTGGAGCAATGAATCAAGAGAAGCCGACAGTTCATCAGCTGGGGGGCTCCATCTGGACTGCAAGTCTCTCATCAACTCCTCTTTCCTGGAAGCTGCATAGTTCTCATAATGGTCCTCAAGATCATTGGTGCTGTGGCTTCTCTCAGCCTTCAAGTACGCTTCAACCTTTTCTTTAGCATTCTTATGGATGCTGTCACTACAGGAGCTCTGACTGCGCTCGTAGTACACTCTGAGATTCATATCACGTGTATCCTCATCCATGTCAAATGTTACTGGAAGTGATGCTTCACTCTCTGTGAAGCTAATATTCAAATCCTCAGGCAGCTTACGGGAGGTGGGAGGACTGTCTATAGAAATTTGAGAAGCATTGCTCGACAGATCCCGGATAAATTTATTGTCCAAACTTGGACTAGAATGGCTGGCTAAGCTTTCATCAGATTTTGTGTAATCATCCATGTACGACTTGTTGACAATGCCAGCTACAGTGTAGAGGTTGGGAATTTTGTTCAAGTTCTGAGAGAAGTTCTCTCCATCCAACAAGGGATCACCTGTGTAATGCTGAGCCAGATCAGTGAAGTCCAAGTCCATGGTGTCTGTGTTGATCTCAGCATTACTGCAGCAGCTGAGCGTGGTGTCCTCGTCTTCACTGGATCCACTGTCCAGCACATCAGGCTCACACCTCAAACTTCCTGCCATTTGACTGGAACTGGAAGAATCAACCTCCATGGAACTCTCCGTGTCCTTGGAGAGCACTGTTAAGGAAGAATGTGGTGAAATGGATGATGAGCATGGCTCAGATGGTGAGGGCAGGTGTTCAAAGCTGTCCAAGGAAGACATGGACCTCCTAAACTCCTCCTCAGTTTGTTTATTCTGGGCAATCAACAAACGTTTGGTCACAACAGCTTCTGTAAGAGTTAAAGGCGTATTCGAGGCAATGTAGTTCCCTGTGTGAGGGTCTATCAAACCTTTATCTATTGCCTGTTTAAGGGAAAACACCCCAATTTCAGGAACAGCCACTTGAGGTTTCTCTTCATTGATGACCCCACTTTTAATAGCTTCAGCTAAGGTCAACCTTTTGCCAGTCAGTGGATCAACGAACCTCAGGTTACTCTCATCATACAGACCAGAGGAGACGACATCCCCGAGAAGAAAACCACCTTTTGGGATCTCAATCAAAATATTTTTGTTGAAAGCTGACACGAAATCATGTGAAATGCCAGTTCTAGAATAAACCAGTTTATCATCGTCCACAAACACAATGCCTTCATGCATGGCTTCATCTAAAAACATGTACTTCCTGTTCTCGTTGACACTGACAAGAAGTTGTGAAACATCAGCCAAGCCTATCTCAGTGGCTTTCTCTATGGTCAAAGACCGGCGGGATAACGGGTCCATTATTTTACCATAATTTTTCTGCAGCAGGCCAGCATCAACTGCTTGTTGTAGAGACAGAGAAATGTTTTTAATATTCTCTTGCAACAAGCCCCTATCCATTGCCTCTCTTAAATTCAGCAACTCATTAGTCTCAGTGTCTAAGACCATTCCCACTTTTGTGTCTAAAATTTTCTGATCCGTGGCCTCACTGAATGTCAGAAGTTTCTTCTTCTTACTGTCCAGAATGAGCAAGGTGTCAGGGTCTGAGATCCCCTCCGCCACCATATCCCTCAGACTCCTGACCCGACCTGTTGAAGGGTCAATGAACTTGCCAGTCTTCCAGTTGTACAAGCCTTGTTTAACGGCCTCAAGCAGGCTCTTGTCTGGGACGAAAGCATCCGAAAATATGAGACAGTTCTCAAAGGCTTCTTCAAAAGTCAGGCCCTCGTCTCCTTTGTAGCTTCTAAATCCCCCAGTTTCTGGATCTACCAAGCCTTGGCTTATTGCACCATCAATTGTCAGTAATGTTTTTGAATTCACGTCCCTAATAGATATAGACATGCGATCCATCAGATTAGATTCCAATGCGTCTTTAAGATTCATCTGGTACTGCCCGACTGGATCTTTGAACAAACACTTGGAGACATCCACCAGATTTTCATCAATTGCTTCCAGCAAAGACATGGCTGGCTGGCTTGTGGTGTCTACAATGATGCCTTTATCAAGCCCATCAACTATGTTGTACTTCTCCCCATCAAATGTATTCACACACACCCCCGCCTCAAGATCTAAGATTCCCTTGTCCACAGCAGCCTCCAAGGTGAGCACTGAACCAGTTTTGGTGTCTCGCACTCTGATCAGGTCAACATCCACAATCCCCTGCTCTAAGGCAGTGACAAAATCGATTTCTTCATTAGAGTCAGGGTTGACAAAAAGATTGGAGGCAACATTGAAGAGCCCCTCATCCAGTGTTTCAGATAGGGACAGATGTAATGGTGCCTTGGACTTGAGAATTAGACCTTTCTCTAAGGCAAAGTTCAATGCGATAGGCATACCTGAAGAGTCAATCATTTTGCCAGATTCTGGATCAAGCAGCCTTTTATCAAGAGCTTCCTTTAAGGACAGAATATCCCCACTGTAAGGATCTCTAACAAGAGAATCACCGTGTATCAGCCCGGCATTTAGTGCTTTAGAAAGTGAGAGGAAACCCTCTCTGGACATGACAGAGTTGGACACTGGATCATAGATGCCACTGTTGATAGCTTCATCCAAGGTTAAGCTGCACTTCCTCCCCATGACTGAGCTTCTTCTCCTGGATGTGTAGGACTTTGGTACTCCCATGCAGTCAGAGATGGACTGCAGCTTTCCTCCAGGCAGCAGCAGGTCTAGAGTGTCAATGTTCAGAATACCATCTGTTATGGCCTCCTGCAGGGTGATGTTTCTCCCATCATGCTGGGTTAGGTTGGATGCTGGGTCTATGATGCCATCAGCAATGGCTTGGGTTATTGTTAAAGACTTCTTGGTTTGTGGATCTATGATCCTCCTCTCATCAAAATCAAGGATACCATACTCTGCGGCAACAGACAGTTCCAGGAAAGGTCTTGGAGTATTGCGCACCAGCCCTTTCTCTTTGGCTTTCACCAAAGGATACTTCTCGCCTGAGGAAGTGTCAATCATTGAGCCAGTTGACACCTCAACCATACCAATGTCAATAGATTCCTTGAAATCATACGTCAGACCAGTACTGCGCTCAACAATGAATGTTCTATCCGGTGTTATAAAACTTCTTTCATAAGCTGTTTCAAATGGCATCTTTTCATCCCCGACAAAGACCTCACTAGTTTCTTCATCTAGGAGATCATTCTCAATAGCTTCATACACAGTCATGGGAAAATTATCTTTGTCAATATCTTCCATACTTGTCAGGTCAGTAAAGCTTGAGAAAGATACATCTCCCTCACCGTGGTCACTGATGAGTCCAGCCTCAATGGCGTCACACAGCGACATGACAGTGTCAAGAGTGTTGTGATAGTACGTGTTTTGTACAGGGTCGATAATGTTCTCAAAAATGGCCTCCTCCACTGACAACCACAGGTCCTGTCTGACATCAAAGACTTCTTTCTTTGTGACATCAATCAAATTTTTATCAATCATCTCCGTCAGTGTCAGGTTCTGGCCACCCTCTGGTGTGACGTTGATGAAACTCTGCAGCTTACGATGGAACTTGGGTGATAAAACAGTCTGGTGTAGAGAGAGGGGCTTGGAGTCGTACAGCAGGCCTGTCTGCGCAGCCTGCTCCCAGCTCAGCCACTGGTCGCTGATGCTGTCTTTCACCTGAGCTGTCTCAGGGTCAAAAAGTGAATGTGTTATTGCTTCAGGTAGGGGGTACCTCTTCCCAGATTTCAGATCGAGAACGTGAATCGTCATAGTGGCCTCACCATTGGTCACGGCATCAAGCAGCCCGGGACCAAGCTCCCGTCTCAAACAGCCAATCATGTGCTCATCATGGACCTTATCACCCACGGAGCTGACCACAACAAGACCTTGGGAAATAGCCTCATACAGAGTCAAGACTCCTCCAGAATTCATGTCAACAACTCTTCCAGTCTTACGGTCAATCTGCCCAGAAGCCAGAGCATCTGTTATGCTGACTGGCTCTTCCTCCTGAAACTGTTTCACTTGAAGAATCCTAGGCAGCACAGAACAGCCTAAAGCTTCCTGTAGTCCTAGTTTGGTGCCTCTCTTAGGGTGGACCACCTTCTCAGTGGCAGTGTGCCAGAAGTTCTTTAGAACATTCTTAGTGTATGATGTCAGAAGGGTATGGTAGTCTTCATCCTGGAGATAATCATCACTGAAAGAAAATCTTTTGCTCTCTCTCTTGCCAACATGGGAGGTAATTTGTTCAGATGGAATAGAGACTTGAGCTGTAGAGGCATCATCAGCTGTTGGAGTGCTCTGTAAAGTAGCAAATGGCTTTTTCTGTGAGATAAGCTGCAAGTCTTTAGTGGTTAACTGTTCATTCAATTGACTAGCACTGTCTAGGTTTGAGTTAAGGCTGTCCAGATTACTACACAATTTTATCACAGTTGTATCTTCACTAAAAGATATTTTTTTTGCCTGAAGTGAAAGTCTTTCAGTGTTCTCAATATCTGTGTCACCATTTGAAGCTTGAGCCAGTGTCCCCAGTTTTTCCTTGCCTTGATGAACACTTTCTCTGGTATCAAAACCTGTGTCACCATCAGAAGGTTGAGCCTGTGTCACCAGTTTTTCGTTGCCTTCTCTGGCATCAAAATCAATGTCACCATGAGAAAATTGAGCCAGTGTCACCAGTTTTTCCTTGCCTTGATGAACATTTTCCCTAGCATCAAAACCTGTGTCACCATTTGAAGGTTGAGTCTGTATCACCAGTTTTTCCTTGCCACCAGTTTTTTGGTCCCACACACCATCATTGTAAAAAGAACTACCCGCCTCCCTTTCTTGACCACCACAACTACTACCTTCAACTGAATGCTCTTCGGCACTCACAGCACAATTTACACTAACCTTATCAACAGAGGGAAGAGGAATGGTGTGACTAGAATCCTGCAAGAAGAGCAATGAAAGGTGGAGAAAAAAAAATCAAAGTTAAAAAACTTGGCATACAAAAGAATTCTTAGTTCAGAATTCTCCTTAATTTTACCTGCTGTTGGCATGTTGAGAAACAAAAAATTTAAACAAGAAAACATTCTCAAAGGTTAATTTGTAATAATTCTGTAACCTATGTATAACATGTTCATCAATGAAGCATATTATGTAAATAGTTTACCATCGTAGTTTTTAAACATAGAATTTAAAAATAATAAATAGCAACAGAAGAGAACAAAAAACCAAAAAAATAATAAATAAAACATCAAAACATAAATAATTGGGGATCTAAAAAGTTTGGTATACATAAATTTTCTTATAAAATCCATCAATAAACATGGCATAGCAACAGTGGCGGCAACCATAGAAACATATACTCATCCATGATTGGTATATCAAACTAAACATGAACATGTATTCTAATACATAAATCATGGGGGAGGAGAAACATATACATTGATTCTAACATGAAAAATAAACAAACGTTTGGAAAATATATTGACATTTATTTCTTAAACAAAATTTAAAACAAAAGATAAATCTTTGGAAAATTGGGGTAAAAAAAAATCAATGAACACATTGAGAGAAAGTAAGTCAAGAGATAAAGCAGGGTTACTTACTGGTGTAGTGGGTGGTGATGGTGAACCTGATGAACTCAAACATTCAGCATCAGCGTGGCCGTTCTCCTGACTGAGACTGGTCTGCTCGGAGACTCCGTTGCTTATTTCTCTTGGCGTACTCCCCCTTCTTGTGGGTGATCTGCTTTTTGGTATCTTTGAACTGGTTCCTTTAGCTTTCTCTCTCTTGGAGATCCCAGACACAGTTGAGTCATCTGGTGAGGCAGCAGTTTGATCAGAATCATCTGGGTGATCTTGCCTGAAGGTGTCAGCAATGTCTCTTCTGACTGCAGGAGAGGATGATCCATCTTCATCTTCATCTGATGCTTCATGTACTGAAGAAGCTGGAGTGGAGCTGCCTTTTTTCACACTTTTTACTGACTCTTTCTGGGGGATACCTGAGGTTTTGCTGTCTTTGGGGGATACTTTTGGACCTGATTTAGAATCAACAGCTGTTGTTGATGTGGAACTTCCTTGTTTCAAATTTGAGATGGTCTCTTTCTGAGAAATACCAGGGGTTTTTACATCTCTTGGGGCTACTTTTGGACCTGATTTAGAATCAACTGGTGTTGTTGATGTGGCACTTCCTTGTTTCAAATTTGAGATGGTCTCTTTCTGAGAAATACCAGGGGTTTTTCCATCTCTTGGGGCTACTTTTGGACCTGATTTAGAATCAACTGGTGTTGTTGATGTGGCGCTTCCTTGTTTCAAATTTGAGATGGTCTCTTTCTGAGAAATACCAGGGGTTTTTCCATCCCTTGGGGCTACTTTTGGACCTGATTTAGAATCAACTGGTGTTGCTGATGTGGTGCTTCCTTGTTTTAAACTTGAGATGGTCTCTTTCTGAGAAATGCCAGGGGTTTTTCCATCCTTTGGACCTGATTTAGAATCAACTGTGGTTGGAGTGGACCTTTCTGGTTGCAAATTTTTTACAATTTCTTTCTGAGAAATAGCAGGGGTTGTTTTACCGTCTTTGGGGGTTATTTTTGGACCCATTTTAGAATCAACTGTTGTTGTTGATGTTGAACTTCCATATTTTGAGCTTTTTACTGTTTCTTTTTGAGAAATACCAGGGGTTGTTTTACCATCTTTGGGGGTTATTTTTGGACCCATTTTAGAATCCACTTTGGTGGGGAGTTTAGTAGCCTGTACAGTGTCTCTTCTCCCCTCCTCTGGTTCTTCTGTCTCCTGAGCTTCCCTTACAGTCAGTGTGGGTTTGAGCAGGCCCTTCTGAATGGCCTGCGTGACTGACAGGGTCTCTTGTGTGTTGGGATCTGTGTAGCTGCAGGTAGCCGTGTCAATGTAACCCTGGCTGATGGCTGCAGCTAGGTTCATAGATTCTGACCCATTCACATGACCGTAGCTGGAAATGTCTCCATTCTTATAATCTACAATGTCATTGCCGTTTTCTTCACAGGAGATGAGGCCACAGAGAACAGCCTGGTCTATGGGCATGGAGTCCCCTGACACTGGGTCATGGTACAGCCCTGTGTCACTGTCCACCAGCCCACCTTGAATAGCTTCATGCAGGGAGATCTTCTCTTCACTCCCCACCACAGAGATAAGCCCCCTCTTTTCTGCCTCGGTCAGGCTCAGCTTCTCACCAGTTTTAGAGTCCAGAATTTCTTCCACATTGGAGGCAGCGCTTGGTGCCACACCATCCTTCAAGATGACGACAGATTCTCCAACAGCTCTGGCGCCATACGTCCCTGCTATTGGTGAAAGGTATCCCTTCTCTAAGGCCGCTTCAATGGAGATGGTGTCCCCCACGATGCTGTCATAGAAAAGGCATGTCTCTGGATCTATGATCCCAGTCTGAAGAGCGTTCTTGAAGCTGTAAGTCACTCCAGATTCCCCCACACCTTTGTATTCAAATGGCCTCCCATCAGATGCAACGACCAGTCCGGTCCGTACAGCTTCATCTATTGGATACATCTTCTGGGAGGCTTCATCTAAAAAAGTACCGGTGTTGGGGTCAATAAGTCCAAACCTCATGGCGTCTCTGAATGTGACATACTCTCCAGTTTCTCGTTGTTCTGCAATGATACTCGACTGTGGAGATTTGTTAATCTTTTCTGAGACCACCAAACCAAGCTTCATGGCTTCAGCTAGAGAGATGACATCACCAGTGAGAGTGTCAGTGTATTTCCCTGATGGGTCCAGGATCCCCTGGTCAATGGCCTCCTCCACACTCAACTCCCTACCTGTCTCTGTGTCAATGACACCTGTGATGTTGTGGGAGCTGGCTGGTTTCTTGGAGGTGACGGTCGTCTGAGATTTGGAAACAGTCTGGACGGTGCCTTCAACCAAGCCTTCCTTCATGGCATCATCAATCATCATGGGGACCCCTGTGACAGGGTTGCTGTACACAGTGCAGTTCTCATCCACCAGTCCTCGCTCTATGGCCTCAGCCAGGCCGATGTTCTGCCCGCTGGTTGGGTCGTACACTTTCCTGATGCTTATCTGTTTAGCATCCTCTTTTTTCTGCTCTGAAAGTCCAACTTCAGCAGTGTCTTTACCTTCAATCAGACCATACCTAAGGGCATCTCTGAGAGAAACAGGACCAGAAGGATCCTGGTAAACTCCTTTGTCTTTGTCCAGAATTCCTTGTTTAATTGCGTCTGCAATGGGTATCGGCTTCCCAGTTTGTGGGTTCGTGACCTCTGTGATCAGCACGCCATTGATGACAACAATCTCTTTTGCTTGCTCATCCTCCACCACCTCAGCACTGATGAGCCCCATGTCAATTGCCTTGTCCAAAGAGATGTGCTCTCCTGTTTGCGTGTTGATGATCTCACCTTGCTCTGGGTCAAATATTCCCTGACCAATGGCCTCTCCCATGGTTATCTCTTCCCCAGATACCGGGTCAACTACAGCCGTGATGGTCATTGTCTTCTGCTTGACTGTAGTGACCACAGGTTCCGGCACCTCAGATTCCAGAATCACAAAACCACGTTTCACAGCTTCTGGAATGCTCATCTTCTGGCCAGTTTTTTTGTCAATGTACTGCTTGTTTTTCTTGTCCAGGATCCCCATCAACAGAGCATCCTTGCCACTGACTGAGTTGTTTTTCCTAGTGTCCACAGCTGACTTGACTTTATAGTCCCCAATGACAACCGTGCCTGTTGCCAGGTTCTCTTTGACTTTGCCTTTAATCAGTCCCTGGTCGTAGGCCTGCTGTACAGGGATGGGATCCAAGCTGGCGGGATCATTGTAGGTCCCTGACTTCAAGTCCAGGAGTCCCGACGCCACAGCCTCGTTAATGCTCACATGCTCATCTCTCAGAGGATCATACACAGATGTAATATCACATGCTTTTTCTTGGATGGATTTCCCCACCGCCTGCTTCACAATCATGCCTTCCTTTTCTCCTTGCACTATGGAGATGGGCTCCTGCTCGGAGATGTGATACAACCCCTCAGATGGGTCAATGAGACCTTTCCTGACAGCGTCGTTCCAGGAGAGATAATCTTCAGTCTCAGGGTCATACACCTCCCTACCAAATCCTTTAGGTTTCACATGAGCTGATTCCACATGGCTCGGACTGACTTCTCTCCCTTTAAGTAATCCTTCTTTGAGAGCATCACTGATAGACATTGTCTCCCCTGTCCTGCTGTTGGTCAAGGTGCCGCTGGACATATTTAAAATGCCCTTCTCTACAGCCTGCGAGACTGGCATCTCAATATCAGTCCCAGGATCAACCACAGCATCAACTTTAAAGGAAGTTGACTGTACTATAGTGTCCTTACGATACATGTCCTCTATATCTGCATCTGAATCCAGCACCCTGGCAACCACAAGACCTTTCTCTATTGCCACATCCATGGGTATCAGTGAGTCGTATTCAGTGTCCCTGAAGTATGTCACCTCTTCATCTATAATACCCTGCCTGACAGCTTCCAACAGTGGCAGGTTTTCCCCAGTCAGTGTGTCCTTCACTGCATCAACCTGCAGCATCCTCTTCTCTGAAAAAGCAACTTCAGCAACATGCCCAGCTTTGATCTCTTCTTTTGTTGATATCTTCTCCACAACCAGTCCTTTAATCAAGCCTTCGTTAGCTGCCTCAGTTATTGGCATCTTCTCCCCCGTGACAACATTCTCATACACTCCATCCTCCAGGCTGACAATGCCTCTGCTGATGGCTTCATCTAAAGGCACATGGCAATTGGACAGAGGGTCGTACACACCATCGACGTGGATGGTCTCTGTGGTCTTAGAGAAGATGCTGACAGCATCCTTTGCTGCAGGTGTGGCAACTTCTTGCAAAGTCCCATCCTTGATACACAGGTCAAGATTTTTAGCATGTCCAGTTTTGGGGTCAACGATGTGACCATTGTCATCCATGACACCTTGTCGTAAAGCATCTTGAAGGTTCACTGGCTTCCCTGTCTGGGGATCTTTGAGAATGGCAGAGTCTTTTTGTATAAGACCACCCATAATGGCGTCGCTGACCTCCATTTGTTTGTTAGAGTTGGGGTCTGTGAAGACTCCTGTTTTAGGGTTGAGGTAGCCGCTAGAGATGGCCTCATGCAGAGTCATGGCGTCAGACGCCTCAGATGCTGGAACGCTTTGCTGCAGTTGTGTCACTTCCAGCATGTTCGCTGACATACGTCGCACTGTCGTGGCTTGGAATGACAGACCAGTGGATTCTTCATCAGCGGACACAACATCTTTCTTTCTCTTGCTCTCCATGAGTTCATCAAAGGATTCTTTAGCAGCGATGGCAGCTGCGAATGGAGCTCCAACAATGGCTAAAGCTCCAAACTTTACTGCTTCACCCAATGTCATCTTTTTACCAGTTTCTTCATCAATGAACTTTCCAGACTTGGGGTCTATTCTGCCTTCATCAATCCCTTCCTCAAGGGAGAAAATCTCGCCTGTCTTGACATCATAAACAGTGAAATTACCATCAATTTTACCCTGGTCCACAGCTTCATGGAATGTTAGCTCCTCCCCTGTACTGACGTCATGGAACACTCCCCTCTTGTCATCAAACAGACCCTCGTCCACCGCGGCAGTCAGACTGACGCCATGACTTTCATAAGGCTCTGCCGGTGTGGCAGTGTCAATCAGCTGATCTCTGATGGCGTCCAGCAAGGCTATCCTCTGGCCAGAGTTGGGGTCTGTGAACTGTTTCTCCTCTAGGTTTATCAAGCCCATGTCTAAAGCCTCAGCAAAGGATAACCTCTTGGCATCATCAGCAGTTGGACGATCTGCTGGTCGTTTTCTCACAGTGACTGTTTCTTCCTGCAGGACTTTGACACTTTCTTGCACTGATTGTTTTTGAGGGCTTTTTGGTTTAGGTGCAACTGGAGGAGGTGCTGAAGCAGCAGAGGAAGAGATGAGCCCACGCTGAATGGCTGTAACTATAGAGACAACTTCACCAGTTTGAGGATCTCTGAAGGTTCCTTTATCCTCATCAATGTAACCTTTAGAGATGGCATCTTTCAGTGTTAAAGGTTTGGGTGAGAATTTTTGTGTGAAGGGTGCACCTTCTGATGTTTGGTCTGGAATGAGTCCTTGGATGTCTGCATCTTGTAATGTGATCCTTTCCTTTGAGCCAACATGTATCAGTTCCCCTTTGAGTGGGTCAAACACTTTGTTATTTATAGCTGCTTGTAAGGATGATTGGTGACCTGTTTGGGGATCTATGACTGTCGATGACGCCCCATCTATAACATTTCTAGCCAGAGCCTCTTTCACTGACATTTGTTGACCTGTTGATGGGTCTATGATTTTACCAGTGCTGGTATTGTAATTCCCCTCCTTGACTGCTTGGTTCAGTGTGTAAGGTTCAACAGATCGAGTAGCCTTGCCTGGTTTTTCTGATGCTAGGGCTGTGCTGGTCTCAGTGACGGAGGCCAGAGCTGAGGCTGTGGGCATGTCAATCAAACCACTCTGGAGGGCTCTCTCTATGGTGTAGCTCTGACCTGTGGTCTGGTCGGAGATGGTTCCATGATCCCAGTCTATCTCAATCTGTGGAGTGGTGTGGAAAACAGGTGTAGATTTCCTAGCTAGGTCTTCCACCACTTCAGAATCCAGCAGGCCTTTCTGTACAGCCTCAGTGACTGTCATCTGATCCCCGGTCAACTGGTCAATCACTGTTCCTGATTCCCAGTCGATGGCCAGGTTTTTCATTGAAGCCTCTTTGAATGTCCTGGTCTGAAGGTCCCCACTGTGTGGTGAGTACACAGACTCCGTCACATCTTTGGTGTTGATCTGGAAAGTTTTGGTCACAGAGCTGATGGCAGCTGGTGATTTCTCCACTGGTGTGGATGTAATGTAGGGTGAACCGGGGGTGAGTACAATAGTTTTAGGGGAGTCCATGGACACGGTTTTGATTTCTATGGTCTCGCTGTACTTGCCCTGGATGGGCGCGGCTTGGGTTGAGGAAGTGAATGTCTGCTGTTTGGATACTGGCTGTGGAGCCTGGTGGAATGTGAGGGTGACCGGCTCTCCAGCTTTGGCGGATGTGATAAAGTCCGGTGTTCCTGGGTCAACTGTGATGGTGATAGACTTGCCCACCAGGCCAGTCTCTGGTGAACCTGGTGCAGTTGCCCTTTTGATGGTTATGGTCTTTTTGGGGTCTTCAGGTACATTAGCTGCACCTGGTGTCATCACAGCCCTGGAAGATATTGTCATTTCAGTCTTTGACTCAACTGTTTTGCTAACTGGTGGTTTGCTGGTTCTGTCTTTGACTGCATCTACCACCATCTTCCCAGCCATGACAGGAGCTCCAGCTATAGCCATAAGCCCCAGCTTTAAGGCATCTTGTGGGGACATTTTCTTCCCAGTTTTCTTGTCAACAACTGATCCAGTTTTATCCACAAGCCCCTTGGACTTGGCTTCTTGTAGCGACATTTTCTCCCCTGTGCTGGAATCAACAACCACAACAGCATCAGATTTCAGGTCTCCGTCATTTATTGCCTTCCTTAGTGGAACCTGCTGTCCAGTTTTGCTGTCAAGAATGGAACCAGAGCTGGCATCCAACCTGTTCTCAATGAGCCCTCTCTCTATAGCCACGGTTAAGGGGAGCGTTGTCTTCTGAGCAGAATCATACACATCACCACGGCTGCCATTGATCAGACCTTTCTTCATGGCTGAACTCAATGGGATCCTCTCCCCACTCAGGGTGTCTCTCACTGTCACCATTTCCCCATCAATGGTTCCCCTGTCTAGAGACTCCTGCAGGGTGTAACGCTGGCCTGAGACAGGCTCCAGGAATTTACCAGTGATGACATTGTAAAGACCGCTTGAAACGGCATCAATTAAATTATGTGTATGTACAGCCTGGGTCACTTGGGGTTGGGCACTGTCAGAAAAGCCAGCCTGTTCTGCTTTCCTTGTGTCCATCTGTCCAGCAGTTGGACTGATGATGTTTCTCCTGATACACTCACTCAGTGAAAGGGACTTCCCTGTGGTTGGGTCATCCAGTGCTGGCTGGTTCTTGTCCAGTATTTTTCTATCAATAGCTTCCTGCAGGGTCAGCCAGTCACCAGATTTAGGATCCCTGACTCTTCCAGTCTCAGGGTTGACCAGCCCAAGTTTGACAGCACTGACGTAGGACATTCCTTCTGAGCCTCTCACTGCTGCCTGGCTAGATGGTTCAGGTTTGGTTGCTTTAGATTGGTTAGTTGCATCCACATTAGATTTGTTTGTAGCATCCACATTAGATTTGTTTGTAGCATCAGGTGCTTCAACATCAGTTGTGTAATGGAGGACTTCAGTAGCAGGGGACAAGTCACCCTTAGGTTCATTAAATGTTTTCTCCATTTCCATGTCAATCTTTGACCAGGGCTTGTTGGTATCTTTGGGCACACGGGGCGTTGAGAGCTGGGCCTCAAGAAGGTTTTGTTCTTCAAGGGACTGCTCAAGCTGAGCAGCATTGGACGCTTTAGACTCTAGAAGGTACCCCATGGCCTTAGCCCTGCTCAAATCCATTTCAGTCCTGGTCACTGGGTTGTAGTAAGTGCCTTTATCAGGATTTATAATTCCATCTTTGAGAGCTTTGTCATACGAGACGGTTGTTTTAGTCCTTGGGTCAAAGACAGATGTGATATCTTTGAGTGGAACTGATGGTGTTTGGGCAGACACAGTGCTTCTCAATGTCTCTTCCTCCCGTCTTTTGGATGTGACCTCTCCGTGAATCAAGCCTTTCTCCATAGCTGCTGTGATGGACATGGACTCTAAAGTACCTGGGTTTTTGTAGATTCCTTTCTTCACGTCTAAGACGCCAGACTGCACTGCCTGGTCGTAGGAGATCATCTCCATGGTCTTTGGATGGATGACGCTACTAATGCTCATGGTCACAGTCTCTGAATGGACCTCTTCAATTAGCGTAGTGTCTGTTTGCTCATGGTCGTCAGAGATGTGTATACTGGAGATTTCTGCCCTCACCAGCGGGTCCTCAGACTGTGACTCTGGTGACTCCGCCAGGACCAGTCTCTTGTCCATGGCGTCGCTCAGCGTCATGGACTCCCCTGTCTGGGGATTGGTGTACACGCCCCTGACCTGGTCCAGAATGTTCTCCTCAACTGCCTTGGCCACGGAGATGAGCTTGCCAGTGCGTGGATCAACCACCGCTGTCACTGACAGTGTTGTCAGCTTTGTGGTGGTGATTCTATTGACGCTAGTATCCACGTCTGTCTTGACGGAGGCCAGCTGTGCAAAGATGTAGCCTCTCTCTATAGCCTCGTGGATGGGTATCTTCTCACCTGTCAAGGTGTTGATGTACAATCCCTCAGACTCATTAATTATGCCTTCAGCTATAGCGTCAGCAATACTCAGGTGTTTCCTTGTCACAGGATGCAGGACTGTTCTCAGAATGTAAGATTTAGTTTCTCTCAGGACAGACTCAGGTCCCACTGCATAGTCCCCAATATCTTCCACAATAACCAAGCCTTTTTCTATAGCTTCGCTTATCTTGATTGGTTTTGTTCTACCTAATGTGTCTGTATCATTGTAGACACCTTTAGATTGGTCAAGTATTCCGTCAGCTATTGCTTGACCTACAGTTAGCCGTTTCTTTGTCTTGGGGTCAAGGACACCAACAATGGAGAACGCTCTGGTTTCCTTGACAGCAGCGCCCTCTTTCTGGCTTCCTGAGAGCTCTTCAGCTTTTATGTAGCCCTTTTCAATAGCTTTATTCAGTGTCATAGTTTCCCCAGTCAGGGGGTCAGTGTACTGACCATTGTCCAGGTTGATGATCTTCCTCTTGATGGCGTCTTCCACATCCAGTTCCCTGCCAGTCCTCCTGTCTATGACAGACTTGAGTGTGATCTCTCTGGTCTCTGAGATGACCGACTGCATCAGGAGAGGCTTGGCCAGGGAGGTGGTTGTGAAGGAGTAGTGGTTGTCTGTTTTGGTCATGTAGCTGGACTCGTGAGTTTTGGAGCCAGGCTGTATTGGAATATTTTTGGTCTTGTCTCCAGACTGGAGGGTCATGAAAGTCTCTGAGACGATTCTCTGAGTTCTGGAATCAATCTCATCAAACTGTTGAGACAAAGAAGGCGCCTCAGGCCATTCAGAGGATAATCTCAAAAGCCCTCTTTGAACAGCTACTTCAAGTTTCATGATTTCATTGGTCCTGGGGTCTTTGAAAAATCCGGTTCTTTCATTCAGATACCCCTGGGAAACAGCTTGTGAGAAAGTCATTGCTTCAGATGGTCTTGAAGCCGTTTCAATCTGAGTGAAGACAGTTGTTGTTGTCATCATGGGGCTGATGAGGCCCAGAATGTTTGTGGCATCCACAGCATTGATGATGCCAGCAGAGGTAGCTTCCTGCATGGTCAGCTTCTCTTTGGTTCTTGGTTTCTCAACACATCCTGTCTGGGGGTCCAGGATGCCTCTCTGAAGTGCTTCAGCTATGGATAGGTTTCTGCCTTGGGCATCTCTTAAACTGGTAGGCTTGTTCAAGTCCTTGACAAGAGTCCTGTCTACAAGCCCGGAGTTTGCTGCCTGCTGTAGGCTGATCTCTCTTCCAGTTCTGCTGTCAACGTAGGTACCTTGAGATGTGATGATGCCACGCTTTAAAGCTTCAGAGAGCGTGACCACCTCTGAAGTTCTGGGATCTTTAACCCCCATTCTAGAGAACTCAACATCTTCATGCAGTAGTTTGACAATGCCAAGCTTGATGGCGTCTAGAACAGAATGGTGGGTGTTATCATTAGGGTCAATGAATTCTCCTGTAGGTGTCATTAACCCTTTGTTAATTGCTTCTTCAATAGACAACTCTTCCTCTGTGTTAGGGTCAATGATACACTTCTTATCCTTGCTAACAATGCCACTGTTTATAGCTTCAGCTAGAGTCATGATCTGACCAGTGACAGGGTCAAACACTCTGCCATCTTCTGTCAAATTCCCTTGCGCTATGTGATCAGACAGGGAAGTCGCTGTCTTCAGACAGCCTTTCTTCATGGCAGCAGACAAAGACAGTTTTTGGTTACTTGCTTCATGGCTGAACGTGCCTTTGAATGGGTCAATGATCCCATCTCTCACAGCCTCTGTTAGCGTGATGTAGTTGCCAGTGGTTGGGTCCTCCACTTCCTGGTACTCTGGGTTGATGTAGCCTTTCTCGACAGCCTCCATGATAGTCAGCTCCATGCCAGACAGAGGGTCAGCCACCTTCCCAGTCATCTCACTGTACAGACCCTTTTCTATGACTTTACCAAGACTCAGTCCAGAACCAGTCTTCGCAAGCTCGGAGCTGTTGAACACCGCCTGCGTGCGGACCACCGATGTTAGCTCAAGCTGTTCACCAGCTAACAGCCTGGAACACGACTCTGAAATTATCCCCCTTGAAACAGCTTCCAACACAGAGACTACCTCCCCTGTTGTTGCGTCAGTAAACGTGTTACTGCTGGGGTCGTACAATTTTTTCTGTATCCCCTCAATCAAAGACATCTCTTGTCCAGTCTGAGGGTCAATTAGTCCGCAGGGGGAGGTCAACTGTTTCAGCAGGACCTCGTCCATGTACCCTTTCTTGGCCCCTTGTTCTAAAGACATTCTCTGCCGGGTTGAAGGGTCAATATATGTCTTTGTCTTGGGGTCTATGAGACCCAGCTGTAAGGCTTCGACTAAAGTCACTTTCTGTGATGTGTGTGGGTTGAGGACGGCCGTCACATGCAGGATCTGGCCCCGAGTCCCCACCTCCTCTTTCTTGACTGTGACAACTGACTGCTCTAGAGCCTTGTGCTCTGACGCTGGTCCAGATATTAAGGAAATTGTTTTACCCGAGCTAGACGTCACCATAGTGGAAGAGTTCTCCATGGCCTTGAGTGTGGCTGAGAAGTCCGCCACAGCCTGCCTACCCGCAGGTGTAGAAGCTTCCTTCTGCGGCGTCCTGGGCTGGAGTTTTATTGTCGTTGAGAACTCAGCCAGCTCGGCCGACATGGTGGACTCTGGTTTGATCACCAGCGAGCTGGTGTAGGTTTGTTCTGGCACCGTGCCGTAGCTGGTCTTTGAGGGAACTGGACCCTCAAACTGGTGAGTGAAGTACTCCCTCATGTCCTCATCCAGCAGCATGGATGACCTTTTGGCAAGTTCTGCCCGGAATGTGCGCAGAAGAGGAATTTCTTCATCCATAACAATTTGAAACTGTGTGTAGAAAAGAAAAATAGAATTAATTTTTTTACATCTGAAGAAAAATGTATGAAATATAAATAAATAATTTTTTTTTTTTTTTAAGAGATGAAGTAAGATAGCTCTACAAGTTTTTGGCCTTAAATACCCATTCCCTTTTTAAAATTAATGCTCGCAAATATTTCATTGTCTATCCTTGCATCAAAGGCCATCAAAATTAGGTTTGTGATTAAGCAACCACCAGGCACTCAACCACTATACTCTATAATACACTATAACTACAAAGCTAACATGAATCAAGTCAGTGTCAGCTCTAGGTGTGACATGAATCAAGTCAGTGTCAGCTCTAGGTATGACTGCCGTACCTGCATGTCCCCATGTGTTGCCAGAGTATCTGTGATCTGTCTGAGCCTGGTGTTGGCCCAGTCCACCATCTCCATGTACAGACGGTTCATCCTGTCTAACTCATCTCTCACAACATCCGACCCATCTTGGCGTTTAAATTTCTTGCTGTCTGGGACCCTGCTGCCAGACGTGACATCTCCGACAGCTTCCTTGAACTGCTGAAGCCTTTTATCAGAAATCTGAAATCACCAGATTAAAAAAACCTAAAGGTATTTCTCACAATTTAAATAACATCAGTGTGTATAGACAAGGCCAGTAGACAACATTGTTTAACTATGATCACACTACAACATTTATTTACTAAGCTGCCGAGCTGTAAATATTTTTGTTAAAAAAAGACATTTTTCCACCTAATTATTAGAACCATACCTTCCTATTTAAACAAATTTTACATCCTAATAAAGTATAAATTCAAGTTAGTGGTGAAAAGCCATGGTATGTTGATTAATTTAGAGATCTTATTGTATATAAACAATTCTTTTGTTTGTACTAATTAGATCAAATGTAAAAATAATTGCTTTTTGTGATATTTTTCTTTTTTTTTTAAATTCCTGATAAATTTTTCCAAATAATTTTTTATATGTGGTGATTAGTTTTGTGCTTAGGTCAATGGTTTAAAATTGTAACAATGAATATCCCAGGAGATCAATAGTTAAGTTTAATTTGATAAGGTTCCTGACTAATGCCTACACACTAAATAGTAATGGATAAACTTTGATTTTTTAAAATTAAACAATACATTAGAGAAATTTGATATAAATACAAACAAAAGAGTTTAAAAATACAAAAAAATAGCACTGTTAAGCCAAGCACTAGGTAAAGCATATTTTTAAAAAAAGTTTGGCAATTAGTTTAAGAATTATTCAAGTGAAATGTTAGGCTTGTTCAAGCATTTCAATATGATTTACAATTGTTAACAATGTGAAATATTCAATACATGTAGATGTTGTTTTCTATTATCTACACTTTGTTGTTTGTTCAAAGAACTAAATTTTAATTCTTATAATTTTGTCATAAAATTTTTGAAGTAAAAACATAGACATGGGGCAGCTAAGGATTTTTTTTGGTATAAAGTGACACATGCCTCTATTCTAACATGCATCATGCAGAAAAAATACCTTGCCACACTAACACAGTGGCATTTACATTTAAACAATATCTTACACTGCTGGGCAGCAAAGTAATTTAAAAAAAAAAAAATAAAATTCTAAACAAAGAATTAAATTTAAAATTTGAATTAAATCTTATTCCACTAATGTAACAAACCAACAACATTGAATAATGACACAGAGCAACTAAAAATATAAATAAAAGAGTAAGCCACTTTCAGTTAGAGGAAGAGAAAATTAATTGTTTCGTTATTTAGATCATTGCAAAACCTTAACTGTTAAATGAAGAAAACAATTATAATTTATTAAAATATGAGAGAAATGTGAACTTAAAAACTCAAATGGCTTTCCCTTTTGTGTTAAAGCCCATTTTTACTTACCAACATGTGTGGCAAGTCACAGTGAATGAGTGGGTGTGCCTTACCCATCCATTCAGTCTTCATGCGACATCAAAAAATTGAAACAAAGCAAAAAATAAAACAAGGAAACTGACTAAAGCGGTGCACAAGTAAAAAAATTAAAAAATAGCCGTGCAAATGTGAGTGACGCTGAAAAAAATTCTTTTTATTTTCCTTCAGGCAGAAAGCAACAGCGGTTAAACAAAAAAAGAAATAAAAAGGCAAAAGTAGCATGCACATCAATATTTACTCTTTATTTTGTTCTGATCTCTATTGTTTTAACCTACTCTGATTATATTTCTGTGCTGGTTAGAGTCGTATAGGGACTTGTCAAAATAACAAATGTTTAAATAAATCCTCTTTTTAAAAAAAATTGGACTGCTGCCAACAGATTCTAAAATCATGAATATACAAATATTTCAGAGATTTTAGAAGAGCTATTCCAACATTAAATATTTCAACGTCAGTTAAGCCCTAGAATGTAAACAAAATTTAAGTTAGCTGTAGTGGTTAGCTGAAATACACTACCAAATTAATCTCTCATTAACTGATGGTTAACGAACTCATGTTAGAAATAAGCTGCACAATTTAAACTCTATAAAAGTTATACTACTTGTGAAGTGTAAGTAAGCAAACTGCATTTAAATTTTTTTTAAGGAATCTCATTTTTTGAATTTTTGAAGAGATCCACAGTATGTTTAGCTATATAAATGTAGGTTTGTTTATATCGGTATAGTAACATCTGAGCTTGTAAAAAACTTTGACAAACCCAGACATAAATTATAAACCTCGGGAAGTTTTCATTTTATTTCACAACATTGACAGCTAGCTACAACTAAACAAGATGCCATTGCTAAAAAAAAAAAATACCAAACAAGAGAACACCAATGTAAATAAAACAAAAAGATTAGTTCTACATGCTAGTATTAGTGTTTTTGATCCCCAATTATTTTTAGTCAATACAACAAAGAAATAAACAAAATCATTGCATAAAAAGTGTAAGATTGCTGAAATATGATTACACTTTGGAAAAAAAAAATTAGAATTCTCATGATTTTTAGTTTACAATTTTCTTACATTGTGAATTATGACCACAGAACCAAAGTAGTAAAAAATAATAATTTTTACAATTCAATTGATGATGTATAAAATACATGATGCAAGAAAAGGGGGGATATGTTGAGCACAGATTTACAACAGGGAGTTTAAACAAACCATACAAATCAAGCCATGACTAGCAAATTATGGTTTTAATGTTATTGTAAACAACTTTATGCACATAGTATCTGAATAATAAAAAATAAAAAAAGCTAACAAAAGCAACACAATTAGTACCAAAATGCAATAAATAAAATAAATTATTTGAAGACAAGCTTTCAAGGGTGCTTTAGGTGTTGAAACACTTATAAAAATTGCAAGAACTCTTCAGTGAAGCAAAACATCAAAAAAGAAAGAAAGCATTAATATACGGGGTTGATTATAAAACAAATCATGACTAACCTTAGCCTCTCTGATAAACTGTCCTCCATATCTGTTGACTGATTCAATCTGGTATCTCCGGTCTCCAAGTGCATTATAGATGGCCTGAAAGAAAACAGTATAAGCTTGTAAACATCACAAGTCTACCTAACATACACCACTATGTGTACATAGCCTACTGTAGTCTACATGACAACAGCTGTGAGCTATTAGTATATTGATGATGAGTTAATATAGAGCAATGGATGATTATTTTTTGTATCATTTTGTATCATTGATATGGAATTACAACAGTTTAAAATAGAAAAATAATAATTGCCCTACAGTTGATGCAGTATCTCATCAGTCTTTTATTTGTCTTTTTTGCATGTAATGTAGTTTTGTCACAGAGTCAGAGTTTCTTCCAGGCATATTTTTGGGAGGGGGGGGGGGGGGGGGGGGGGGGGCTGACCCAAAGAAAGTCTACCCCCCCCCCCCCCCCCCCCGAACTAAATGGAATTTATGTAGACAATAGACAATATATACTTTTGACAGTGTCCGCCCCCCTCCCCCCGAAAATTGTTGTCCACCCCCCCCTAAAAAATTTCAAGTGCACCCCCGGAGAAAAAAGTCTGGAAGAAACACTGCACAGAGTCAGCGTAGGACAAGGGTTATTGAAGTGATCATAGAAATTCTAGATGTTCTACTGTGTCTATACCAGATATTGTGTACCCAGTAACTCACCATGGTGGGCTCCAGCTGAGTTTTGGCGTCCACCACGTCACCATTGAGGGAGGGCTGGGATGAGATCCTCTTCTCCATCTGTGAGGTCCACTGTTGTTCTGTGTCCAGTCCATTGCGGTAGAGAGACAAGAGGTCTTGGCAGGAGCCAACACTTTTTAACCTGAAACATGGGGAAATAGGACAATAGGTCTTCGCAGGAGCCAACACTTTTTAACCTGAAACATGGGGAAATTGGGCATTGGTGAAACATGGGGAAATTGGGCATTGGTGAAACATGGGGAAATTGGGCATTGGTGAAACATGGGGAAATTGGGCATTGGTGAAACATGGGGAAATTGGGCATTGGTGAAACATGGGGAAATTGGGCATTGGTGAAACATGGGGAAATTGGGCATTGGTGAAACATGGGGAAATTGGGCATTGGTGAAACATGGGGAAATTGGGCATTGGTGAAACATGGGGAAATTGGGCATTGGTGAAACATGGGAAATTTGGACATTGGTGAAACATGGGAAATTTGGACATTGGTGAAACATGGGAAATTTGGACATTGACAAAACATGAGAATTGGACATTGACAAAACATGGGAAATTTGGACATTGGTGAAACATGGGAAATTTGGACATTGACAAAACATGAGAATTGGACATTGACAAAACATGGGAAATTTGGACATTGGTGAAACATGGGAAATTTGGACATTGGTGAAACATGGGGAAATTGGGCATTGGTGAAACATGGGAAATTTGGACATTGACAAAACATGGGAAAATTGGACATTGGTGAAACATGGGAAATTTGGACATTGGTGAAACATGGGAAATTTGGACATTGGTGAAACATGGGAAATTTGGACATTGACAAAACATGAGAATTGGACATTGACAAAACATGGGAAAATTGGACATTGGTGAAACATGGGGAAATTGGACATTGGTGAAACATGGGAAAATTGGACATTGGTGAAACATGGGAAAATTGGACATTGGTGAAACATGGGAAAATTGGACATTGGTGAAACATGGGAAAATTGGACATTGGTGAAACATGGGAAAATTGGACATTGGTGAAACATGGGAAAATTGGACATTGGTGAAACATGGGAAAATTGGACATTGGTGAAACATGGGAAATTTGGACATTGGTGAAACATGGGAAAATTGGACATTGGTGAAACATGGGAAAATTGGACATTGGTGAAACATGGGAAAATTGGACATTGGTGAAACATGGGAAATTTGGACATTGGTGAAATAGAAAATCAAATATAACCCACTAATACCTAACAAAAAATACAGCAGAGGGATAAATTTATGAAAAATGTAAATTAACTAATTTTAGCAGTAAATAATGCAGTAAAATAAAACATTTAGCTGTGTGTCAGAATTGTTTAATCTAAGCAATTCAGAATCATACATAAGCTACTCTGAACATTAAAATTTAATAAAGTTTAAATTCAAGGCATTGCAGTAGCAGAGACACCCTGATCTCATTCAAGTATTTAAAACAGTTGTCACCAGCAAAGTCAAGAACCCTACAGACCTTTCCACCACCTGGATGCACACTTGATCCCATCTTGTGGCCAGGCTGCTGACCTCCTTCTCCACACTGTCCACGTCGTGGTGCTTGTTGGTGCCTGGCCTGCTGCGCTCCACCAGAGAACGCAGGGACTCCACATCTTCCTTCAGGTGCTCCAGCTTGGGGAGGTGCTGCTGGAGGGATTCCTGAAGGTCCTGGTGACAACAAAATATTTATTAAGTAAACAACCCTTCCAATAAATGGGGATGGATTGGACACACGCTAAGGAAGAGAAAAAGATAAATTGAAAAACATGCTATGGACTGGAATCCCCAGGGAAAAAGAACAGTGGGCCGGCCAAAGCAAACATGGAAAAGAACGGTTGAGGAAGAGGCTAAGACAGCTGGGCTCACATGGGGAGCAGCCCAAAACCGAGTCAGATGAAAATGTGTAATTGCAGCCCTTTGCTCCCCAGGGGCCACAAAGGAATGATGATGATGATGGAAGAACCCTCCAAACTTGATGGTGCATGAGGCAAGTGAAGCAGAGTACATCTGTTTTAGATCTATTTTATATGTGTAGTCAGGATTATAAAAGCATCTTAAATTTTTAATTTTCTAGCTGGCCAGAATATAACTTTTCAGAGAATTTCTAAACCACTGAGCAAGCAAGTAAATCTAGGTTTTGACCAAACATATGTTTGTACTTGGTTGCTGTTGAAGACATAAATTGTGGTACAACAAACAAGGGGACCAAACTCTTCCCACAACTTACCACAAGCTGGGATTTCACAGACTTGAGTTCTGTGAGGTCAGAGGTCATGCTGTCATGTGATGCCAGCGAGGTTTCAAAGTCAGAGATCAGTTGTTTGACTTCGTTTAGCCCTGAGATAACAACTTCCCCTCCCTTCAATCTGTCAAGGCAAACATCAACAAATTCATTAGTTTACATAAAACAGTAGCATCCTTTCAAGCTAGAAAAAAAAATGAAGCTTCTTCTATTTAGGTCAGGGTTTATTTATGATTAGAATGAGGGTCTGAAAACTATTATTCTTTTAATAAAAATACATTATTAAATAATTGATGGACCAAATAATTAATTAAGTCAAAATTTATTTAATTTAATTCCTTTGATTCTAGAATCTGTAGAAACAAAATTCAGGTGTTTTGTTTTCCAAGAATGGTGTGAAAAGAACAAGACTTAATTACTTAAAAAGCTGCATATGTTGGCCACATGTTTAGTGTTAGATAGTTATTGTTGACAGAGGTTTGTACCATTGAATCATTTCTCCAATCCCAGTTTACATGAAAACAATGATTGCTTATTTTCAATGTTTCTAATTTATATATCCAGATAATAATTAAAGAAAGTGAAATAAATGTCTACAAGAAGAGTTAAAAATTAATATTTTTTAAATAATGAACTCAAATCTGTTTCAAATTTGTATACCCAAACAATAACTACAGAAAGTAAATAAATGTGTATTAAGAAGAGTTAATACACATTTATTTACTTTCTGTAGTTATTGTTTGGGTATACAAATTTGAAACAGATTTGAGTTCATTATCTATCTGGAACCATAGAAAGCAGGGTACGGAACAATGAAGAATATAGAAGACTACAAAAAGAGGTAAAAAGGAATGCTAGGAAGGATAAAAGGAACTATGTAGACACAATGGCCACAGAAGCACAGGCTGCAGCTGATAAGGGAGACAGCAGAACTGTCTACAAGATTATCAGGACTCTAACAGGCGGAATAGCAAATAGATCATCTACTATCAAGGACAAAAATTAATATTTTAAAAAAAATGAATTAAAAATCTGTTCCTGATTTATATACCCAAACAATAATTACAGAAAATGAAATAAATGTGTATCAAAAGAGTTAATGTATGTAGAGGCCCGACCTGTCAATGTAAATGTGAGAGATAACTTTCATCTGTTCAGCTTTTTGTACAATCAGGTTCAACTTGGACTCGATGTTTGAGTTGCGAGGTGTCAGCTCCTTGATGTCCACCTGCAAACTTCTGATTTCATTTTCTTGTTTGTCAAACTTCAGTTGGAATTCCTGGAAATAATCAAGTTCCACAGGTGTGTCATGGCAGCAATCAATAACTTGGTGAAAAGGTATCAGGTAATAATATCCTACTGTTGCACGTATTCAAAGTAGCGTTTAGCAACAATTAAAATAATTTAAACACATTTAAAAAAACAAACAATTTAAACAGTTTTATGATGAACTTCATGTATCTAGATTTTTTGTAAGTAAATTTTGAAAAATAATTTAAAAGTTCTAAAAATAACTCAAAAGTAAAATACTATCAACAAGAGCACCTATATAAGAGCCAGACTTACCCTATAAGAACTAAAAAGTAAAATACTATCAACAAGAGCACCTATATAAGAGCCAGACTTACCCTATAAGAACGGAATGATTCTTGCACAGCCAGGTTGTTCTGGGGCAGTGGTCTGTGGAGCAGGGCAGACAGTTGCTGGTCAGTGGTGTTCAACTCTCTGCTGACCGCGTCCACCCTCTGGAGGATGATCTGTGCGGTGCTCACACTACGTTTACCTTCTGGTAGCAGGGAACAGTTTTTTTAATTGCAGTAACTTAACAGTCTTTAACTGGGGTAACTTAACACAGTCTTAACTGGGGTAACTTAAGTCTTTAACTGGAGTAACTTAACAGTCTTTAACTGCGGTAACTTAACACAGTCTTTAACTTCGGTAACTTAACACCTAGTCTTTAACTGGGGTAACTTAACACAGTCTTTAACTGGGGTAACTTAACACCAAAGTTTTTAACATGGGTAACTTAACAACAAAGTCTATAACTGGAATAACTTAACAATGTTATCTTAAACTGGGGTAACTATGATCAGTCTTTAACTAAGGTAAGTCAGTTGTTTATTGTTTGAAACTAACTCCCATCAAATAGCTTACATATTTTTCAATTAAACAGTACACAGATCTGATTGCTGCCAAATATATAAAAAGAAACCAAACTATTCATTTGCCATTATGTACATCAGTCTATAGACCTACAGAATCTACATGATACCTTTAGCTGCAGCTCTGTCGCACAGATCCTGGTAAATTTCTCCGCAGTGTTTCAGCTCCTCTGCCAGCTTCCTCATGTCTCTGTCAGAGGTTCCACACTCAGCTATCAGCTTCTCACCATCTTCCTTCAGGGCCCGCCACACAGCATCTCTCTGGGCTGGATCCATGGCCAGGAACTGACACACAGACAGAGGCTAGTTTAACATTTAGGATAGTGGTTGTATCTATCTGTCTATCTATCTATCAGTCTATCTGTCTATCTACCTCTCTCCCTACCTGCCCATTAATATTGCGACAGAGGCTCTGATTTTAGTATCATGATTTGTTTCTAATTTTTATGCTCCTGGCTAAGGACAAGAAAGACATTGAGCTACAGCAGGGGTCAGCAACCTTTTGAAGCGGAAGAGCCAAAAGTTACAATTTTCACAATTTCCCTGGTTTTAAAGAGCCAATAATAATATTTTTATTTCAAGTATTTTATTTTTTGATTAAGATTATTAGTATTTGTGTAAGGAGCTGGAGAGCCGCATCTTGACATCAAAGGAGCTGCATGCGGCTCGCCTTATTTTTTGATTAAGATTATTAGTATTTGTGTAAGGAGCTGGAGAGCCGGGAGCTGCAGGTTGGCGACCCCTGAGCTACAGTAACAAGGATACTAAGGTTTACAGAATTTATTTATTTGTTTACAGAAATAAGCACTGTTCCTTGTAAGGAGTTCAGACTGATAGCAATTATTACAGAAACTTTTCATGTGTCTATAAATTAAGAAGTTAACACAACTAGTGGTTATATATTAAAAACTACAGTCAAATAATAATTTTAAAAACCTCTGTAATTCAGAAAGTAGGTAAACAAACCTGAATACATTTAAATATTGATGTTTAATTACATAATAAACCATGATTAGTTTATAACTATTGAATTTCCGTGCAGTTAAATGGCTTTTGAGAACATAGTTAAGGTTGTCTCCCTTAGTTGAATTGGATTGTTACAATGGTAAGCTACTAATGTAAAATAATATTCAACATTCAGCAAAAAAAAGATGCTGAAAATCTTAACCTGCATGTAACACCTCAAAACTAATGCTTGTTTAACATAAACCTTTAAATATTTAATTAAGATTGAAATAATTTAAAGGCTTGCTGCTTCCATTTTTCAATTACATTGCTTATATAACCCACTAGCCGCCCAGGCCAGGCCTTGCTCTGGCCTCTGTGAAAAATATATCTGTAAAGGACCATGACTAGTGTGTTTATTAAGCAGCATATACCATAAACACACAAAAAAAACCCACTAACAATCACAAATATAATACAGACCAATATCAATTTTCTAAACCAAAATTTCAATTCTTTTATACTAGACTTCACATTAGACTGGCACCTATTATTAATACTTAGTGGCTTCACCTAGACTTAGAACTAAATGAACAGCAGAACCTTAGTTTATTTTAATAAGCACTTATTTTTTAAATATTTTTAATTTATGTTATGACAAATTGTCTAGATAATACCTACTTATACTCCAATTTTAAAATTTTTCAATGTTATCATTTATTATTTATTCTTCTTATGTGTTATTCTTTTATTCAAATTTTCCAGTTATTTTGTTATTATTTGCTGTTTGGTTCTTGTACATTTGGCGGTAATGTTTGTGTCTTTATTATCCATCATCAATGATGTCAATTTTATGAAGTTGCCTCTCTTCCAAATGGTGTGAATTAAGTTCTCTGTAGTCAGTTTAAAACTACCACGCGAGAATTTCTTTAAGGGACCAATAGTTTTTCAGTGAAGTTTAACGGGAATGTGGTACTTACAAAATATGTGTTAAATCTTAAATTTCAGTGACATTGGTATCAGTAAACATCTTTTTCCCATATACTAAAAAAGTGTTAGAATTATATAATACTAAAAGTACTTCAGTTTGGTTTTTAAAGGATTGGAGTTTGAAAACAAAATTAATTTCTTATGTTGTTTTTTTAGGTTTTAGTAACAAAGACAGGTTTACAGTATTAGAGACATGTTTACAGTAACAAAGACAAGTTTACAGTAACAAAGACAGGTTTACAGTATTAGAGACATGTTTACAGTAACAAAGACATGTTTACAGTAACAAAGACAAGTTTACAGTATTAGAGACAGGTTTACAGTATTAGAGACAGGTTTACAGTAACAAAGACACACATGTTTACAGTAATAAAGACAAGTTTACAGTAAAAAAGACATGTTTACAGTAACAAAGACAGGTTTACAGTAACAAAGACTTGTTTGTAGAACAAAGACACAGTTGTTAAGAATAACGAAGACAGGTTTCTAGAACAACCTTCTTGAGGTCCCAGCTTTCTACTAGTTTGATGGCTGCTGAGATGGCTGCCATTCTGACTCTCCTCTGTTTTGTCTTCCATTGGGATGACAGGCGTTCATGTTGGAGTTTTAACCTAAAAAAACAAAAACAAATGTTTCTTATACAAAGGTTTTAGTGGACCTGTACAGCAGAAATTTAACCTGAATACAAAAGTTATTGTTGATACAAGATTTTAGTGATTTTTTTCAGACATTTTTTGTGTGCTCACTATATTCTAATATATAAAAGCCCATGTGCGCAATTCTCTCACTCTCTCTCTCTCTCTGTCCGCAAAATATTTTCACAGGCTATCATATCAGTATCTTCAGCGATATATGGAGAACTTGATACAGACTTTTGTTGAAAATAATATGTTAGATGTTTTAATTGTATAACCTAAATTTTATTTAAAGAAGAAAAATAAAAATAAAGGCATATTCGAATGTAGAAACACATAGATATGGTGTTCTGTTGACTAATAATGTATATAATTTGGTTTTAATTTTTCTAATAGGTATTGGTAGTCTATGCTGACGGCTAGTAGCAATAGAAATGTAAGCTAAGCTATAGTTTCACTATTTTAACTTAAAGTGTGAGAACCAAGTGTTTCACTATTTTAACTTAAAGTGTGAGAACCAACCCATTCTTGACCTACCTGCTGGCCATGTCTATGGCTTCCTGATTTGGGGGAGGTATCAGGAGGCAAGCAGACGGCACATCAGCTTCCAGGCCTGTCATTGTTTTGATCTGTAAGAGAATACGTTGAACATTGAACACACTACACCACCAGTCTTCAAGATATGAACTCATTTTAGTAGACAACAAATCTTGTTTTGTAAACAACACATAGCTCAAGTAAAACAGAGCAGAGATCCATTTGTCATGAAAGAAGTCTGGGGTTTGCCTAGTGTGGCCCATGAATAAAGATTTAGTTTGTGATTGTAAAGTAAAATTTAGGACTCAAAAGCTTGAACTCAATGGTGGCTTTTTAAATATTTGTTAGCAGAAATATTTTTTGGATTAGCTCTACACATTGCTGTTCCCAAACCTAACATTGGCATTTATAATTTTTTAATTAGGCCAGGTGATCTAAATCATCATCGACATCTTTTCCTGTTTTTGCCCAACACACGCGGGGTAGATAAAGTAGAGTTCATCTGTTTAAGAAACCTCGGCCTATAAAGGTATAGTGTGGTCAGCACTATATCCAGTCGCCTTTACTTTCCCTAATGTGAGTTACCCATCAGAGCTGGGGGGACTCAAGGATGCTCTACTGACTTAATTAAGCCTGGATTTGAACTCAAGACTTTCAGGTTAGCAGTCTACCACTAGGCATTGATTTAAATGCCAAATTAAAAAGGTAGAAATCAAGAAGCCTGCCCAAAAACGAAAGCCCTAACATATTTCCTAAGGCGTGAACCCATTCTACTAGAAACATTCAATGAGCTGAGTTGTACCTTCCATTTTGTCCTCTGAGAATTATTGACTAAGAAACATTCTTCTCCCCTCTGTAAATAAACATCTTGGTGATGACAGGGGCAGAGGGCTCGCACTCTTACAGGGGCTGTTGTTCTCTGGGAGCGGAGCTTCAAGGGAATGATGTCACGGCTTTTGACCACGAGGGCCGACACCCTGCGGTCATACTCTCTGATCTGATCTTGTATTTCCTGAAATTAAAACATGTTTTTAGAAAAAAAAATCATTTACAAGCAATAAAAGATCAAAGTAATTAACAATAGATGCTATAACAATGATGAAAGCTTTACAATCCAACTATAACGATCTTTCCATTTTTAATACAATTTTTTTTCAATAAATAAAAATGAATGGCAAGGAAAAAAAGTTAAATATTTATAAAGTCTAGGTTTATCTCTTTGATAAAAATATAACGGTCATAAATGGTTAATTATGGGTAAGTAAATATTTTAGTGACACTGCAAAAAGCTGAATTAAATTGTGTCAGATACGAATGACACATTATCTTATTAGATATTTAACAACATATAGTTTCTTGAACTTTTTTTTTTGCCCTGGAAGATCATAAAAAAATAGGCAGACATGTTTAAAGATCATGAACCAACCTAATGCAGACATGTCTAAAGATCATGAAGCAAGGACAGATATGTCTGAAGATCATGAACCAAAGACAGACATGTCTAAAGATCATAAACCAAAGACAGACATGTCTAAAGATCATGAACCAAAGACAGACATGTCTAAAGATCATGAACCAAAGACAGACATGTCTAAAGATCATGAACCAAAGACAGACATGTCTAAAGATCATGAACCAAAGACAGACATGTCTAAAGATCATGAACCAAAGACAGACATGTCTAAAGATCATAAACCAAAGACAGACATGTCTGAAGATCATAAACCAAAGACAGACATGTCTAAAGATCATGAACCAAAGACAGACATGTCTAAAGATCATGAACCAAGGACAGACATGTCTAAAGATCATGAACCAAGGACAGACATGTCTAAAGATCATGAACCAAGGACAGACATGTCTAAAGATCATGAACCAAGGACAGACATGTCTAAAGATCATGAACCAAAGACAACATCCTACCTGCAAGTCAGCCAGCAGGATCTGGGCCTGATCAACGGGAATGTTTTCTGAGGAGAATCTGTTCTGTAGCAGCTCCGCGTGCCTGGCCATCCACTGCTCACAGTGCTGGGCCTCTTCAAAGAAGGTGTTGTGCTCTACACAGTGCTTGACCTGCGACTCCAGGCACCAGTTCAGGTGGATCAGCCAGGACCACTGGGACTGGAGGGTGGACATGTAGGCCTGGCAATACAAGACACAGTTTTAGTGAGGACCACTGGGACTGGAGGGTGGACATGTAGGCCTGGTAATACAAGACACAGTTTTAGTGAGGACCACTGGGACTGGAGGGTGGACATGTAGGCCTGGCAATACAAGACACAGTTTTATGTGAGGACCACTGGGACTGGAGGGTGGACATGTAGGCCTGGCAATACAAGACACAAGTTTTTGTGAGGACCACTGGGACTGGAGGGTGGACATGTAGGCCTGGCAATACAAGACACAAGTTTTTGTGAGGACCACTGGGACTGGAGGGTGGACATGTAGGTCTGGCAATAAAAGACACAGTTTTAGTGAGGACCACTGGGACTGGAGGGTGGACATGTAGGCCTGGCAATACAAGACACAAGTTTTTGTGAGGACCACTGGGACTGGAGGGTGGACATGTAGGTCTGGCAATACAAGACACAAGTTTTTGTGAGGACCACTGGGACTGGAGGGTGGACATGTAGGTCTGGCAATAAAAGACACAGTTTTAGTGAGGACCACTGGGACTGGAGGGTGGACATGTAGGCCTGGCAATATAAGACACAGTTTTAGTGAGGACCACTGGGACTGGAGGGTGGACATGTAGGCCTGGCAATACAAGACACAGTTTTAGTGAGGACCACTGAGGGTGGACATGTAGGCCTGGTAATACAAGACACAGTTTTATGTGAGGACCACTGGGACTGGAGGGTGGACATGTAGGCCTGGCAATACAAGACACAGTTTTAGTGAGGACCAAGTACAGTAAATACAAAGAAATGAATGAAGCTGAATATTTTCCCTTGTAGCAGCCCCAAGCCTAGAGAAGCTGTTGCGTGTTGTGTGACCTACCTCAACTGTTCTGGCACAGGGATGTCTGTCAAGGATCATAGCTCCACCTTTCTCTTGGACTGCATTGAACTGTCTTTCTCTTGCTTCCATTTGACGAACCAGGGACTGGAACAATCAAATGATGCTACAGTTTAGTACAGTCGTTTCATGTTTAACACTGGTGATGCTATCATGACATTGGTAGAAACTTCCAATAATTTCAATATGTTAACAGTTTATCTTACATGAGAAATGATTTATTGCTTTATATGTTGCAAACAAGAATGTAACTATATGTAGGCCTATTTATGTTTAGAAATAAGCTCTACAAAATTCCAAGCTTTTAAAAAAATATGTTTGTAGCAGTTACAAATGGTAAAGTTCCCTTTCAATCTGGCGCTCTATGGAATAAGTGAAGTAGAGTTCACCTTATTCTGCGACCTTCAGCACTATGCCCTGCCACCTTTACTTTCCCTAATGTGAGTCGAGTACCCATTAGAGCTGGGTGGACTCAGGGATTTATGGGTTTGAACCCGGATCCAAGATTGAGTTAGCACTCTTATGCTCTACCATTCGACCACGCCAGCACATTACAAACTGGACCTACCCTAGGATGGTACATGACCCACCCTATAATGGCAAATGACCTACTCTATGATGGTACATGACCTACCCTAGGATGGTACAAGACCTACCCTATGATGGTACATGACCTACCCTATATGACCTACCCTATATGACCTAGCTTATGATGGTACATGACCTACCCTAGGATGGTACAAGACCTACCCTATAATGGTACATGACCTACCCTATATGACCTACCCTTTGATGGTAGATGACCTACCCTATATGACCTATCCTATGATGGTACATGACCTACCCTATATGACCTACCCAAGGATGGTACAAGACCTACCCTATGATGGTACATGACCTACCCTATATGACCTACCCTTTGATGGTAGATGACCTACCCTATATGACCTAACCTACGATGGTACATGACCTACCCTATATGACCTAACCTACGATGGTACATGGCCTACCCTATATGACCTACCCTATGATGGTACATGACCTACCTTATGATGTTCATCAAGTTCTGCCAGGTTGAGATCAGCTGACCCCCAGTCGCGGGACAGCTCCGTCTCCTCCTGCTCACTCAACCATAACAGTTCTAATCTGGCTGCTTGCAGGAACTCATATAATGACTCCAAACAGCGCAAGCGCCGACTGGATGTTTTCTGGAATTGGCAAAACAAACAGAATCACAGCTCTGAATATATAATCCACTAATTTATCTATTGCGGACTGCAATATTGGCTATTTGAAATTGAAGGTCTGATAAAAATTTCAGTTCTTACATATTCATCCTAAAAAACTTAAGTCTAACTTTACTTACCGAAAGAAGGGAATAGGCCACTTCTACTTTGGAAAGCTTTTGTGTGTATACTTTTTGTTCTTCAGACGAAAGATTGTTCTGGGGTTGAGAAATAAAATTAGTTGAATAGAGGTCATGGTGGGTTGTTAACTGTGATATATCTTTAGCAATTTTTGTTGCAATATGTTTAACACGAGGCAGACAGATAGTAGGTTTTGTTTTGATGTGTTTAGTACAGGAGGTACAGGGAGCAATGTTTGTTGTAATGTGTTTATTACGAGGGAGTTAGTAGTTTTTTGGTGTAATGTTTAATGTTTAAATACACTACAAACATGGTTAATACAGGAGACACAGGTAGCACTGCATGTAATGACCAGTCAGAGAAATGACAGCAAGCTTAGTGTAACGAAAAATAGCAGGAAGTTTTGAAAAGAAGGCACGAGAAAGTGAAAACAAAGTGACAATACACAGAGATGAACCACAAACTACGCAATGTAAAAGAGAACTAACTCTGTCACTGATACACTTGTCTATTTGAGATCGGAATGCTTGGACTTCTTCATGTTCTCTCCTATGTACAGCTAGCAACTCTTGGACTCTGTTCATGTCACTGTCATACTGGGCTTCTTCCAGGTGGCGCTGGGAAGGAAAAACACACAATTTGGAATAATCTTATTTATACTTACAATTATAAAAAAAAAAAAATAAACAAACAAATAATAGATCTATTGAGAATAATTAAGGGTGACTTTTTAAAATGATTGTGTAAATAGTTTCGACAGAGATCTTTAAGAGTTTGTAATGATTCGACTCACTTGATTGTGTAAAAAGTTTCTTAAAAGAGTTTGTAATGAGATTGGACTTGATTGTGTTCAAAGTTTCTAAAAAGATCTTTAAGTGTCTGTAATGAGATTGGACTCACTTGATTGTGTTAAAAGTTTCTTAAAAGATCTTTAAGAGTTTGAGATTGGACTCACTCGATTGTGTTCAAAGTTTCTAAAAAGATCTTTTAGAGTTTGAGATTAGACTCACTTGATTGTGTTTGTAACAACATGTATTCTTTGTTGTTGTGGGTTAGCTTTCATACAGGAACACGAGCAACAGTGGCAACTTGAAATGACAACTTTATTTACACTATGTACAGATAAATCCGTGGTACATCCATATTTGAAGATCAACTGATATAGGTACAAATAATAATCACGACTCCAAGTCATGGAGACATCTTACATTCACTGCCATCGTTCCAGTCCCCAAAATCCTAGCACACAACACCCGTTCACCTTTTGCTCTCCCTTTTATTCACAACTTTCTCTCCCCTTACGTCAATGAGCGATCTCACCCAAAAACATGGATAAACACATGAGGATCGCTCAGACAGTCCTTCCGCTAGCCAGGTACTCTTCATTCATGCAACTTCATGTAAAACACAATATAATATAAACATACATAATTATACAGTCTGTGACACGTCCCCCCTTCAAATAAAATTTTGTGTAACAAAATTTATAAATACAATATTGGTAGGGCAGGACCATGTGCCAGACAACAAAATTTTTATACATCTCAAAAAACATGGAAAATACATTCTTTGTAGACTAATGCACAAGCATTATGTGTAATATATTCAAATATGAGAAAGAAAAACATTTCAATTACCCAGTAATTGTAGTATAAACAAGATCAATGAGTTTAGTAAATTACCAAACTATAATGCATAGTTGAAATTATCAAAGACTTAATTCAACTCATAATTCAAATAACTATATCCTATGTGGTAAAAAAAACTTCCTTATCATCAAGGTATGTTATTACCACGCATGAGTAATATACTTTGTTGTCTCCCCTATTTGACCCATTTCAGACAAATCTAGGTCACAACACAATCACATTCTTGCCTTACACAGGTATTGACTAATACACAATACATCATTGAGAGTTCCGTCTTATTGTTATGCGGAATAAATAGTCTCTAACTTTTATTTATTTACTTTATTCATTGTTAATTAATAGTATAGAATAGGTTTAACATAATACAGTTTACATTCTTTAGATATAGTACACAATTTATGTTTACTCAAACACATTATTTGATATTTATATATTACAGTTACAGACTGTATAATATTAATAAACTGTCAATTGACAATTTAATCTTAGCATCCTCTATAGCATGAGTAATCGTTCTCGTGCAGTTGACGATGACCTGTATGCCATCTCTCCCTCAAATTGTAGTTTTTAGCTGTGCTACCATAATTATTTCCTAGAATTCGTGTAACTTGTGTTACTTCATTTGTTTTAATATTCTCTTCTGGTTTCTGAACAACGTCAGTAGTTATCTTGCTTTGTGTACGTTCGTTTGGTTCATCAACCAACTCAATATAAATATTATGGCATTGCTTTGGCCTCTCATAATATGTGTTGCGTCGGTAACTTCCATTAGTATACCTATTCACACTTTTGTTATTCTGATTTGAACTTGATACATTATTTCTTAAATTACTGTATTTCTCACATGACTTTCTTTGTACATAATAATTGTTTCTTCTCTGATTTGCCAACCTATGCCAACATTGATTTTGGTAATGACCTGTTTTTCCGCAGTAAAAACATCTAGATTTTGGCTTCTTATAAACATGGTGACTGTATTCATAGTTTGCTAAATTTCTTTTTCTTTCATTCTGTGCATTAATGACATTAATGACATTCTTATTAACATGTTGACTGTATTCATAGTTTGCTAAATTTCTTTTACTTTCATTCTGTGCACCAATGACATTGTAGTTTCTAGTTACTGTTTCATCTTTCTTAACTTCCTTGTGCTTCTTTATTGATTCTAGTTCACACATAAATTTCTGGGTTAATTTCTCCATTTCTTTGTTAAATTTATTCTTGAGTTCTAGTATATCTTCTTTATAGTTTGACTCCAATTTTCGAAGTAAATCTTCAATAGGTACGTTCTCTTCATTGTGGCTTATTAAGTTCACTGATTCATTAATCATCATTAGTTTATCATGATTCCTGCCAATCTCCGATGGACTTATTAAATCATCACTGCCATTGACTGATGGGCTTATTAAATCATTTTGACTACCATTCTCTGATGGACTTGTTTCTTGTTGACTGCCATTCTCTGATGGACTTACGATACAACTTTCAATAATATTCTCGTGTACCTGCGTTTGAGTCAATAAAGAGTCAATCTTAAGACATTCTAATGAATCTGTCACCTTTAAATCATTAGTAAGTTCACCCTCTGTTTTATCCTTGGGTTTCAATTCTTCCTGGACTATGTTACTCTGTTCTTCATTCCAAAGGTTGCCAATATTTACTTCTTCAAGTTCTGCTTTAAATTCTGTCTGTTCACTTTCTAATTTTGGTTCATTTGTGTCTGTTATAGCTTTCATTTCTAATAGTTCTTGTTTATATACTAGTTCATGTAGGCCAACTTGTTTTTCCAAAGTTTCAGCCCTTTTATCTGCTCTCTGTTTTCTGTTTCTTTTTTTCCGCTTTCCTTTTAGTTGTACAGTCTCTTCTACTTTATCTCCATCTGACATTTCTTCTTCTTTTTGCATGTCTGTAATAGCTCTTAAGTCCCTGAATTTCAGCTGTAATCTGGTTGAGTGCTCACCCGCCTGTTCAGTACTATTTATTCTTCTCAGTTCTGTTTCATGCTTGTGCTTTCTTTCATCATCTTCTATTTTCCAATTCCTTTCCTCTAACCTCCTAGCCCTCTCTTCTGCCTTCCTAGCCTTCTCTTCTTCTTTTTCTTCAGCTTTCGCCTTAGCAGCTTTTTCTTCTCTAGCCTTCTCTTCTTCTTTTCTCTCAGCTTTCTCTTTAGCAGCTTTCTCTTCATCTTTCTTTAGTAGTTCTTTTATAAATGCCAACCTGTCTTCCTTCGGAATGTCAAGTTCCTTCACAAGTGCTGTATATGTTTCAAAATTTGACATTTTGATATATTTTCTATGACATAAAATATAAATTCATTAGTTGACAATAGATAAATGTTAATTAATTTACAATACCCTTTCTTGTATTCTGGCTTTGTTCAGTTGATTAGAGACATCTAGTAATCCAAGAAAAGTTCATAGTACATATATAGTACAAAAATAGTTCACTTTGTTGATTCCAAAAAGTTGAAAAAAAATTCAAAATAGTTCTAGTAGCCTGTTACAGAGTAGAAATTTGTCCAGTTTTAGATAAGACATCTTTAGGAACAGTTTAGGAACAGTTACAAAAATAAACTTGATCTGCTAAATCCAAACAGTAGAAAAACTTGAACAGCTAATCCATATAGAAAAAACTTGAACAGCTAAATCCAAACAGTAGAAAAGAAACACTAAGACTTGATCGGCTAAATCCAAACAGAAAAAACACACAGACGATATTTACTCGACATTGGTGAGACAATATCGAAATAAGGTGATAAAAATTATCACGTTGATGACTTGACTTGAACAAGACGTCTGACTTGACTACAGCAACCCTTCTGACTTAAGTGTAGATAGATGACTTTCAAGAACTTGACGTACTTGGTAAACAGTGGAAGACCACAGACTGTAATATCTCCATTTCTGACATATGTAGCACCAATTCTTCAACCACTTGTGACATCATAAGTAACAGTAATACAATGTAGCAACATCACTTTATTGCCTCCACTTCTGACACCATATGTAACAACATGTATTCTTTGTTGTTGTGGGTTAGCTTTCATACAGGAACACGAGCAACAGTGGCAACTTGAAATGACAACTTTATTTACACTATGTACAGATAAATCCGTGGTACATCCATATTTGAAGATCAACTGATATAGGTACAAATAATAATCACGACTCCAAGTCATGGAGACATCTTACATTCACTGCCATCGTTCCAGTCCCCAAAATCCTAGCACACAACACCCGTTCACCTTTTGCTCTCCCTTTTATTCACAACTTTCTCTCCCCTTACGTCAATGAGCGATCTCACCCAAAAACATGGATAAACACATGAGGATCGCTCAGACAGTCCTTCCGCTAGCCAGGTACTCTTCATTCATGCAACTTCATGTAAAACACAATATAATATAAACATACATAATTATACAGTCTGTGACAGTGTTAAAAGTTTCTAAAAAGATCTTTAAGAGTTTGAGATTGGACTCACTTGATTGTGTTAAAAGTTTCTTAAAAGATCTTTAAGAATTTGTAATGAGATTGGACTCACTTGATTGTGTTAAAAGATCTGTAAGACTTTGAGATTGGACTCACTTGTTTAGCATCCACCCAGTCCAGACAGTCCTGGACGTGGCGAAATGCTGGGTTGGTCTCTATGAGTCGGCTCTCTGAGACCACTTCAGCTCTTGTTTTTGTCATCCTCCCCTCATCAGCGGACCTGCTGAGCAGGGGGTGGACCAGCTGACCGTACAGGTGCTTCTTCAGGCTGGACACCTTGGCTTGCAGGTCAGAAACTCTGGAACATGGGGGAGGGGGGTAAAACCATATAAAATTTTTCTGTCATACTTAAATATAGATTTAATTCTGTAATGTGATGTAAAGTTCCATTTTCGAGGACCAACTGGGAAAGTGAAGTAGAGTTCACCTGTTTTTGTGACCTTGGCATATGATGGTATAGTGTGGTCAGTACTAAGCCTTTACCTTCCCTAATGTGAGTTAACTACCCATCAGAGCTGGATAGACTGACGTGAACCCAAATTAGAACTCAAGACTTTTGGGTTAGCAGTCTAGCATTCTAACGCTAGGCTACGCGTCCCATGTAATGTGATAAGTCCAAACAAAATGGCAATTCCATTGTTAAAACATCTTCACATACACGTTCACACATTTATTTAATCTAGTAGGTCTATTTTACAGTTCTTTATGCTTATTTCCATTCTATTAGAGATATAGAGATTACAGCTATGAATAATTTAAACAGCTCTATTAAGTTTCTACAGTATTTCTCAAGATATAATTGCTGTTAAAGCTATGACTCACCTCCTATACAATTGCTCAGCGTATGGGTGGTTGCCATCTTGCAAGGTCTGACAATCTCTGAACAGCCCTCTGAGGGCCTCCTCCACACTCTTCAGCCCACGGTCCAGGGCATCACAGTTACGTTTGGCCTCGTACGAGTGCATCATCTCAAGGCCGCGGGCGGTGTCATCTATCCTGCGGGCCAGGTCAGCCAGGGTCTCCTCGTTAAACCTGACATCTCTCTGTGCCTTCTCAGCCAACCTGTGCAGTCTCTCCAGCCTGGGACAGTTGACATTACATTAGATTTGGGGAGAGGAAAATTCACATTATAATATATTAGAGGACAGGAAAATTCACATTACAAGTTCTTAGAGGAGAGGAAATGTGACATTATAATATATTAGAGGACAGGAAAATTCACATTACAAGTACTTAGAGGAGAGAAAAGTTGACATATTACATATTGAAGAACAAAAAATTTGTTATCTACAGGTTAATTATAAACTACGTAAAGCAATTTTAAAAAAGTAACACATTACAAGTACTTAGAGGAGAGAAAAGTTGACATTACTTAGTAGAGAGAAAAGTTGACATTACAATATATAGGAGAACAGTTGACATTACCATATATTAGAAGCCAGGAAAAATCACATTACAATATATTTGGCAAGAAAAGTTGACATTAAAATAAATTAGAGCATAGAAAAGGTGAGATTACAATAGAGGATAGAAAAGATAACATTAAAATACATCAGAGGATAGAAAAGTCGACATTAAAATACATTAGAGGATAGAAAAGTTGACATTACAACATATTACAGGACAAAACATTTATTACCTACAGGTTAATTATAAACTACTTAAAATTTTTTTTAAAAAGGTAACAAATGAAAATGTGTAACCTGTTCTGTAGTGTGTAAGGTGGTGGGCGGTTGTTTTGTTGTGCGGTATAGGAGGCTGTGAAGTGTTGTGATTTTTGTCCTTGCAAGTTTTGTGTGAGAAAGGTGCAGTTTGTGTAAAAGTTTTTCACACTGGTGCTGGGCACAGACCAGTAGCTGCACACAAGTGAAAACATGACATCATCATGTTGGTACAATCTCAACATTTGTTCCTACACATCACATGGTTAAGTGGTAAGTGAAAACATGACATCATCATGTTGGTACCATCTCAACATTTCTTCCTATACATCACATGGTTAAGTGGTAAGTGAAAACATGACATCATCATGTTGGTACCATCTCAACATTTCTTCCTATACATCACATGGTTAAGTGGTAAGTGAAAACATGACATCATCATGTTGTTACCATCTCAACATTTCTTCCTACACATCACATGGTTAAGTGGTAAGTGAAAACATGACATCATCATGTTGTTACCATCTCAACATTTCTTCCTACACATCACATGGTTAAGTGTAAGTGAAAACATGACATCATCATGTTGTTACCATCTCAACATTTCTTCCTACACATCACATGGTTAAGTGTAAGTGAAAACATGACATCATCATGTTGTTACCATCTCAACATTTCTTCCTACACATCACATGGTTAAGTGTAAGTGAAAACATGACATCATCATGTTGTTACCATCTCAACATTTCTTCCTACACATCACATGGTTAAGTGTAAGTGAAAACATGACATCATCATGTTGTTACCATCTCAACATTTCTTCCTACACATCACATGGTTAAGTGTAAGTGAAAACATGACATCATCATGTTGTTACCATCTCAACATTTCTTCCTACACATCACATGGTTAAGTGTAAGTGAAAACATGACATCATCATGTTGTTACCATCTCAACATTTCTTCCTACACATCACATGGTTAAGTGTAAGTGAAAACATGACATCATCATGTTGTTACCATCTCAACATTTCTTCCTACACATCACATGGTTAAGTGTAAGTGAAAACATGACATCATCATGTTGTTACCATCTCAACATTTCTTCCTACACATCACATGGTTAAGTGTAAGTGAAAACATGACATCATCATGTTGTTACCATCTCAACATTTCTTCCTATACATCACATGGTTAAGTGTAAGTGAAAACATGACATCATCATGTTGGTACAATCTCAATATTTCTTCCTACACATCACATGGGGTGGCGTTGTTAAGTGCTAGAGCAAAGGATTGCTAATCCAAAAGTCAACAGTTCGATTCCTGGGAGAGAGACCTAACAAGATCTATGAGCCCACCTAGCTTTAATAAGTACCTGGGCAGCTGAGCAAAATACTGACCACACAATCATTTCGTATATTGAAGCAAAAGAAAAACAAATGTGCTCTACCTCATCTACCCTTATAGAGCATCAAATGTAAAAGAACACTTTACATATCTAGTACCATAACTATTGTATAGTGTCAAACTAAAATGTCTGCTTCAGCAATAATAACCTCTCATAAGAGTAAAAAAGTGTACAAATTGGACTCCTGAACCTCGTACACAATGTTTTTTTGTTTTGCAAAATGATTATGAGGTAGGTTTACAACTACTGCATGACACATTATATTTAGAGGAAAATGCTTAGCAGCTGCTCACAAATTAAGTACAATAGTAGCTATCTTCCCACTAAATAAAAAAATAATAACATGCTTAGCAGCTGCTCACATATTAAGTACAATAGTAGCTATCTTCCCACTAAATAAATAAATAATAACAATGTTAAGATGTAAGAAACCAGTGTACCTGATGACCTCTGCCTGTATTGTCATGTCTCTCTCCTGCATGGCGGCCTCAAACCTGCTCCAGACACGGGATACATTGTGAGGTAGTAGTTCATCTTCTATTGTCATGTGTGAGGGATCAGTTGTTAGGCTCTAAACAATACAGAAAGTAAAAGTTAGCATTGTGAGGTAGTAGTTCATCTTCTATTGTCATGTGTGAGGGATCAGTTGTTAGGCTCTAAACAATACAGAAAGTAAAAGTTAGCATTGTGAGGTAGTAGTTCATCTTCTATTGTCATGTGTGAGGGATCAGTTGTTAGGCTCTAAACAATACAGAAAGTAAAAGTTAGCATTGTGAGGTAGTAGTTCATCTTCTATTTCATGTGTGAGGGATCAGTTGTTAGGCTCTACACAATACAGAAAGTAAAAGTTAGCATTGTGAGGTAGTAGTTCATCTTCTATTGTCATGTGTGAGGGATCAGTTGTTAGACTCTACACAATACAGAAAGTAAAAGTTAGCAATGTGAGGTAGTAGTTCATCTTCTATTGTCATGTGTGAGGGATCAGTTGTTAGACTCTACACAATACAGAAAGTAAAAGTTAGCATTGTCAGGTAGTAGTTCATCTTCTATTGTCATGTGTGAGGGATCAGTTGTTAGACTCTACACAATACAGAAAGTAAAAGTTAGCATTGTCAGGTAGTAGTTCATCTTCTATTGTCATGTGTGAGGGATCAGTTGTTAGACTCTACACAATACAGAAAGTAAAAGTTAGCATTGTCAGGTAGTAGTTCATCTTCTATTGTCATGTGTGAGGGATCAGTTGTTAGACTCTACACAATACAGAAAGTAAAAGTTAGCATTGTGAGGTAGTAGTTCATCTTCTATTGTCATGTGTGAGGGATCAGTTGTTAGGCTCTACACAATACAGAAAGTTAAAGTTAGCAATACATTGTCAGGTAGTAGTTCATCTTCTATTGTCATGTGTGAGGGATCAGTAGTTAGGCTCTACACAATACAGAAAGTAAAAGTTAGCAATACATTGTGAGGTAGTAGTTCATCTTCTATTGTCATGTGTGAGGGATCAGTTGTTAGACTCTACACAATACAGAAAGTAAAAGTCATACATTGTGAGGTAGTAGTTCATCTTCTATTGTCATGTGTGAGGGATCAGTAGTTAGGCTCTACACAATACAGAAAGTAAAAGTTAGCAATACATTGTCAGGTAGTAGTTCATCTTCTATTGTCATGTGTGAGGGATCAGTTGTTAGGCTCTACACAATACAGAAAGTAAAAGTTAGACAGGTTTGTGTGTGTGTGACTGACAGGTTTGTGTGTGTGAGACTGACAGGTTTGTGTGTGTGTGACTGACAGGTTTGTGTGTGTGAGACTGACAGGTTTGTGTGTGTGAGACTGACAGGTTTGTGTGTGTGTGACTGACAGGTTTGTGTGTGTGTGACTGACAGGTTTGTGTGTGTGAGACTGACAGGTTTGTGTGTGTGAGACTGACAGGTTTGTGAGTGAGAGACTGACAGGTTTGTGTGTGAGAGACTGACAGGTTTGTGTGTGAGAGACTGACAGGTTTGTGTGTGAGAGACTGACAGATTTGTGTGTGTGAGACTGACAGGTTTGTGTGTGTGAGACTGACAGGTTTGTGTGTGTGAGAGACTGACAGGTTTGTGTGTGAGAGAGACTGACAGGTTTGTGTGTGAGTGAGACTGACATGTATGTCTGTGTGAGACCGACAGGTTTGTGTGTGTGAGAGACTGACCTGTATTTCATCAAAGAGTCTCAAAGCTCTGTTCTTGCTCTCTAACCGTGGGGGAACATCCTCAGAACGGAATCGATTAAAGTCATTGTGTAGAGCCTGTAGGAAAAAAACAAATTTGCAGGTAACTAAAAATAAATTGCGCACAATGATAAAAGTTAAGTTTCCCTTTCAAACCTGACGGTCTGTGGGGCAACTGAAGTAGAGTTCACTTGTTTCTGTGACCTCGGCATATGAAGAGATAGTGTGGTAAGCACCATGCCCAGCCGCCTTTACTTTCCCTAACGTGAGTTAGGTACCCATCAGAGTTGGGTGGACTCAGGGACGGTCTACTGACTTGAACCCGGATTCAAACTCGAGACTTACGGGTTAGCAGTCCAGCTCTCTACCGCTAGACCACTCCGTCCCAATGATACTCTATGAAAAAAAACCAACACTAGTAATTCTTTCTGCTGAGATGTAAAGCTGGCCTTGAGTCAAGTCAACCAAAAGGGATCCAAGTCAACCACTCATCTTTTTATGTGTCTGAGTCGTCATCAAACACAAGAAATCTACTTCATGTGAAAGTGTCTACTTTCCATTTTGCTATCTAATAAAAGCACAAATGTGTTATATGGCTGTGGGAATGACAGAGGTCCTATGGCAGGGGTCGGCAACCTTATGAGACGGAAGAGCCAAAGGTTACAATCTACAAAATTTCCAAATTTTTAAAGAGCCACTAACATTTTGATGTGTACTTCGGTAGTGGAAATCATGGAACCATTGCCATAGGGCTGTCAGTTTTCCATATACACTCTACTGAGTCTACTTCACTTATTCTCACTGTTTTTTTTTATTATATTTAAAGTTGTTTTCGTTTTTACAGTATAACATTTTTAGAGTTTTGAAAATAAAATAATATAATTATTATGGAACCGGAGAGCCGGATATTAACATCAAAAGAGCTACATGCGGCTTGAGCCGCAGTTTGCCGCCCCTGTCCTATATAGCTATGGATAACGGCTAATGTTGCTGTAGTACCTTGATCTCTAGCAGTGTTGTGGGGTAATTTCTGCTGAGCATGAGCCTGATGGCATCTCTGAGCCATGTGAGGAGGGTGGAGGTTAGCTCCCTGTACTCCTCCACCTTGAGTTGTCTCTCCTGAAATAGTTGAATCAACTTTAGAGTGGAACAGTTGAAAAACTATCCAAAAACTACAATCGTCAAAATGTTATACACAATGTTTGTAATTAAGGTTTTATTTTTCTTTCTTCTGATTGGCTACTCTCTATCCTGCGTTGGGGAGTGAGCGTTGAGTCTGGGGCTAAAGACCCCCACCCAGTAAAATTGTTACATACTTCTTGGGGGCTGTTCAGGGGAAACAACTGAATACTATCATTATGTTATCAGTATAAAACTGTTCAAGGGAAAACTACTATCATACTATCTCTGGGGGATTGTTCAAAGGAAAATGATGAAGACTATCATTATATTACCATAAAAAAAGGGAGGAGGGGGGTCAGAAACAAACAGGATGAGACAACTACAACAGGACTGTTCAAGAGAAACAACTGAATACTATCAATATATTATCATTGAGGGGAATGTTAAATGGAAGCAACAGACATGATGGGACACAACTACAACAGGACTGTTCAAGGGAAGCAAGTGAGTGCTTACATTATCCTTGAGGGACTGTTCAACACTTGGGACTTCTGGGAAAACATCATAGAGTGATGACACATAGGTGAGGATAGACTTCTCATCTGGGTTGGGGACATCGACATCTGTCAGAGAGGGAAAGAGTTGACATCATCATCATCATTTTCAGATTATTAATTAGTTTTTATATTTTAATTTTCAGAATGTTAACAGTTGTATATGACACTAATTACTTTATTTGGATTTTTAGAAAAAAAATATATAAGCAATACTAATTACTAGTAAGGAAATCAAATATTTGCTATATAACATTATCTACCACATTAATTGTTAAAATAATAATTATGAATTATATTCTAATGCTATCAACAAAAAACAGATCCAAATTAAAAAAAAATAACATTCTTTGAGTTTCATATACTTTCAAGACAATGTACTTATTCTCAGATAAATATGTGAGTAGGAAATATTTTATTTACAGCTCAAAAATTACTTGACTTCATATTTAAAGTTACACTTCAAATCAAACATCAAATAGTTTTTGTAACAAAGAAGGAATGTCAAAACATAAGAAACTGTATCTAAAAAAACCTCTCAGCTTGTGTAAATGGATCTCTATATTTTTCTACACAATGTTATATGGGGCGCGTGAAGAAGGCCATACATTCTGGCACTTCCTGTTCACATTAAAAAAAAATGACAGAATCAAATCCAGGAAGATAGATAGCATATGGCTGGCTGGAGATTTTTAAAAAATAAAAAATAAAACTACCAAACTAAAACTTTTATGTTTTAAACAGCTGTGTAGACAATAGCTCATTATTTAGTTTTTTAATCTAAAATCCATGTCTATATTAATGAATATTTTATTATTTTATACAGTGATGTCTACAACAAAATTATTTTATTGTGTTGTTTAAAATAAACAATTTATACTGTGAATTTGTATGATTTTTATAGTGATGTTTCTACAGAAAATTTAGCGTGATTTTAAAACAAAATAATTTTCATTGTGATATTGTTACAGAAATTATTTTCATAGTGATGCCAATTTAAAGTGCTTCAACCAAAGGTATCTATTTTAGTACTCGGAACAAAAGAATGTACATTTTTTTTCTATAATAATACCCATATCTGCAGCAATGAATGAAACAAATTAATGGCAAGATGGACATACATCCATGGAAGTACAACTAATCATTAAAAAGTGAAATCACTTCACCATTAAAACAACACTTGTAAGGAACTCTTTCATGAACTGGCTTATACAAGAAACACAATCTAGAGGAGCTAGTCTTCAAGAGTTTTGTAAAGATTGCTGATGTGGTGATCAAAAACAAGGAGATCATCCTTAACAACAAATCAAACCACATCCTACCATCAACCATGACTATAGAACAAATCAAACCACACCCTACCATCAACCATGACTATAGAACAAATCAAACCACACCCTACCATCAACCATGACTATAGAACAAATCAAACCACACCCTACCATCAACCATGACTATAGAACAAATCAAACCACATCCTACCATCAACATCCAAGAGTCTGGTCACACCAAACTCCCTCTCAGCTATGTTAAAGGCTGACTCCAAGTTTTGTTTGTTACTGTTGTGCTTGACTTGTCTGATGTCAACCAGATCTGGTCTGTAATGCAAACAAACAATCAACACATTCATTGAGTTCACATAAACATAACAAACATCACATTTGTTATTTGAGTTCACATAAACATAACAAACAAACAACACATTCATTAATTGAGTTCACATAAACATAACAAACATCACATTTGTTATTTGAGTTCACATAAACATAACAAACAATCAACACATTCATTAATTGAGTTCACATAAACATAACAAACATCACATTTGTTATTTGAGTTCACAAAAACATAACAAACATCAACACATTCATTATTTGAGTTCACATAAATATGTAAATTTCAAACATCATTCACAGTTTTAGAGTTTATTGACTAGTGGCTAGTGGCATCTATTCTTCAGCAACTGTTTCTCATGGTGTGTGATAGACAGAGTGATGAGGTGTAGATATAAAAAAGTAAAGATTCCTCTTTAGACCTAGCGATCAATTGGGCAGATGTATTGGCATTCATGTTTCTTGACCTCAGCATGAGAATGGATGGTGTGGTCAGCACTATGCCCAGCTGCCTTTGCTTTCGCTAATGTGAGTTAGGTACACATCAGAGCTGGGTGGACTCAGGGACTTTCTATTGATTTGAACCCAGATTTGACTCAAGACTTTCAGGTTAACAGTATAGCACTCTAACACTAGGCCACCTAGACCCATAGATATAGTTATAAATGTTATGTCAACAAGAGACTTCACATTATTATTAACAAGCATGCCGATTCAATATTTTACATAAAACATCAAAGATAGAAGATGGATTAAAAATATGTATTCAGTAAATTTAAATGACAGTCAATTTAAAGCATACGCAATAACTAACTCAAAGGTTTAGTAGATGAATCATATTGAAGAAAACTCCACCCATGTTAAAGGGTACATAACTTCACTCAAGGGAGGTAAATACCATCTTAATGTGATGTATGTCATAGTAACATGCACTTATCTGCCCCTTGAATAAAGTTATACAATTTACTCTGGTTCAGGGAGAAGCTCATTGCTTTTGTGTACACTGATGGTTCATTAGTTAATTGTAAATAACACAACGTTAGAGCAGTCCAGTATTGAAAGCATCTGTCTGACTGACCAACATAATTATGTTGCATTAGATGGACAAGAGATCACATGTAACTTAATCTGACTGACCAACATAATTAATCTCACTTTAGCTGGACAAGAGATAACAAGTGAACAGGCAAACGAATGGTAAACGAGCAGCTGAGTCAGACCCACCTGTTTCTGTGCAGGATTGACAAGAAAGCCTTGCCATCTCTCCAAGAGGAAGAGAAGTCTCTGATCTTCACACCCGGGTAGCCCTCAGTGGTTCTCCTGCTCCACAGCAGCAAAGCTTCTTTGGCAGTGATGTCCTCCTGGCCTGGCACCACAACATCCGAAATCTGCAGAGGAAACAAGGGAACATCTCAGTCAAGGGAACATCTCAGTCAAGGGAACATCTCAGTCAAGGGAACATCTCAGTCAAGGGAACATCTCAGTCAAGGGAACATCTCAGTCAAGGGAACATCTCAGTCAAGGGAACATCTCAGTCAAACAATGCCGGGAATTCATCAAGACCATATCTAGGACAATAAGGCATGAGCTAGTTTTGTTAGTGGTAAAGGCCGTTTTCTTCAAAACTCAGATTTTTTAATTAATTATTTAATTAAGAATTGGCAGTGAGACTGATTAGTGCTTTAAAATAAAAGTTTTCAATCAAGATAGTTGAAGAATAAGTTATTAAACTGGTTTTAAACATTTAAGATACACTTTTGATAATTTCAATGAATCGAGTTGGATAGGAAGATTAAATAATTAAAATGTAGCAATGTTTTTACTGAAGGGGGAACATACAATATTAAATGCATGTATTATATTGTCTTGTATTAGATTGCTTCATTGTTTTAAAATTTAAAATTTTATTGACTATTATTGTCAAAACTAAAAAAACTATGGCAAAAATAGGCAAAATGCAATATCTTTTTTGCTTCATTTTAGCAGCATTATTTAGCAATTAAAAATAGAATAAAAGAGTTAAATCAGAATTAAAAAAAAGAATGGAAGTAATTTGAATGGCTGTTGCTGGCAAAGTTTAAATAATGAAACAAGTCTAGACTTGCCAAATATTTGACAAGTGTAACATGACTAGACATGCCAAATATTTGACAACATATCATCTCAGAGACAGAAAAGATGACATCAAAATTTAAATCTAGCTTAATTAATGCTAAATCGTAAACCCAGACAGCCAACCCAACCTCAACCCAAACATGCACCACTTTACAAGTGCCAACCCATACAAAACTGCAATATAACATTCATTCGTATCCATCTGGCTCCCAGTCAATACCCCCCTGTATATACCCCCCCCCCCTTCCAATATAAACCTCCTGGACAAAAAGCCCATTGGATGATACCCCCCCCCCCCCCCCACACAGGTTGATATAAAGAAATACTGGTGATGATGAGAACCAAAAATTATAATTAAAAACAAAACAAAGAAAAAAATATGAGTTAATAGTTTATGACTGGACACCCCTCCACCCCACCCCCACGACCCCCAGACAAAGCCCCACCCAGCTGAAGTTTCCCACCTGCCTCCAGGTGATGCACATGTTGTGTGCACTGATTTGACATTTACTTTAAATTTTTTTTTTTAAACTTTTTACTTTTAGTCTGATGGGTGAGTTGAATGAATGAACTGAATGACACAATAAACAGGAGGAAAAGAAAAAGGCATGAGTAAACAGAAGGTTCAGACACCAGACATGCATGCAACATGTGAGCCATGCCTTACATGGAGGTAATAAGCTACAGACATGGAGAGGAAAAAACACAAGGAAATGGAAACTAACTCTCACAGGCATACACAGGGCACTCATTACACCCCCCAATGTCATTCATATACTACCCACACATGTTAGGTAATCCCAATCCAGACACCTCTTCTTGTTACACTAGTATATCTATCCCCCCTACCCCACACATTAGGAACACACCTCCCCCCCCCTCTCAAGTACTCATACGTTAGCTAACGCCTCCATCCCCATAAACGCAGTAGTCCCCCCTCACATATCACAGCTAAAACATATTGTATGTGTTAATGCTGTATACAAATCTAAGTCACGCCAAGCAAGTAGACACCCCCAGATGTTGGTGCTATCACGCAGCTTACGTGATCCATGCAATGACTTTACCCAACACCCGATGCCACAGTAGAGGATGACAACAGTGGCAGCCAGTGTATACCAAGAGGTGTTCAATGGTATAAGAGGGAATAGTACTACTCAGACTGTGACTAATAAACTCAAATTTAGCAATAGACAAGGTAGATCTCAGTTGACTCGATGTGTGTTTGTTACATAACAAGGAAGAACGACCACACATAGACCCTGGGCAACATGTTCTTATTAGTAGTTATCAATGCAGATACTACTAACAGTGTTTGAACGTGGGGAATCTGCTTAAGGTAGATGAATAAGCGTCACTCGGTGAATGCATGTATGTTGCCGGGCATACATATATTTCATAAACGATATCGTAACTAGACCTCCAGCACACGCTAAGATAAAAGAATAGGGAGGGGAGGTAAACTCTAGAGTTACACCATAAGGTTCAGGTTTCAGAATAGTTTTGTCAAGTTTATTCATTCAGAAACTTGAGCCTTGAGTAAGCTGCGTAATTCCCGCTGTGCTTATAAGCCTAGTCTATGCCATATTTATTTAGTATCCTGTGTATAAAACCTCTATATATCAGCTGACTAGCTACTCTATACAATGGGCTATATCAGTTAACTAGCTACTCTATACAATGGGATATATCAGTTGACTTAGTATATGGAATATATATCAGCTGACTAGCTACTCTATAGTGCTGATAATATTCCACATCTAAAATCTCGATACAATTACAATGTGACCTGTCGGTGCTGTTAGTATTTGACGTCTAAAACCTCAGTCCAGAATGACCGTATTACATAGTCCTGACCTGCTGCTCTATACAAACCGACCTGTCAGTTGGTGCTGACTGACACCAGCAAACGACAGAGTTCAACAACCTAGGCCTAATTGGTGCATTAAGTCAAGGATCCGCTGACAGGTCAGATCAGCACTTAACACTTACAGACGTGTCACACTGTCTACCTGTTCACTAAGACTTCATGTTGTGTCATCAACGTAAACAAAACACGTTTGTATTAAGATAGTGGTCTTAAACACTTCGATTTTTACCCTAAGACATATTTTAGTGTTCTAGAAACACAACGGTATTTAACTCACATCATCTGAACCCCTTTGATGTTTACATTCACGATGTTCAGCCCGTATAAGAATACCTACAACATCGGTATTTGACACTCAGCATCCAACCCGACCAACCCTACAACAGAAGGATATTTGAAAAGACGCCCGGAGTCCTAGACCGTATTACCAACCCGATAAACCTTATAACATATGTTATAAGGTTTAGCGTGTCTATGAATCGGGTCTATAAAGCCTTACTAATACTAAGTCATCCAGTGCCCTGATGGACGGTATTACCAATCTAAGTAAACATCTAATAAGGAAACTTATCAATACGTCCAGCGTCTTGATATGCCATATCACCAACCCAAGCAGTCACGGCTATTTAACTATAATGTTTAGCGGGTCAATGAAGTCTTGCAACATGAGTATTTAACTAATAACAAAACGCTCAGCTTCTTGATAGACCGTATTACCAACACAAGCAGCCCTATAACCCACGGCTATTTAACTATATCATGTTTACCGGGTCTATGAAGCCTTACAACATGAGTATTTAACTAATACCAAGACGCCCAGCGCCCCGATGGAGCGTGGCACCCACCTGAACTCGGGACGCCCTCAGCTCATCCCTGCTCCGACTGAGGGGCACCTTCTCCCCAGCCCCGCCATTGGCGTCTTTCACCGGCTTGTTCTTCTTCTTCTTCTTCTTTCTCGGGGAACAGCAGCTAAACATTTTTTATCCACTGCTGTGCAGCATCCCAGGTCAACTTGACTTGTGACTTATTCCAGCACTTGGGTAATCCGATAGCCGTGTGTGTCAGGTACACGTTTAGTATCCGAAAGTTTATCCATGCGAAACGAAAGTATCCAGTGTTACGGTGATCTTTAAATCACAAATTTATGACGTCATTAACGGACTCGATGCACTGAGGTAAAACTAGCCTGCGTTATAAATAGTAACACCACGTTATCTATAGACTCACACGGACATGTACAGATAACGGAAGAATAAAACAACTGTCAACATAGGAACATCCCTACTCCCGCAACACAACTGTGCAGTGTGTACACTCAAGCTATTATAAAACTCGTATCAAACACTAGAACCAAGAGACACTTAATAAAACTTATTGAACTACTACAACACATTCAGAGAGAGTTATGTATCACCCGCTTGAAACCACTGCACAAAGACTAGAGAATGTAGCTCCTATTAAACTACCACACAAAGACTAGAGAATGTAGCTCCTATTGAACTACTACAACACAACAAGAGAAACTGATGTATCACCCGCTTGAAACCACTACACAAAGACTAGAGAATGTAGCTCCTATTAAACCACTACAAAAAGACTAGAGAATGTAGCTCCTATTAAACCACCACAGCACACCTAGAAAAAAGACCGCGGCTCCTATCTACACACCTCCGGCTTCAATAATTAACGTAATTAACGCAGGACATCAAACACACATTGGTCACGCATCAAGCCGAGCGCTTAGACCAGCCTAGACTTGACCAATTCGATACCGTACCTCGCTGTACGACACGCCGTGTTACGGGCGTATATCGAGACAATCAGGACGTTACATCAATGTACGTCGAACTAAACCAACACAACATACACGCTGTAAGACTGCGCGTGAAAGAAAGCAACACAACTGAATCAACCGCATACATCACAATTCATCAACTTGTAAATATAGTCTAAGTGATTTTCTTACAACACACACAGCAAGATGAATAGAGATGACGAGGGCATTCAAGGGTCACTAGTGTTATACAAAACCCAAACATAGGTGCCTCTCAGAAGTGGACACAGTGGTGACCTAGTGAACAGAGGGTCACTGAAACCTTCACAATGTCAAACAATTAACGTCCTCTACCTTATCCATCGATAAAACGATTCTTATCTGGCATTCTAGATAACTCAAGCCTGTAGACACACAGGTGAACTCTAGGGGACACAACACAGCCAAGGCTTTGTCTCAGCCCACACAAACAATGATATGCAATTCTCTTTCAGCAAACAGAATGGCACCATAGTTCCACTCGAAATATTTGTTACACAACAAAGGTCCGACCAACAAACCAACTTGCATTTATCCATTCGAATAGAAAAGATAAAAAACAAAATATCGATACAACTCATTGATTACAC